GACACAAAACAGAGAATGCGTGATAAAAGAGCAAATAAATGCGTACAAAAATGTTGTGGATTCTTTTTCCAAAACTAAGACAGACCCGAGCTATCAAAAATGCCGACAACAGTTGCATATAGTGTGGGATGAAGCTAGATTATTGGAAAACGCAAAGAAAAAAAACGATTTTATTAGAGAAGTGAGAAAAACGCTGGACCAACTCGACGCGAAAGCAGAGGATAATGAAAAAGTTGAAAAAATCCTGAAATATTATTCTTAAATAAAGCAAACTTCTTTTCAAGTAATTTTATTTTTTAAAGGCTGCTGATAACAATCCAGTCAGGATTCGTCAGGATCAACCTCGAAGAAATTGGTTTTTATGGTAATTTTATCGATTCGATTTTTTGCCTGGCAGGATAAATCGCAGTTGACAGGACTCGTGGCGAAATCAGGATAAAGTCTTTTAAAACAGCGGAATATATCAATGCGAGACGATCTTAAAAACAGCATTAATATTATTTTGTAAAGGATGAAAAATGGTATTAAAAATATCAAAAATAATTTTTATCAAGAATTTTTCAGTCAAAATCAAAATAAACTTTAAAATATATATCTGAAACTAATAGTATATCATGTATCAAGTTTGATAAACGCCATTTTATACAAATGTATATATTATTATCTTAAAATGATTTAAATCAAAAATTTGTATAGAGCGCCATCTATGAACCAATAGGCGAATCTGTGTGTCACCGTCAAATGTCAAATTTGTTTATTTTATAAACACAGATTATAAAGGTTATAAATCGAAATGTATTTCTTGAAAATTGACAGTTTTTCACAGTGAAAGTAAAGAAAATGTTTTATGAGCACTTTACAGTGGAGTCCTTGTCCGAATTTAAGTTATAGTTTACTGCCGGCGAAATTAATAGGTCAGTACAATGTTCATATAAACTTTTCAAATATCAAACTATTTAATACTTTTGTATTTTTGTATTGAGATAATAAAATAATTTTCACATTTAGTATTATTTTACAAAAAAGGTACTTTATTTTAACGATTGTATGACATTTGACAACTGTCAACTAACTTAAAACTAACTTCAGCCCGTGACTAAAGCGCCATAAAGCTACAACTTGTCAATGTGTATTTAAAAGGTCACTTAGTGTCATGGAAACATGTACGATAAAGGGCGTTTTAAAGGTGGGAGTAGAAAAATTTATTTATTTATATACATACAAAACAAATTGACGACTGCCCAATATCTGTCTTTTTTCAGTTTAGTTTCTTCTTAAAAAAGGCGTTTCAATTATAATTAAAATTCTCTGAATATAAGTATTCATATACAAAAAAAATACGATGTTGTTTTTGAGAAAAACGACTTTAAAACTTTTTAAACCACCGCCATTTTGTTTTGGATAATTATTTTTTTACTTTTCCGGAATAATTCAATCGAGAATAGTTAGTTTAATAGAAACCAATCAAAATAAATACATGAATAACAAAGATTCGGTTCAAAACGTGAATTTATGTCATTTTAATCGTCGTTGACTTTCGCTAGATATATTTCAAAATGCTCTGTAACTTCGTTACGAAAAGGATTTGAGCGAAACAAAAAAATATGTGTCGCCTTTTTTTAATTGAATAATTATAAAAAACACTAAAAATGAAATATGTGTCTTCACCCAAATTGCCCTGCATGATTTGTAATGGAATGGGCCTGTAGTAAAAGTACACTTGTAATAGGTAAAACCGTTTTGTTTAAAATATTATAAAATCTTTTAAAATTTCAAATTTATATTTATATATATATTGCCCAGAACCAGAACCAGAACATGATTGTGAGACACCCTGTATAGCCATGAAGTTTTAACAAGTATTTTTGATAACAAAATAAGTAAACTTGATTTATTCCTTAATGATAATATCTTTATTAATTAAAATTGCTAAATAAACTTTTATTATTATATTATAAATTCTCCACATTTCAATGATTTTTTATCTACCAAATGCATGTGCACTGTACATAGATAATGAAATTTTAAAACTACAATACAACCACACTATCAATTAGTTATTAATTTGTATGATTATATCAATCGTTTTAAAAAAACCCGAGATGATCATCAAACGAATTGTTTATATTATTTAAAATAGATCTCTAAAATTAAATTACGTAAAACTAAAGTTCAACCACGTTAACATTGTTTTGTATGTAACCTTTACAAAAGGACTGGTAAGTAAATTTACGTAAATAACTCATGTTGAATATATATGTAACTGTTTTTGTAAATATACTAAGCTCACTACGCTTATTCATACGTCTATAAAACAGTTTATAGGTTATGTATACATGCAGTACATAGATAACATACTTAGATATACGAGGTGATTAAAAAATGTACTTTTTAGAGATGGGATGTAAGCTGACTAGACAGAAAAGACGCAAGGAAAATACAGAACCTGTAGTGTTAACACGTAGTCTGTTAATACTAGTACCAACGATAATTTTGACAGATGAAAATGAGGAAAATTCGGTTATTTATGCTCCTGACGGTAATAAACGAAAAAGTGTGGAGAAAAATAAGGAAAAAAAGTTAGGTTGACAGTTTCAAAGTTTTGTTGTATCAATAAAACACAATATTATTGTTATATTTATTTAAATAAAGTTATTAATATAAATTAAATTAAACAAGAGTGCCTTCCTGATTTTCAACAACAATACTTCTAATCTTAAGTAGGTAATTTTTAATAAAATCGTAACATTTGTCCTTTCTATCTTGCAGCACTCTATCCACATCCAACTTGGATAATCTTATCTGTAAGGAAGTTAAAGTTTCATCCAAATCTTCTATGTCTTCTTTAAGAGCCAAGTTTGGCTTCATCTTCTTAACCATCTCAATATCATTCTCGATCCTTCTCAAACTCTTGCTTTGTATTGCTCTATTCTCCAGCTTATTTGCCAATGAGTCCAACTCCGACATACGTTGATATTTCAGCAAAGTCAATTTTTCATTGCACGTTACATCAATTTTGCTCAAATCGTTGGTAAGATCAACAATTTCATCGTCGAGTTCATCGAACTCTGGACTTTCATTGGATCCCTTAAAATCATCAATGTTTTGCTTTAAACGTTCCACTTTCATTTCTATGTTGTTGAGCTTGACTTCCTCCTTATTTTTCTTAAACTTATCCTTGGAACTTCTTATAGAACCCCTGGTGATGTTTAGTATATCATCATCCCGAAATGATTCATCTGTACACTCAGTGTTTATTCTGTTGGTGACGAAGTTAATACACCCTGCTATATCTTCTTGTAGATCGCAAATTTTGCTCTTCAAGTTCTCGTCTGACTTCAAATTCAGATGATCCAATTCTATTATGAGTAAATTAAGACGCCCTTTGAGAGCTAGCGGGTCCATGATACGTATTTCACTTTTAATAATGCTCAAATCTTCGTTTATTTCATTTATTTGCTTCTCCATGTTCAGCTCTTTCTGTTTTTTGCTTAGGGAGGAAGTACCGAGACTTTCCCTGAAGCTCTGTGCTTTGGTTGATCTTTGCTCCAATATTTTTAGGTGTTTTTCGATCTCCCTCACAAACTCCTGTACTGTATTTTCATCCTGTATACCCTCACTGACTTGCAATAGAAGTTTGTTCAATCTAGTTTCGATTTCGTTATACAAAACGTTCTTGTATCCCCCAGAGAACCTTTTGACTTGGTCTTTAAGTTTGTTTAACTCTTCTTTAATCACACCCTCTTTGCTGTCCCTATTGAAACCATAGTTGAGCTTGCTTTCCACAAGGTTGATGCAGTAGTTTATTTTTTGCACGACTTCTTCCTTACTGGTTCTCAACATCTCGTACTGGGAGTTGATGTTGATCTTCGACAGTTTTTCCTTACACACCAGTAACTCTTCTTTGTGCTTGGCTAAGGCTGCAGCATCATCCAAATCCTTCAATATTTCCTTCTCTATATCATCAACGTTGCCTTGCAACAACACAATTCGTTCTAGCGAAGTCTCGACTGATATTCTACTGTTGGGAAACAAGCTTCTTCTCTCGGGCCTTCTTTGTAAGCCAACAAGAACCTCCATTATTTCGTTCTGCAAAACTTTGGCCTTCTCCGACACATTCTCATTCGTACACCCAGTATATTCGCCTAGTTTGTCGTAGTAATTCTGCAGCTTGACCCTGCAACCTTCATTTTTAGGGTCGGTATTCAGTTTGTCCTTAATGAAGACGAACTTGTTCTGTATACTCCTAATATCGTTCATTGTTTCCACTTGTTTGTCGGCTTTGACTACAGCTGCAGTGTTTGTGATGTTTTTGACTTCATCTACGGGGATATTATAGATTTTTGCCTTGGTTTTGATTAGGGCAGGGTTGGTGTAGCTTTTGTTGCTAACGTGGGAGCTGGTGTCATTTTTGAATGACACCTGGCTTTTTCTGAAGTCGAACTTTGTTTGAATATCGTTTTTACACTCCTTTATCGACGTTTCCAATTTTGTCAATGTGAGGTAGATATTTTTAGCTTCTTCAACTGTTTTGGTGTCCATCAAGTCTTCCTTTGTTTTATTCCACTCATTAAATAGGTTGTTAAGACTTTGAATACTCGGTAAGTCATTTGCTTGGTTTCTCAAAAGTACTTGTTCACTGTCTAACTTTGTTATATACTCCGTAACTTCTTTAAGTAGTTTACGTTTTCTTTTAATAGAATTTTCGCTGTTTTCTTGCACATTTTCCACGTGCCTTTTAAGGTTCTCCATTAACTTCCTGTTATCCGTTGTGTCCTTTTTGTTTTTGATTGTTTCGAAGTCCTTTTCGTGCTCTGTGAGCCTATTGGCAACGGTGTACATAGCTAACCGCTCGTTGGTTTTGATCCTCATATCGTCCACTTGCCTGGTCAACTTTTGCTTTCTAGGGCTGTCATCCAGGGCTACCAACAGCACGTTAAATTCCTCAATCTTGTCAAAAACGTGTTTGACCAGAAGAGAATTGTCCGTCTTCAAAGCAGTATCCAACATTATGACTTGCTCTTGCACCGATCTCTCCAAAGCATCGAATTGTTTTTTGTTGGCGGTTTTGTTGGTTTGGTTAAGTTGGTAGTCCATGTCGCGGCTCTTGCGTATTTCCTTTATAGCTTTGTTCACCTTGTTGTAACACGTGGTCAGCTGTCGCTGAATGGATTCGTGTTTTTCTTGCAGAGGCGAACTCGGTTCAACTTGTATCATTTGAAGGTCGGTGGAGAGGACGTTGATGGTTTTTTCTATGGTTCTTAGGGATTTGCTGTCGTTGTTGTCTATGGCCGTCTTGATTTCTTGCTTCAACGACTTCAATCGGCCTTCTATATCACCCATTGAGGTAGGTTGTTGAACAGCCTTCCCCAGAAGATTTTTCTTCGGTTTTACTTCAGATACGTACGAACTACTAGATGCCACGCTATATCTGGACTGCCTACGACTTACAGGCACGTTAACAAATGATGATGTGGCTATAAATGTGTCAGATGCTCGTCTTAGCTCACCACTGCTTATTTCTCTGATCAAATCTTCGATTAACAGTATGGCATGGTCAACCTTCTTCTTGCTAGCCTTCTTACACTTAACAGCCTCGTCACTTAACTTCTTTAGGTGCTGTATGCATTGCGTTTTGTCAATTGCTCCATTCGACTGGCGATACGATTCAATTATAGCGGTGGCCTTGAGTTCGACTAAATCTAGACGTTCTTTCGAATGTTCGGCACCCATATCTACAAAATTATCATAACATGTGCTAATTTATGTGTATAATTAGAATACTTACTTTGATGGTAGATTATAACATATTTAACACACCAATACAACAATGCGTGTACCAAAAATGTGGTTATACTGATTGTAAGATAAGATTGTGTTGTGTGACGACGATATTTAATTTTAGTTGAGATAAGAATGAAACAAATATGTTCAAATAAATTGAACTAATAAGTTTAATTAATGTACTGATAAGCCAGATAAATTCTTATAGAGTTAGCAATCAAACGATAATTGATACAGTAAAAAATTTATTAATAAATTATACAAATTATATAGCGGTTGTTTTGGTTAGCTGGGATATTTTTTCGCTTAATTCTTCTGTACTTTTATATTGTTGAATGCGGTTAATTGTAGGAGACTTCGGCATAGCATTTTCATTGGCTCTTTGCTCAAGAAAATTTATACAACTTGTGCAATAATTTTTAGCGTCATTCCACTTCGTGTAACCTTCTTCATTCAATTCTAACTCGTGTAAGTCAGATTGGCAAATCATTAAATGATCACGTAGCTTTCTATACTCATGGCTATTTTGTGTGTCGTTGAATTTGTTGATGTTCAGCTCTATATTCCTGAGTTTCTCTATCAAATTATCCAGTTGCTCTTGTTCATTGATGCTCTTGTTGTCTTGATACTCCAAATCCTTCTCCAAAACAATGTTAACCGACTTCCTCTTCTCCAATTCGTTCTTCATTGCATTTGGCGTCACATTGACCCCTCCCATTTTTAATATGGACTTTCTTCTTTGAGAGTCGGGCGAACTAAAAACACTACTCAATATTTCTTTATCTGGAACCACTCGTACAACCTTCAGTTCCACCGTGTTCCTCTTCTTGGTAGCTTTCTTGAGCTGCTCAGCTTCAAGTTCTTCGTCTGTGGTATACCCACCCGACACCACTGTGTTGATTTGGCTGGTGACGTCTTCCTCTCTCACCCTAGATTTTCTTCGTCTTGGTTTGTTGGCGATTTCGTCGCGATTCAACTCAATTTTATTGTTCAACACTAGCTCCACCTCATCTATAATCTTCCCTATGTTTTTGTACGTACTGTGCAGTTCATTTTGAAGATCCCGGCCTCTCCTAGCGTACTCTCTTCTGATTTGGTGTAAGGCTCGATGCAAGTCTTCATACGCATCGTCTTCTTCCACACCTTTAAACTTATTCACATTCTTCTTAAGAGCCTCTATTTTATCGCCCACTTTATACAATGACTTCCTCTGCGTCCTACGTAAGGTATTATTGCGTTTTAGTTGACTTTTGGAGCTACTACCGCCCATTTTACTTGTAATACACACAATAAATATTGTCGTGTTATTAACAAACACCTTGTTAATGATTGTTTTTGAAATTAGGCTGGTTTTTATCTGCAGATAAGATAGTGCTATGTATACATGAATAAAGGGTATACGCTAAATAAAACAGTGTTGTTTGTGTGTGTAATTTTTATTTGTTTTGTTGACAGTCCTAATGTTTCATCTGAAATGTTGTAATTATACCATTTATTATTAATTTCTATAATATACTTACCAGAAAACCTACTATCTTGGGTGTGTGTGCATTATGTTCTATTGGTTCTAGAATTTTATTATTACTTAGATAACCCTCATTACATTGTGCAATAACTTTTTCGTGTTCAATTAAACTTTTTCTATTTTCATCTTCAATTGTAGGCGATACAAACTTCTTTTCATGCTCTATTGGTTCTAGAATGTTATTATTACTTAAATAATCTTCAATGCACTGGGCAATAGCTTCTTCGTTTTCTATCAAACTTCTTCTATTTTCATCAACCCCGTCAGGAACTGTCAAAGTATCGGTTTCCGGTATGGAATTTAAGGTTTCTAGATCGGGTTTCTCTTCTAAAAAGTTATCAAATGTCTCCGATATGAACTTCTTGTTCTTTCTGCATATACTCTTGTTTCTTACAGGTGGTTTCAAGAAAACATCGGCAGGTTTTTCCTTGTTTGTTTCCAGAATTTGCTCCCACGCATTTAAAGAGTTCTGTGACGCCATCATTGAAGCCCTTCTTGATTCTCTTAAGTGGAGGGTGTTCAAATTACACTCGCTCCTAGAGAATACTTTAACCTAAAAAATAACATTACTATTTACTATTTTTTTGCACCAATCATACCTTTTCCTGGACGTAGCTGTACCGCTTTCTCTCAGCTTCATTGAGAACGTCTATGGAGTTCAAATGATCCAACTCAGCTTCGTTTTCTCGAATACTATCCACTTGGCTTTTAATATTCTTTAATTTTTTCAGGATTTCTTTGTAATGATAATCCTTGGCTTTTTCTATATCATAGTCACCTTCCCTTAGTCTTGTGGTGATGTTTTCCAGGTTTTCCGTAACGGTTATTTCCAGTTGTATGCAACATTGCAATAAGTTTATGTAGAATGGTTTTAGGAATGTTTTCGACATTTTAAAATAACTAGAACTTCTATGGTTTCTGCAATAATTGTATCATCTTATCTGTAAACGTAGATAAGGTGATAATAAAAATCGATGTTCTATTATATTATGAATTTGTATATTTTCTATCTAATGTCGACATTATACTTTGTATATATAAAATTGTATTCCGACGGTGTTCCTTCACAATTTCTAAACCTTTAGTGTCCATTTCATCAAGTGTTATAGTTTTCTGGAGAAGAATTTCCTCATATTTTTTGTACACCATCAAATCCGGACTTTTAAGACTAAGTATTTCTTTTTCCAACTCTGAAACTTCTGTTTTGATTGTCGATATCTTTTTCAGTAGGAGTGGATTTTTATCTTCTTCACCATTTCGTTGACACTTGAGATCTTCTTTGTGCCATACTGACATTTTAAGACAAAGTGCATAGATTATACAGACTTGCTATTACTAAAATGGGATCAGCATTTTCAAGAGGTAAATTTGTGTGTACCATATAATAAAATATATTTAATAATTTAATTGTAGACCATATTATTCAACAAAGCTTGAAAGAAGATTTTGATGTAATCCTAAGCAAAATTGGGCAAAGTTCCTTTCAAGAAAAATACGAGTCATTCAAGGAAACTTTGGAAGACTACAAACCCAAGAAATTTCTATATGTAACCTACACAAATAAGCTTAAGGATGTTAAGGATATTCACAATAAAATTCTGCAAATAAATTTCAGCACCCTTGAGATACACAACGATTTGGAGACAGTTTGCAGCAAAAATCGTGTACATAAAATGATAAAAACATCGCAAAATCACCTCAACCATTTACCTTTGTTAATGAAGAATGAATTGTTACGATCGGACAGCATAGAGTTGCTTCAAACTTTGGAAGTTAGAAGTCATGACAATCTTCACAGACTATATTTGGTGCAGTTGGTTTTAATCGAAAGCCAATTGGGCGATATTGAAGCAAATTTCAGCAGAAACAAGTTGTACAGCCAGGACGAAGAAATCCTAAAGCACAATTTGAAGTTTCTAAAGGCATTACAAGTGAGAGATCTATCGTTACTAAAGAAATGCAAAAAACTTCTTGTTGTTTACAACGACTTGAAATTTAAGGAAGTAGCTGAAGAAAACCTGATAGAAATTGGAGAAGATTCACTTGAAATTACTGAAGAAGAGGTCAGCGTTAATTTTGATGATAAAAACGTTTCTTTTGTTAATTCAAAACAAGAATAAACATATTTGAGATAACCCAGTCATATTTCTTTGTTTAACCTATCCAATTGCTGTTGTCCCTAGATATATATGCTTGTGATTTTAAATCTTGACGATGGCTTTAACATTGTTTATTGAGTGGATTAGTATTCTTTACATCATGGTAACTGTTTTATTTTCTGAAACATTTGTTTACAGCAATCAGCTTCTCTTCAATAAGATCGACCAAAGGACATCATGCGCAGGACTGGAGTCGGCAGGACGAAAAAAACCGCCTCCATTGTTAAGATCAAGGACTTTGCCAGCTATAGTGGTTCCAGGGGTTAACATTTTACATGCGCATCTGGGAACCCAACCAGGTAAATAAACAGATGACTTTATAACATGTTTAACAATGTGGTTAACTGTATAGTTGTATATAATGATGTTGACAATTTAAAAATGTGTTTATGACTGTTTTGGCTAAATTTTTAAACGGTCTTTTGACATTCCAACATATGTTTTAGAGATTCTTAAATACGTTTAGGGTCAGAAAATCAAAGATATCATGATGAAATTTGATGATATTTTAAATTATGGTTTTCACCCCCTAAAATATTATAAATTGTGATTTTGACAGTCTAAACACATTTTATTACCTATGTCAAATTTGTTTTTGAAATTCTTAAATTTATTTAACATTCTGAAAAGTTTTTATGGTTTTGACAATTTTACTTTTACGTTTTATTTTAATTATGGTTTCGACCCTCTAAAACATGGTTGACTTTCTAAACTGTGATTTTGACGTTTGAGAATAAAAATTCTGAGAATACATTTTGACAATCTAATCTAATATATGTTTTTGACATTTTTAAATTAATTGACATCCTAAAACCTGTTTCTGGCTATTTTGACATTTTTTTAATTAATGACATTACAAAATATGTTTTAAAGATTCTTAACTATGCTTTATATGTCATAAAATGTGTTATGGTTTTGACTTTCTAAAATGTGACATTATGATTTTGACATTTTAAAATGTGTTTAGGGGCAACAAATCAAAGATATCATGATGAAATTGATGTTCTATAATATGTTTTGGACATTTTGACCCTCTAAAACATGTTATACATTCTAAATTGTGATTTTGACATCCTTAATGTATTCAAAAATCTTAAAACATATGTTAATATTTTAAATGTGTTTTCGACATTATTAAACAAAATTATTTGACATTCTGAAATGTTTTTATTCTTTTTAAAATTGGTTTTGAAATTTTTACATGCAATTGTTTCTTAAACTTTAAATTATGGTTTCGACCCTCTAAAACATGTTTTACATACTAAACTGTGATTTTGACACTTGAGAACAAAAAATTAAAAAAAAACATTTTGACAATCTAATTTATATCACATTTTTAAAGCAGTTTCTGGCTATTTTGACATTTTTTTAAATATTGACATTACAAAATTCTAAACTGTAATAATAATACCTATTTATATTATGTGTTATGGTTTTGACTTTCTTAAATATGACATTCTAAAATGTATTTTGTTTATTCAAATATCTCAAAACACATTATAGAAAGTAAACATCAAATTTTAAGTTGTGTTTTAAATAAGTTTTGACAATATCAAGTTGATTTTGAAATTTCAAATTTTCGTAGCGGTTTTTATAATTTTAAAATTTGAAGCACATCCTAAAATGTAATTTTGAAATTATTAAAAATGTTTTACATTATTCAGCATATAAAAAGTGTTTTTGACATCTCATACTTAGGGCAGCAAGTTGATGTTCTATAATATGTTTTTGACATTTTAAATTATGGTTTTGACCCTCTAAAACATGTTTAACATTCTAAATGGTGATTTTGACATTTAAAAATAAAAAATCTAAAAACACATTTTGACAATCTAATCTAATATGTTTTTTTGACATTTTTAAATTTATTGACTTTCTAAAACTTGTTTCTGGTTATTTTGACATTTTTTTAAATATTGACATAACAAAATGTATTTTAAAGATTCCAAACCATACTTTATATGTTATAAAATGTGTTATGGTTTTGACTTTCTAAGATGTGACTTGACTTGTGGTGTCATCGTAATTTTGACATTCTGAAATGTTTTTATGCTTTTTAAAATTGGTATTGACATTTTTAGATGTAATTTTTTACTCATTGTTTTTTACAATTTATATTATATTATAAAGCATGTTTGACATTCTAAATTGTGATTTTGACATTTGAGAATTAAAAATCTGAAAACACATTTTGACAATTCAATTTATGTCTTTGACATTCCAAAACCTGTTTCTGGCTATTTTGACATTTTTTAAATATTTAGATTACAAAATGAGTAATGATTTATGGTTTTGACTTTCTAAAATGTGATTTGACTTAGGGTGTCATTGTGATTTTAACATTCTAAATTAATTTTCATTTTAAAAATTGGTTTTTGTATTCTTGAGTTTCTTAAACATGTTTGACTTAAATTGTGATTTTGACATTTAAAAATAAAAAATCTGAAACACATTTTGACAATCTAATCTAATATGTTTTTTGACATTTTTAAATTTATTGACTTTCTGGTTATTTACATTTTTTTAAATATTGACATAACAAAATGTATTTTAAAGATTCCAAATTATGCGTTATATGTAGGGATGGGATTTTAGTTATTTTACCTTTTTTCAACCGATGTAACTATTTGAAAACCAATAATGCCAAAATGTGTTTTAAAAGATTTTCTTTTATATGAACCTAACTTGTTTTCACCTTTTTTACCTTTTTTGGAGGTTTTTGCCTTAAACTACCTTTTTTATACTTTTGTTACCTATTTTTTTAAATTGTTTTCACCTTTTTTACCTTTTTTGGAGGGTTTTGCTTTAAACTACCTTTTTATACTTTTGTTACCTATTTTTTAATTTGTTAGTTTATTTTTACCTGTTTGTTACCTATTTTTAATTATTTTATTTTTTTGTGTTCTTTTTAAATTTTGCGCCAATATTTTATCCAGTTCCTTATAGCTTTAATTAACTATTGGTCAGTTTATAAAAAAAATATTTTACGTTACTTATTTTATAAAAATAAACGAAACTTGAACTTTTAATGTTTTTTTTTAACTAAAATGCTGTTTTTCTAACCTAAAATGGTTTTTTTATTACCTTTTTAGTTTACTATTTTTCAGTTTTCAGTACCTAAATATCCCATCCCTAGTTATATGTCATAAAATTTGTTATGGTTTTAACTTTCTAAAATGTGACTTGAGTTGTGGTGTCATTGTAATTTTGACATTCTACAATGTGCTTAATGTAGATATTCAAAAATCTTAAAACTCATGTTAATATTTCAAATGTGTTTTTGACATTATTAAATTTATTTGACATTCTGAAATGTTTTTATGCTTTTTAAAATTGGTATTGACATTTTTAGATGTAATTTTTACTCATTATTTTTTACAATTTAAATTATCTAAAGCATGTTTGAGATTCTAAATTGTGATTTTGACGTTTGAGAATTAAAAATCTGAAAACACATTTTGACAATCCAATTTATGTCTTTGACATTCTAAAACCTGTTTCTGGTTATTTTGACATTTTTTAAATATTTAGATTACAAAATGAGTTATGAGTTATGGTTTTGACTTTCTAAAATGTGATTTTAACATTCTAAATTAATTTTCATTTGATTTTTTTTGAAGATTTTATTTTTTTGTTTTGTTTTGTTTCAGATGAAAAATCCCCTTCGGGTAGGATTTCATTCAGCAGAGATGACTCGGTGGCTTTAGACCTACGAAGAAAATCCGCAATTTCGAGACTATGCACCTCAGCAAACTACGGCCCTGAACGGAGCTCAGACGGTACAATTTTGCTGAGGTAAACCTATCACACACTCAAAAAAGATCGGGGGTTCACGTTAAACCATTTCTAGGGTGCCAGCCCCACACATAGTTGCCGCGAAAGCTCTCAAAGTGCAGAGTCCAGGCGGCAGCAACACTGCTCTATTCAAAATAGGCAAATTATTGAGCCAGGGGTGCTCAAAGAACCAAATCGTCGTTGACGACACGAACGTAACAAGAAGACTGAGTTGGGAGAGGTGAGTAGAAGAATAATAGTGATTGACAGTGACGAATTGTCTTTTCCTCAATTTAAAACCTTTTAACCCTGGAAGAGTAAAGTAAACAAGGAGCAGATCCTAAAATGGATTTGCCGCTCCCTCATAAATATTAAATGGAGCATTAGTTTCCACCGCCGAAAAAATCGTCGGAACACAAATTAAATTATTGACGTTTCAATTGGAAATTGGTTATTGTGTTTTTGATATTGTTCGTCTTGAACAAAAGAAACATTCCGTGCCGAGATAATTAATCTGCCCTTTCAGCGGTGCTACGAATCATTTGTTTTTTTGTTTTTTTTCGAGTTTATCGATTTTATTAGTTTTCATCGTCCCAGATACCCTAAATAAGTATTAAATGTATACGCTATACGAAACAGAAGTTTTTGGGTAGATAATTTAAGTCTATTTTTCTAAAATATTTTGAATAAAATGCAACATCCGGTTTAACCGGAAGTGACATAAACTTTTTAATTTTAAATAAAACACCCCATATATTTTTACATTTTTAAATTCCACATAGAATTCTGAGTAAAATTACTATAGAATAGTTTTCGAGCAATTAAATTATTTTTATTATTATTATTTTTTCGTTAAAATTTGACAAATGCGCGTCAATCATAAATAGCCTATAACATTTTTTTTTATTAGGTTGGCCGATACTGACCCTCTACAACATGGTTGACATTCTAAATTATGATTTTGACACTTAAGGTATTTAAAAATCTTAAAACACTTGCTATTATTTCAAATGTGTTTCTGACATTCTGACATTCTTTGATTCTAAACACATTTTGAAAATCTAATCTAATATATATTATGTGTGTTTTTGACATTTTTAAATTTATTATTGACATTCTAAAACCCGGCTATTTTGACTTTTTTGTTAAATATTGACATTACAAAATGTGTTTTATAGATTCCAAACTATGCTTTATAAGTCATAAAATGTGTTGTGGTTTTGACTTTCTAAAATTTGACATTATGATTTTGACATTTTAAAATGTGTTTAGGGGCAGCAAAGATATCATGATGAAATGTATGTTCTATGATAGATTTTTGACATTTTCAATTACGGTTTTGACCCTCTAAAACATGTTATACATTCTAAATTGTGATTTTGACATCCTTAATGTATTTAAAAATTTTAAAACACATGTTATTATTGGTTATTGTGTTTTTGACATTCTGAAACGTTCTAATGCTTTCTAAAATAAGTTTTGATTTTTTTACATGTAATTTATTCTTATTGTTTTTTACAAATTATGGTTTCAACCCTCTAAATATGTTTGAAATTCTAAATTGTGATTTTATCATTTGAGAATAAAGAATCTGAGAACACATTTTGACAATCTAATCTAATATGTACATATATGTTTTTGACGTTTTTAAATTTATTAACATTCTAAAACCTGTTTCTGGTTATTTTGACATTTTTTTTTTAAATATTGACATTAACAAAATGAATTTGATGGTTTTGACTTTCTAAAATGTGACTTGACTTGTGGTGTCATTGTGATATTGAGATTCTAAAATGTGTTTAGGGGCAGCAAATCAAAGATATCATGATGAAATGTATGTTCTATGATAGGTTTTTGACATTTCAACCCTCTAAACATGTTTGACATTCAAAATTGTGATTTTGACATTTGAGAATAAAAATTTGTGTTTGACATTTTAAAATTTATTAAATTTCTAAAACCTGTTTCTGGTTATTTTGACATTTTTGTTGAATATTGACATAACAAAATGTATTTTAAAGATTCCAAACTATGCTTTATATTTTATAAAATGTGTTATAGTTTTGACATTTTTTAAATATTGACATTACAAAAAGTATTTTAAAGATTTTAAACTGCTTATATAAAATTTCATGGTTTTGACTTTCTAAAATGTGACTTGACTTGTGGTGTCATTGTGATTTTGACATTCTAAAATGTGTTTAGGGGCAGCAAATCAAAGATATCATGATGAAATTTATGTTCTATAATATGTTTTTGACATTTTAAATAATGGTTTTGACCAAACATGTTAGACATTCTAAATTGTAATTTTGACATATGAGAATAAAAAATCTGAAAACAAATTTTGACAATTTAATCTATGTTTTAGAAATTTTGAACTTTATTGACATTCTAAAACCTTTCTTTGAAATTACAAAGATTCCAAACTATGCTTTATATGTTATAAAATATATAATAAATCAAAGATATCATAATAAAATTTATCTTCTATAATATGTTTTTAACATTTTAAATTATGGTTTTGACCTTCAAAACATGTTAACTTGTGATTTTGACATTCTATTTTATTACTTATGCCAAATGTTTTTTTGAAATTCTTAAGTTTATTTGACATTCTGAAAAGTTTTTATGCCTTTTAAAATTGGCACTAATTTATTACTAAATGTTTAAACTATATATCCTTCATTTACATTTAAGCATTTCTTAATTTTTATTTCTACATTAGACATTGCTCTTCTTGACTAAAATATTGTTTGTTTATTAAATTGTTAAAGTTTCGCATTCTTTCATTTTGTTTGGCTTGTCAATGTTTTTCATAAGACACCGTAACTTTTTATGAGTAATTTTGTTTAGAAAAAACTTAGTCAACAAACAACAACGTGAAAAATTAACGCCATTGACCTACTAGGTAACCATAGATACTGTCAACTCACCCGTCACAGGTTTCTTGATAAAAAAAAATTATTTAAATTTATAAAAATTGTTCAATATCTCTTAAATTAGGTTATTAACTTTTCAAGTTTTCTACCCTGTATTCTCAAACCTAGTAAGAAAAAAGTTATAAGCTATTTTTGATTGACGCGTATTTATCAAATTTCAACGAAAAAAATTCACTTTAGGTATAGGACATGGTACAGTAATTTTACTCAGAAATATATGTAAAATTTAAAAATGTTGAAATATATAGGGTGATTCATTAAAAGAACAAAGTGGATGCCAGTGGCATCATGCCACTTATTTTAAAAAAATATACTTAAATTAATTATAAACACTTTTAAAATTTTAAATCGTTCCCCAGAAACTTCTAATGAACCACGTATAGTCATTAAATATTTTATTAAATAAATAAACTCGTGAACCTTGCCCCCACCTAACATTGACATTGAGCACGAAGAACTATTAAATGTAGAAAATCTTTTCCCGCAATAGACATTAAAGGATGTTCACCTCTTAGTTTAGGTTTTGTTTTACGTCGTTGTGTTGCAGACACTGTTAAACGCAGATACGTCCTTAATAAATAAACTGCAGAGAGACATATCGCATAAAATGTTTTTATGATTTGGTTGTCTCTCGATTTGAGATGATTTTATTGACGCTTGCACATACAACGTTGGGCCATTTGTTTTAAGTGCGCATAATTCGGATTTGTCGATGTGTGCGAACATTGTTCAGCATTCACTTTAATTCTTAATTGATAAAGACAATTGTGTCTCAAAAAGGAACTTAAAAAAGCTAAGGAGGATAATACATAATATAATACCTGTTTTTGGTCTTTTTCCGTTGAGTGGAGACCTAGCTGATTAATATTAGTTCGGATGAGTTAATAATTGAAAAAAAATTGATTGAGAGACAGTTCTAACAAATCTAATTTGTGCATGGCATAGATTTAAGAGTACTTAATTAAATTTCATTTGATTAAGGACTTATTGGACCTCCTTTATAAAGTTTCTTAGAGTGTAAAGTTTAATGGCCGTATGCACAAAACAGAGTTAAGATTTGTTGAGCCAATAAATGTCTGCAACATCTGCCATCATCACTGAATAATTTGGACTTTTATTTAGGGAGCGTTTCACGAAATGTTACAAGAAAATATTGCAAGAAAATTAATGCAAACGTCAAATCTACAAGTTCGAATTTAAGTTAAGTAAGTTTAAGTAAGCACTTCTTATTAAATTTACACGGAGGTTATGTATAAAGCAGTGGCGGCTCGTGAACCGCTATATGGCACCGCAGGCAATTTTAATAAAAATATATTATTTAAAAATATGTTCTAATAATAATACAAAAAGTGCGGGACGAGGTGGGATTTTTATTTATTCCTTCAGCAGGTTTCCACATTACCAAGGAGGTACTGCTCATTTTTACCTATCTTACAATAATTATTTTTAGATTAATAAAGGCACAACCGCACAACAACAAAATAATAATGTACAAGCACAGTAGTTATATGAAACTCAACGATTTAACACTGAACTATAAAAAAACATGAATATTTTTTATTTATATTTTTTGTGATTTTTACTGTGGTATTTGTGTGTTAATAATATACAATAATGTACTTTACGCTTGCATTTTTATCACAACTTTCCATTTTAACGCTAAGACAAATAGACCAGGGTCGATAATTTTTGAAACCAAAAATAACAGTACGATGAAACCCATTGAAAAAGGAGAAGAATATAATAAAAATGAAAGGAAAAATAAATTACGGGCGATCTGACTTCGGGAAGTGGGAGGGGGGGGGGGTTTAAGGGTAAAAAATGGTTTATCTCGATTTCCGGCAAAACTACAAGTCCTATGGAAAAAAGTTAAATGGCAAAGTCTACAACTTTTGTAATTACAATTTTTTTACATAGCCTCAAAATTTATGTGAAAAATTCAAAAAACCAAGTTTTTGGTTTTTTATTTTTATCTTTTTCAAAAAAAAAATTTTTCCACGAAATTTGGTGAAAACTTACCTTTTTATGTCCCAAATACACTGTAATTTATTTGATTTGAAATATTTATTATTTCGCCTTATTTTGACTTAATATCAAAAAAGCACCCTAATTTTCAATCGAAAATTCTCGCGTCAAAATATCAGCTTTTTCAAAAAGTCGGTGTGCTTTTTGTTCGTTAAAATCTCTACTTTCTGATAGTGTAAAAAAATATACATTTCTACGGTAAATGTTCTCAGAAAATGCAAAAAATATTATAATGAATAACGAAAAAAACTCGAATTCGAAAATTTATTTTAATCATTATGTACAATTTCATCAAAAAAATGTGATTGTTGCAATTTTTTTTAGTTAAAAAGTTTATTTATTAAATACTAATAACATTTATGTCAGAAAATCTCATAAAATATAAAAATACATGTAAATCATACTATTGAATTTAGATACTTCATTCTGATTACGTTATTCATTATAATATTTTTTGTATTTTCTGAGAACATTTACCATAGTAATGTATATTTTTTTACACCATCAGAAAGTAGAGAGTTTATCGAACAAAAAGCACACCGACTTTTTGAAAAAAGCTGATATTTTGACGCGAGAATTTTCGATTGAAAATTAGGGTGCTTTTTTGATATTAAGTCAAAATAATAATTCTAACTTCTACTAAACACAATGGTTGACATCAAAGACGTTTTGGAAGCGGATGCAACCCTGCATCACGATTTGGCGCGCGGTAATTGGTTGGAATTTACAATAAAATTAAAAATTAAAATTTTATATGCGAATAGTAAAATTACAAAAATTATGCAAATATTACAAATTGATATGTATTTAAAACAATAATAATGTAAATATTGAAATGTATTTTTACATAACAAATAATAATATTCCATTGTAAATTCACAAAAATTATTAATTTTACAAAAAACTGTGTATATTTTCATAAATTAACTAAATGTGTTAAAATGTGTAAATTTACAGGAATTTTTTTTGAGTGTAGTGTAATTAGTTAGTCATACGTGTTTTAATTTGCAGAAGGGGTACAATAAGTTCAAGACTACCAAGGTCGTCGAGCATCGACTCCATGGTGGAAGCTGTGTGGTCGGAAAGCCAGGACCCGCCCATAGAACCGATTATCATACCGGAAAAACGGCCATCCTTGAGACCGGACAGGACATTAGCTCTTGTTTCTCCTTCGGTGGGACGAAGGATGAAGGGACAAAGAGGAGTGAACGGTGAGTGGGCAAAATAAACGAAAAAGAAATATAAACTTTACTGGATAATAAAAAGTAAGAAACGTTGTAATTTATAGGCAACTTCACGGGGAGTTGTTGAAATCTTGAAGTGCTTATAAACTTCTTTCGACTACAAAGTAAATAATTTTTAAAGTACGAGATTAAATTGAGTTTTATGTGCAAGTCTTTGAAGAAACAATATATGCCAAATATGTCATTAAAATAATAAGTTTGTTTTCCTGGATATAGGTACCCTGAAAATTTCATCAAAAGCCTATTTGTAATGTAAATTACAATAAAAGATATTTCTAAAAAGTGTACAGATCCGTGTGTGGTATAAATATGTTCCTCGTGGTTTAAACATTGTCACTTTAATTTTTTTTGTTTTAATTCTTAAAACAAACAGTAAAATGGCCAGTGTCCAATTACTGGTTGGTAAAAAATGTAAATTTCTATTATTGGACATGTCCAATATCATACTCTATTTGTATCCCGAACATTTACCAGCCAATTCTTATGTAAAATTGTCCCCTGAATCCGAAAAGACCGTCAAAAACTATAAAAGTTAAGCAGTTTTTGAGATATAGTCAATTCCATATTATATGTAAATTTAATTATATTTCAAAATCTGTTCTACTTTTATAACTTTTGACGACATTTCGGATTCAGCGAATAATATTTCATAGGAATTGACTGCTAAATGTCCTGGATACAAATTGCTGTTGACGAGAATTATTAGTGGCTGCTTTTTCGCTATGACATTTTTGACTAATTCATTTTTAGAGAGTAAGTAATATAGTGATTTCTTCGTCACAGGACATCTTGCAGAATAACAGTGATTTAAAAACAGTGCATGATAAAAAAAAAACTAATGGCAACAAAATTAATAAATTCTGATAATACTTTTAACATACCACCCGAAAAATATTAGATATATATAAATCATCCTGTTCCGGCCTAACCATTATAAATGCTTCACAAACTAGAGACACCACACTTAATGATATTTCAACAAACTATTTCAGAAGTCAGACCAAAGAATTAGTAGTTACCTTCAGAATCAAGAAAGGGGATGAGGAATCCGATAAAGAAATATATGAATTATATGATAATTACCAAAACGAAATAAAAAAAATTACCTAAAACAACAATTTATCTTTAAAAAATATTTAACAATTTATGTTATTTAATGTAAAGTTTTTATGTTTATATAAATATTGTATGTCCAATAACTATAGTTATTGGACATACAATATATATACCATATATGGTCCATGTGTCCAATTACTACATAAAATGTCCAATTTCTATACTTTTTTGCATGTTTTTATAAAACTAATATTAAAAATTCAAATATTCTTATTTTTAAGTAAACGTAAATTAAGTTTAAACAAACAAACTATCCTTTTTATATATTTATAAGAAAAAAACTAAAATCTTTAAATCAACGGCATATATAAATTATATTCGTTAAGGGTCCAATAACTTTCCTTTGTTAAAATAATTACATGTTAAAATTTTACAAAATAAAATTAACAAACTACAAACTCATTTAACAAATCTGATTTTTATAACAGTGTAATGTCATATTATAAAAATTATTATTTTGGATAATATTGTATTTTTTAACATGGTTCTTTTAAAATAATTGAATACGGCCCTGATAGGCACTTGTTCCGTTACAAAACACCAAAAGGTAACCAAATAAAGTGAAAAACAAAATACGATCTCGCCTTTGTTAGACAAAGATGACCTGACTTCTTGTTACCTGTTTCAGTTAAAATGCTTAGTATTAAACAGTGTCAAGTTCCATTTAAGCAAAAACAAAGAATTTTCACTAATCCCGCATATTTTTCTAAACTTTTACATGTAAAAGCATGTATAAACGTTACTCTTATAAGTTTTCTGTGACAAAATCAACCTAGCGTTGAAGTCGTTAGATTGCAGGTGTCTTAAGTAGCTTTTGTTTTGTTTTCTTATTGGTCAGTTGAGTGAGTGAGGTTAGAGTTTGTAACGTTTCCATGAAAATGTGAGAAAACGGCGGAATTTTTTGTTTTGATGAAGATTTTATTCCGTCAAACTGAAGAAAAAATACGGTGAGATTGTAATTTTGTTTTTCGAAAAGTTTCAAGGATACAAGAGTAAAGTTTATGTGCACTATCGACTTATATTAGAGTTTGAAAAAGTTTAAATTATGCACGTAAATAACTAGTTTTCTCGTTGAACTTTTCCCAAGGTTTTTACATTAAAAAAAGTGCATTTTGTGAATATTTTCAACAACTTTAATTTGTTTTTTAGCCTTCTTTGATTCCAAATAAGCTAAAATATTGTACTCTCAATAAGGAATGATTGTTTATAGTAATATAAACAAAACAAGTAATCTTGGTTGCCTATCTATGTAAATAATATAAATACAAGTATATTTAATTGCATTTTAGCGTGATTAACTGCTATCAAAATACATTTATCTAGTTACATAGGAAATACACATCCCCAGATAAAAAATTGATTAAATAGGTCACAAAAAAATCAAGTAGGATGACATTTTTGTGACATTTTGATGAGCGGCAGTAAAAGTATTTTTACTGCCGCTCTAAGATACGTTATTTTTGTGTAGGTACGCGTATTTTCAAAATAATAGTTAACATTGTTTTCAAATTAAACCCAATATATCTATGACGTCCGTACCTATATTTAACAACGATTTGTGTACTGGTCAGTCTTTTACAAGATATTAATTAAATACAGGGTGTTTCACATTCAACTTTGTTACTTTTATATTTTTAAATTCTGTATAAAATTCTGAATAAAATTACTATACCATGTCCTATACCTAAGGTCAATAGTTTTCGAGATATTAATTTTTTTCGTTAAAATTTGACATTTGACAAATAGCCTATAACTTTTTTGTCATTAGATTTACAGATATGAGGGTGGAATTTTTGGAATCTTAAAACATTGTTTAAAATATTCCATGTCAATTCTTTAACATTTTTCAACAAATTACTTGAGAAAACCCAGGGCAAATTAGGCTAACTTGAAAGGTTAATAACTTTTTATTTGAAATGTAACACCCGGTATATTTTTACATAATCAAATGGTAAATTAAAAAACCTTTCGATTGATATAACCATTCCCTATACCTAAAGTTAATAATTTCAAAGATATTTAACAATTTCTAAAAGAATAAAAATTCTGATTTTGCAAATAAAAAATATGCACTATGCTATGTGCATAAGTGATCCAATTACTTTTCTTAACTTGCTGCAAATAACAATAAACCTATTTTATTGTTCTATTTGTTAAATTAACTGTAAACAAAACGAATATTGCGAAATTTTTGATTTCATATTCTGTAGTTGGCGATCATTTTAGTGACGTAAGCACCCTACGGCGTTGTTTCTACTACCAAGAATCAAACATAAGAAGAAATACAGCGTTGCCATGTCTATGATTTAGGTAATTTAAATAGATGTGATTAGACTTTTTGTTTTTTGTGGTTTAGGATTTACGTATTTGCTATTTGGTTAGATTATCGTGATTAAATTATTTTGTTGATAAAAAAGTTAAATTAAGACATATCCACGAATGTATTGGGTAAATATGTGGTGAAATATGCAAATCATTCATATATTAAGGAAAAATCATAACAATTTTTTTTACTTGCAAACACGCGATCAAATATGACAAAAAAATTAGCCTTGCACTAGGTCTCGTAATTTTTATAATTTAAGTACGATTTTAATAAATTATATGTCAAATTAAAGACAAATTTATCTTGTTTACAAAAATATTTGCACATATTAGGCGACTTCCATACGTTCTTAGATATTAAACAAAACATAAAAGAACGTCAAATGATAATTTTTATGTTTATACACCGATACGTCAAATGAAAGCTCATTAAACAAAAATTCGACTTAACCTCGCAGTTATCCCACGCAACCTAGTTATGTTAAAAAAATGTTTTTAATGTACAGCACGTTTTTTAAAGTTTTTATTTTTAATCCGATTTTAAAATTTTACACGTCAAAATGAAGCCTATTTAATCTAGTTTCCAAATATATATGCATTTTGGTGGAGACTTCCATGCGTTTTTATATATTCCACAAAATAGGAAAAAAAAAATTGGCTTGCACTAGGTCTCGTAACTTTTTTAGTTTAAGTGCGATTTTGATGAACTATATGTCAAATTAAAGACATATTTATCTATTATTTACAAAAATATTTGCACATATTAGGCGACTTCCATGCGTTCTTAGATATTTAACAAAATATAAAAGAACGTCAAATGATAATTTTATGTTTATACACCGATACGTCAAATAAAGGCTCATTGTACAAAAATTCGACTTTACTTCGCAGTTATCGCACGCCACCTGGTTATGTTTAAAAAAATGTTTGTAATGTGCACCAGGTTATTTAACTTTTTTATTTTTAATCCGATTTAAAAAATTTACACGTGAAAATGAAGCCTATTTAATCTAGTTTTTAAAAATATGTGCATTTTGGTGGAGACTTCCATGCGTTTTTAGATATTCTAAAAAATATGACATAGTGAAAGTTGTTGAAAAAGAGCTAAATAGTATAAATGGAAATCTTGGATGATTTGTATACCTAAATCTGTGAAGAATGTGACAGTCTGGCAACGCCGCTTATAGTACCGTCCCCTTTCTTACCCAGGCAGCTGTTGATGTTTGAATATTTGAAATACAAAGCAGTGTACATGTGCCAACGATCGTTGCTGTGGTGGTACGAAATATAGACGTAAATGTAATAAATGTGCAATATTATCGTGTGTGATGTTATACGATGGGAAAAATAAGTGATAGAATAGAGAAAAAGAAGAAAATGGCAGAAATAGTGACGGAGAGAAAAAAATCGATTACTCTGAAGAGGAGTCGATCTGTTAGGGCTTCTATTAGGAGTATAGGGACTAAACTGCTAAGTGGTAAAAATAGTGATAATTTTATGAACAAAACGCCCTCGTTATCTAGTCTTCACGAAGCGCAATCAGCCTACTACAAACAGGATCATTATTACTTAAAAGAAAATGTAGAAACAATTTTGAAAACCCCAATGCCTGATGAACAAAAACAACAAAAACCCTTTATTAAAATAGAGAAAATTAAAAGGAAAGAAAAGGATGTGCGTATCACCACACCACCCAGCAATATTGCCCCAAAAGCTGCCCAACTTTTGGAAATCCCCTTTAAAAAACAAACAGTCCAACTGAGAAACCAAGAGGGCAATGAGGACGTTTTTACAAATCAAGTTACCTTAGATTATAGGCAAAATAGATTCCAAAGAAGTACCCTAAGACTTTCAATAATAAATAAAAGAAAACAGTCAAGGAATTCATCGTTTTCCCCCACATCTGGTAAAAATTCTGTTATTTACATATCCGTGATATATATTTGACATCAAATATTTGCTTCCTAACTAATATTTGCTAACTTTCTATATAAGCCATTGATCTAGTTTTCGCAGATAGCAAACTGGTTAAGTTCCTTAAATTGTGCCTTGTAAAATATTTTTTTTTACTAAACCTTCCAAATTAATTATTCCGTGAAATTTGTTTTATAAGAGCATAGCTTGAAGCAAAGTAAAACTAGTTTTGCCAATAGTGAAAAGTTCGAACTTAAACAATAAAACATTCTAAACCAAATCTACCCAAATAAATCAAATTAAAAAGTTAATATTACTGGTCTCTCAACAAATTAAAATACAATGCGTTTTAAATTTATTTAAATTAGATTAAATGGGCAATTTCCTTATTAAATTCTAGACAATGCAGTAGACATTTAAAACCTTGTTCACAGACTTTTATATTTAATTTAATTAAATTGAAAATAATCAGAAGAATTAAATAAAAACGTTGATGTATTATTTATGTCATACTATTAATTTGGTTTTATTATAATTTCTTATAAGTTCTTATTTCGTTTATAAATGCAAAATTCGAAATATCTGAGGTTTAAAATTAATATTTAAATATTCACTGGAAAACCATAATTTATCAAATTGCAAATTCTACAAAATTAAAAAGATCGTATTTTGTTGTGAATTTATTATTAGATTTCTTTAAAAAATAACATACAAACACACAATTTTTAATATTAACTATGAAGTTTTGAAATAACGATTTTCAAACGATGGGCGCCAATTTGTAAAAATCTTAACTTCTTTTTGTTGACTTTTTTGTGAAAATACTAAAAAAATAAACATATTCCAACTTTATTATCAGATTTTTCGAAAATCGTATTTTTAACAGTAAATCTAAATTAACCAACAAACTTTTTAAGGGTCGTTTTTTATTTTATCGAAATATAAATAATTTAGTTGAAAAGGCCGTATTTTGTTTAGTATGCCCTGAAAATTGCATTAAAATCTCACTATTTTTAACAAAGTTACAGCAAAATAACGATTTTCCAACGATGGGCGCCAATTTGTAAAAATCTTAAATTCTTAATTAATGAAGCAATGTTGATGATTCTTTTGTAAAAATACTAAAAAACTTACATATTACAATTAATTATGAGATTTCCTAAAATTCTTAATTTTAACAGTAAATCTTGAAAATTAACCTACGAAATTTGTAACTGTTTTTATTGTACAGAAATATAAATAATGTAGTTGAAAAGGCCGTATTTTAAAAATTGCATTAAAATCCCACTATTCTTAACAAGTTACAGCAGAATAACGATTTTCCAACGATGGGCGCCAATTTTTTAAAATCTTAACTTCTTAATTAATGAAGCACTTTTGATTATTCTTTTGTAAATATACTAAAAAAATATACATACTACAACTTAATTATGAAATTAACCTACGAACGTTTGTAACTGTTTTTGATGGGTCGTTTTTTATTTAACGGAAATATAAATAATTTAGTTGAAAAGGCCGTATTTTGTTTAGTAAACCATGAAAATTGCATTAAAATGTCACTATTTTTAACAAAGTTACAGCAAATTAACGATTTTCCAACGATGGGCGCCAATTTGTAAAAATCTTAACTTCTTAATTAATAATAATGATGATTCTTCTGTAAAAATACTAAAGAAACTATACATACTACAAGTTAATTATGAGATTTCTTTAAATTCTTAATTTCTAACAGTAAACCTTATAAATTAACATTCAAACTTTTGTAACTGTTTTCAAGGGGTCGTTTTTTATTTTACGGAAATATAAATAATGTAGTTGAAATGGCTGTATTTTGTTTAGTAAACCCTGAAAATTGTATTAAAATCTCACTATTCTTAACAAAGAGACAGCAGAATAACGATTTTCCAACGATGGGCGCCAATTTGTAAAAATCCCAACTTCTTAATTAATGCGTGTTGCATTCTTTTGTAAAAATGCCAAAAAAACATACTACAACTTAATTATGAGATTTTTCAAAATTCGTAATTTTCAACAGAAAATTAACCAACGAACGTTTGTAACTGTTTTTGAGGGTTCGTTTTTTATTTTAAGTAAATATAAATAATGAAGTTGAAAATGCGTATTTTGTTTAGTATACCCTAAAAATTTTACAAAAAACACTCGATTTTTAACAAAGTTACATCAAAATAACGATTTTCAAAGGTTGGGCGCCAATTTGTAAAAATCGTAATTTCTTTATTAATAAAGCGATTTGAATGATTCTTTTGTGAAAATACTAAAAAATACATAATTATCGGATTTTTCAAAAATCGTAACCTTTGTAACTTTTTGGAGTTACGTTAAAAGACCGCATTTGTTTAGTAAACCCGGAAAATTTTACTAATTACGCACGATTTTTAAGGAAGTTACAGCAAAATAACGATTTTCCAACGTTGGGCGCCAACGAGGGCGCCAATTTGTAAAAATCTCAACTTCTTTGTTTATGAAGCGGTTTTGATGATTTTTTGTCTAAAAATGCTGAAAAATAGTATTTTTAAAATACCTTAATCCACATTTTTATTCTAAATAAATACAAATAGACAGTAAGAAATGGAGTATTTTTTTGTACAACCAAAAAATAATATAATTTTAAACAAAGTTTCATCAACGATTTGCAAAGGTAGGGCGCCAATTTGTAAAAATCGTAATTTATTTATTAATTTTATGGTTTGTACAGTAATTTTAATACAATTATTAGATTTAAGAAACATAAGTATTAACATCCCAAAATTAACATAAATATAATTGTTTTTTCATATATATTTTTTTATTGAAATGTTGTTATATTTGAGGTGTACAATAAACATTAAAATCTTCTGTGGAAATAAATGCTATATAAACAAAGAATTTCAAAATAGTTTAACAATAATTAGAGCTTATCAAAAAGGATGTATGGTTTAAAAATAACAAGTGTATTATTATAACTTTCATTTATTGTACTCATATTAAAAGTAAACAACAGGCAATAAAAGGATTATAAATTTTTAATCCTATATCATTGGAATATCAAAAGTAATTCCGTGAAATCGAGTGCAGCCCACTTCATTTTAAATTAGTTTTTGAATGCATTAAATTGAAAACAAATGCCGTAAATTTATTTCGTGAAACTCGACGCTTTGACAAATTTTTGAATATTAATCCTGAATGTAAATCTGTGTTTTAACCGTTTCAATTTGTTTTAATTCGCTAAAACATGAAAACAAAAGCGACAGCCAGAATATTCAAAATTTAAATAATCAAAATCAATATTTGGAGGTACGTTAAATTCGACACAATTATGTTACGTTGTAGTTTATAGAACAATATTTGTGACAATTAAAAAACATATTTTATTTTGTTTCGCATAAAAAATTCATTTAAAATTGTGCATTTTTAACGAAATTACAACAAAATAACGATTTTCCAGGTTGGGCACCAATTTGTAAAAACCATAAGTTCCTTAATTATTAACCGGTTTCTATATTTTTTTTGTAAAAATGCTTATTAGGTTTTTTATGAAAGTTGAGAAGAGATTTTTTTTTGAAAAATTCACAAAAAATCACCTAAATATGATTTTTTTGAGAAAAATAACAATTTTCATTTTTTTAAAATACCATAAGCATATAAATATTTTATATCCCTACCTTTAAAAGTTACATTTTCATTCTGCATAAATAAAAAACAGTTAAAAATATCGTATTATTTAAATATACCTCGAACTATCACAAAATACGAACGATTTTTAACAAAATTACAAAAAACCAACGATTTTACAACAATGGGCGCCAATTTGTTAAAATCTTAACTTCTTTATTTATGACGCGATCTCGATGATTTTTTTTGTGAAAATATCATAAAAATATACTTATTTTAACACAATTATCACATATTTTAAAAATCCGATTTTTCCCTTTAAAAATGAACTTACAAAGCTTCGTAACATTTTTTAAGGTTGCATATTACATGAATATAAACAAGAATTTTAAAAAGAGCGTATTTTTAACATATTGATTGATGGGCGCCAATTTGTAAAAATCATAACTTCTTTATTTATGACGCGATTTCGATGATTTTTTTTTCGAAAATATTCAAAAAAATATAATTATTTTAACAAAATTATCAGATATTTTAAAAATCCGATTTTCCCCTTTAAAAATGAACTTACAAAGCTTCGTAACAATTTTTAAGGTTGCATATTACAAAAATATAAACAAGAAAGTTAAAAAGAGCGTATTTTTAACATATTGATTGATGGGCGCCAATTTGTACAAATCTTAACTTCTTTATTTATGACACGATTTCGATGATTTTTTTGCGAAAATACTCAAAATAATTTGCTTATTTTAACACTATTATCAGATATTTTAAAAATCCGATTTTTAACCTTTAAAAATGAACTTCCTAATTTTCATAAACAAATTTAAGGTTATATATTACATAAATATAAATAAGACAGTTAAAAAGAGCGTATTTTTAACATATTGAGTGATGGGCGCCAATTTTCAAAAATCTTAACTTTTTTATTTATGACGCGATTTCGATTATTTTTTTGCGAAAATACTCAAAAAAATATACTTAATTTAAAAAAATTTTCAGATATTTTCAAAATCCCATTTTTAACCTTTAAAAATGAACTTACAAAGTTTCGTAACATTTTTTAAGGTTGCATATTGCATAAATATAATTAAGCAAGTTAAAAAGAGGGTATTTTTAACATTTTGACCAATGGGCGCCAATTTGGAAAAAACTTAACTTCGTTATTTATGACTCGATTTAAATGATAACACAATTATAAGATTTTTAAAAATCTTATTTTTAACCTTTAAACTATTTTAAGGTTGAATTTTTATCCAACAGAAGTATGTATATGTAAAAAAGAAAGTTACAGCAAAATTACGATTTTCTAACGGTGGGCGCCAATTTGTAAAAATCTACTTACAATATTTAGATGAGATGATGATGATTTTTAGTAAAAATACTGAATACACCAATTGAACATTATTAAAAATTTTATTACTTCTAAGAATGCATTTTTCACCCAGTCGTGTCTGGAATTTCTTAAATTATATATCCGGCCCTTTCTCACACAATGATGCAACTCAGGTAGCTTAGATTGGCCTAAAGGGATGTAAAATCAAAATTACCTCTGGAGTGGTGTAATATGATTAGCAAATGAGCAAATTTGTAGTTAAACCTCTTGGGCATTTTAGATAGACTTAATATCCTGGAAATAATTAATACATTTTAAGATAAAATAACCTTGCCTTCAAAAAAATCGCGTGGGATAAATCAAAGTATTAAGTAGATCATTTAGTAGAGTTTTATTTATTAAATAGAGTGGTTACGATGTTTCAAATTCTTTTAAATATGTTTTTTAAAAGTGCGTCATATATCAACTCATACTGGAATTATATTCTACAAGGTGAATTTACTGCGTTATTTAATATTTCAAAACAAGGAACTATAGAACACTTTTTTATTACTAATTATTAGGGTTGGGATTTTGACCGGTCAAAATCTTTTGTGGTCAATTGACTAGTCAATTGACAAGTCAATTGACTAAGCACCAGTCAAATTTCTTAGTTTTTTCTAAAGAAATAAAGGCATGAGTAAAATTACTTAATTTTAAATAGAAACGTATATTTATTGAAAAACAGCTAACAAAAAATAAAGAAACCATTCTGAGGTACAAAAAAAACATTCATAATATCATTGTTTTAAGAACATTCACGTCTAGCTCGCAGCAGAGCAGCAACAGCAGCCCAGCAGATAAGACCTAAAGATGGTACATGAGATTGTACCGAAATGTTAAGAACCAAAAACCGACAACACGGTGCTAGCATGTGTAGATAACGGCACATCATCCTCGTCACTGAAACCACCCTCGCAATTGTCTTTATTCTCTATTCTCTATTAATTAGTCAAAATGACCCAGAACACTATTTAAAAAGCAATATTATGATTGCACCATGGTCCACTACCGAACATTTTTTTAATACTTTTGATTTTTTTCGCTAGGTAGCGCCGCCGCCGCGCCCGGTTGAATTAAAAGTTTTTGACTGATTTTGACGTGGTCAAAATCTCTCCTGTCAAAATAGGTAAAAATCTCGGTCAATTGACCGCGGTCAATTGACCAGGCACAACCCTACTAATTATATCAATTTCGCTTATTTGACGTAAACAACCTTCAAATCGTGTGGGATTTTTTTGACACTCCGAAAGCTAAATGATAACAGTCGTCATAAAAAAGTGAAAGTACGAATATTTTGAAGATTTGTTATGTTATATGTTAATATATTTATTTAACAAAAACATGTTATAGTGCTTGTAGTAGGTACCTACATTATGTCTTTAAGACTGGAAAATCTCTTAAGGAAATTGTTTTTCGGGCAAAGTTACTTTCAATTGATATTCCGTTATGTTATTCAAGGTAGGAAAATATACACTTGCTTATGTATTTATGTGAAACAACCCACCATACTTTGAGAGACCTTTATGTACGTTTTGTAGGTGTAAATAGAAATTAAAATAATGTGTTGTGGGTCAATACATATTAATTTACAGAAGTTGCGTTAAACTATAGATTCTTGGATTATAAAGATATTTATAGTTAGTTATACGAGGTGTGTTTAGAAAATAACGGGAATTGTTAAATTATGCGGGTTCGGAGGGTCCGGTTGTCACAAAATTTTCGTTATGATAAAGTATGATAAAAACTTTAGCTGTTTTCATTGTTTACTTTGTCTGTGGCAGCCGCTAAGGTTAGACGTGTTTTATGAGCTCGGCGATTTTTCGTTCGTTAAAAGAAATGGATGAAAGAATTTGTATCCAATTTTGCTTAAAAAATGAAATAAATTCTGTGAAATGTTAACAAAGGCCTATATTGAGTCTGCTATAACTATAGTTTTATAAAACAAGAGTTTACAAGTGGTATAAGAGTTTCCAAGATGGCCGTGAAGACGTTGAAGAAGACGAACGCCCCGAACGCACAAGCACATTAACAACCGATAAAAACATGGAAAAAGTAGAAGATATGGTTATAAACCATCAGAGAAGTCGCTGATGATGTTGGTATATCGATTGGCTCATCCCATTCGAATGTTTTGGGTATAAAACGCGTGGCAGCAAAATTTGTTCTAAAACTGTTAAATTTTGAACAACATTTTTGGCCAAAAACAATACTATAATGATGCCCCAGCCTCCATATTCGCCAGACATGCCTCTGTCTGACTTTTTCCTATTCCCAAAAATTAAGAGAACCTTAAAGGGCAGTCGTTTTGCAAGCATAGATGACATTAAAAGCGCATCGCTGAAAGAACTAAAGGCTATCCCAAAGATCGAGTTTTAGAAGTGTTTCGAGTATTGGAAGAAGAGCTGGCACATGTGCATAATATCCAATGGGGACTATTTTGAAGGGGACAACATAAATGTAGACGAATAAATAAATATTTGTTTCAAAATACTAATATTCCCGATATTTTCTGAACACTCCTCGTAATAATGACCAAAATTAGTTAAATTAAACTAACTTGTTATTTTTAAAATAATCTTAAGCTTTGTAACATTTTTTAAGGTAGCAAATTACATCAAAATAAACAAGAAAGTTAAAAAGAGCGTAATTTTTACATATTGATGGATGGGCGCAAATTTGTAAAAATCCTAACTTCTTTATTTATGACGCGATTTCGATGATTTTTTTGCGAAAATACCAAAAAAATATGATTATTTTAACACATTTATCAGATATTTAAAAAATCCGATTTTTACCTTTAAAAATTAACTTACAAAGCTTCGTAACATTTTTTAAGGTTGCATATTACATAAATATAAACAAGAAAGTTAAAAAGAGCGTATTTTTAACATATTGATCGATGGGCGCCAATTTGTAAAAATTATAACTTCTTTATTTATGACGCGATTTTGATAATCTTTTTGGGAAAATACTCAAAAATATATTAATTTATTAAAAAGTTATATCAAAAATTAAACTAAACCAGAATATATATATTAAAAAAGTAACTATTCTTAACCATTTTCAAAAGTTAATATAACGTTATGTAACTTTTAAAATAACCTATTTTTTATAATAATAATAATAATAATAATAATAATGTCTTTATTAATTACGTATACAAAATACAATAATTAAAAGGCGAAGTCTAGCCAGGCTACTCCACTTAACCCTTTAGGTTTATTTAGTGTCAATTTAGATAACCTTAATTTACGTATAATAAAAATAATAATAACCTCAAGAACCAGTTACAAATTGAAAAAACGTTATTTTACTTAAATTTTGCTTAATTTACTTGGATTAGTAGTTATTTAACCAGGTGTGCTACTTGGCCTACTTAATTTTAAATAAATAAAATAACCTTTTAAAAATAAAAACTTTTTTATTTTATTTTATTTTATTTTATATTTTGTTATTCCCAGAACTTCCCACCCTCCCGGGAGATTTTGACATGGAGGTGGCCAGTATACCCCTTAACAGGGGATTACCCCCGGCGGGTCATAAGCCTTCGAAAAAAGAGGCCAAATTAATGCAGCAGCGATTGGAAAGAATTGCTAGGGTCAATATACATTTACATGGTGAGAAAAACTTAGGTATTTTAAGAATTTTTTAAGTGGTGTAGAAGGCTATCAACAAAAAGGTTTTATTGTTTCGTCGTCAGACGAAAGAATTGAAATCTTGCACAAAAGCTCAATTTTTCTGTACTTTTTTTTCGTTTTGTGAGAATAAAAATGTTTGCAAAGCAATATATTGTATTTTTAGACAGATATTTCTTTTTTTGTTACTTTGTATTGATCCCTCAAGTACCAAAAATGTTTACGATGTATGTTGAAAAGAAATCACTTTTTATACGTATTAAAGCCAAAACATATATTTGTCATGTTTATGTCTTTCGAAAAAAAGTTAGATAAAAACTGTATACAAAATTTTGAAATTGACCATAAAACTAAAATAATTACATTATCAGTTCTTAGGGTATTTTAATATTATAAAGTTTTTTTCTAAATTAGAATCCTTGGTTAATTCGTAGTATTTTATTTGACACTGCAAATGTTATTTATATACCCTAAAAAAAAGTTACAACAATATAACGATTTTCCAGGTTGGGCGCCAATTTGTAAAAACCCCAACCTTTTATGGTTATTATTATTAATATTTTTAAAATATGTCTGAAATGGATTTAAAATGTGAATGAAACGGATTTAAAATAATTTTAAAGTTCACATTATTCAAAATTTTGGTTTTTAAGATCATGTTGATTTTTGACCAATGTCAAAATCATTTTTATTTCTTTTATTAATATTTTTATTTTTATGTATGATATGGATTTAAAATTATTTTAAAGGTCACATCTGTCAATTTTTTTATTTTCAGGTCATGTTGATTTTTCTAGAATGTCAAAATACTAATTATTATCAGTTTTTTCATTAATATTTCTAAATTATGTATGTAAGTACAAAATTAATTTAAAATAATTTCAAAGGTCACATCTCTCAAAATTTGATTTTCAAGGCCATGTTCATTTTTCACCAATGTCAAAATTATTTTTAATTCTTCTTTTAATACTTTTAAGTAAATGTATGAAATGGATTTAAAATTATTTTAAAGGTCTCATCTGTCAAACTTTTTATTTTTAAGGTCATGTTGATTTTTTAAGAATGTCAAAATGATTTTCAGTTTTTTTATTAATATTTCTAAATTATGCATGTGAGTATAAAATTAGTAAAACATAATTTTAAAGGCCACATCTCTTAAAATTGGACTTTTAAGGCCATGTTCATTTTTCAACAATGTCAAAATTATTTTTAGTTCTTTTATCAATACTTTTTCATAATTGTATGAAATGGATTTTAAATTATTTTAAAGGTCACATCTGTCAAAAATTTTATTTTTAAGGTCATGTTGATTTTTTAAGAATGTCAAAATGATTCTTAGTTTTTTTATTAATATTTCTAAATTATGTATGTAAGTATAAAATTAGTTTAAAATAATTTTAAAGGTCACATCTCTCAAAATTTAATTTGATTGGGCGCCAATTTGTAAAAATCACAACCTTGTGGACCGATTTTATATTTTTTTTATGAAAAACTGAAAAATTGTAAGGGTTTCTGTAACACAGCTTGTTTTTTGGTGTCCTCGCACGATTTTTAAAGGTTGGGCGCCAATTTGTAAAAATATTAAATTCTTAGTTATTAGAGCGATTTTGTTCACTGTTCACCAAACTGACATCTGTCAGACGGTTCTAACCTCACTTAAAATATTTTCAGCCCTTTTCGCAGCGGTGGAGCACGGTCACCTGGAAAAGGCTCGCACCATCCTGGAAAGCACCGATGTCGACGTGAACAGGTAAAAACAATAGATGAAATAGTTTTCAACGACTAATTGAAATTGGAAACGGCACGGCAAAAACAAAAGCTATCGATTTCCGGTTTCGCCTTTTCATTGAGATTAACTGCCAACGCGAGAATTTCGCGCCCTTTCGACGTTGAAATTTATATTCTTGTGTGTTGCGTGTGTCGGATTTATGGTGTAAAAATATGGCGTGGAATTTTCGACATTATAAACATTACTTACTTGGATGTACAGGAGAGTGGAGAAGGAAAATAAGCGGAGTAATGCATTATGCCTGTTTTTGTTTTTGAGTATATTGGGTCGATATTCAACGCTTTTTGTACGTAAAAATATGATGTTTTTCTTAATAAAATGTTGCAAACATTTATTTTATATTACGTTTTACAACTCTCTATTCTTTTACATTGAAAAATCAAGGTCACAATGTCAAATTTTGATTTTCAAGGTCATTTTAATTTTTCACCAATGTAAAAATGATCATATTTTATTAATTATTTTAAAGGTCACAACTGTCAATATTTTAGTTTTCAAGGTCATGTTGATTTTTTGCCGATATCAAAATCATTTTAAGCTTTTCCGTTAATAATGTTAAAATTTAAATAAAATGGATTTAAAATAATTTTAAAGGTCACATTTCTCAAAATTTTGATTTTCAAGGTCATGTTGATTTTTCACCAATGTCAAAATCATTTTTGGTCCTTTTATTAATATTCCTAAAATAAGTATGAAATTGATTTAAAATAATTTTAAAGGTCACATCTATCAAAAACTTTATTTTTAAGGTCATGTTAATTTTCTAAAATGTCAAAATAATTTTTTTCAATAATATTTCTAAATTTTGGAAGTTATGGAAATATAAAATTTATTTTAAATAGTTTTAAAGGTCATATCTGTCAAAATTTGATTTTCAAGGTCATGGTAATTTTTCACCAATGTAAAAATTATCATATTTTATTAATATTTTTAAAATATGTGTGACATGGATTAAAATAATGTTAAAGGTCACATGTGTCGAGATTTTCATTTTCAAGGTCCTGTTGATTTTTCAAGAACGTCGAAATGATAAAATTAATGATTTTTTAAGAAAGTCAAAATCATTTTAAGTTTTTTTATTGATACATTTAAAATATGTATGACGGGGATTTAAAATAATGTTGAAGGTCACATCCGTCAAACTATGTTGATTTTTTGCCAATATCAAAATCATTTTCAAGTTCTTTCATTAATATTTTTAAAATGTGAATGAAATGGATTTAAAACAATTTTAAAGGTCACGCGTTTTACAATTCTCTATTTTTTACATTGAAAAATTTTTAAGGTCACATCTATCAAAATTTTGATTTTCAAGGTCAGGTTGATTTTTCACCAATGTCAAAATCATTTTTAGTTTTTTCATTAATATTTTTAAAATATGTATTTAACGGATTTAAAATTATTTTAAATCTAACATCTGTCTAAATTCAAAGGTCATGTTAATTTCTCAAAAATGTCAAAATTATTTTCAGTTTCTTAATTAATATTTCTAAATTATGTAGGTATAAAATTAATTTAAAATAATTTTAAAGGTCACATCTCTCAAAATTCGATTTTCAAGGTCATGTTGATTTTTCACCAATGGTAAAATTGTTTTAAGTTCTTTCATCAATATTTTAAAAATGTTTAAAATGGATTTAAATTAATTGTAAAATCAAAATGTCAGATTTTGATTTTTGTGACCTTTAAAATAAAAAAATTGACATTAATGGATTTAAACTTCAGGTTTTAGTGCGTTTTAAAGGAATACTTTTTAATTATTTTCTATGAATCCAAATCAAAAAACAAACAATAAAAATCATCCAAAAACCTGACCAGAACACGAATTAAAAACACTACCGGTGCACGGTAATTTGCATAATTTCTTCCTACTTAAGACTGCTAACTACAATGACTTAATTTCCACCCCGAAAACCCTTGTTCTTATTTAATTAGGATTAAACCAGCCAACTCTCTAATAATATTACCTTCAATTTGTATAATTAAACCATTCACCGGATTAATTTATGCAAAATATTAACCGTATGTTTTTATTGTTTTATTGCAGTATAAACAATGACGGCCTTACGCCATTGGACGTAGCGGTGCTAAGCAACAATAGGCCTTTGGTTAAGATGCTAATCACATTTGGTGCCATGGAGGGAAATAAATGTGAGTAGTTTTCACACATTTATTAATTAGTGCAAAATAAGAGAAAAAAGTGAAATTATGTTCTCAGGCTTTGAAAGGCTTCGTTAACTCTTATTGATAAAGTTTTTGTAATTTTATATTTCTGTTGATGTAGCAGAGCGGAAATTTCCCAAATGAGCCAACGATTTTTGATGTTGAAAGGAAAATACTTTTGATTCTACATAACTAAGATTCCATAATCTAATCAATTGCGTATTGTTTGTGCTACGCTACTGATTCAATTTTTCCCCAATGTAAAAATGATCATATTTTATTAATATTTTTAAAATATGTAAGAAATTGCTTTAAAATTGTTTTAAAGGTTACATCTGTCAATATTTTAGTTTTCAAGGACATGTGGATTTTTTGCCGATATCAAAATCATTTTAAGCTTTTCTGTTAAAAATATTAAAATGTAAATAAATTGGATTTAAAATAATTTTAAAAATTTTGATTTTCAAGGTCATGTTGATTTTTCACCAATGTCAAAATCATTTTTAGTCCTTTTATTAATATTCTTAAAATAAGTATGAAATTGATTTAAAATTATTTTAAAGGTCACATCTAACAAAAACTTTATTTTTAAGGTCATGTTAATTTTCTAAAATGTCAAAATAATTTTTTTCAATAATATTTCTAAATTATGGTCAATTAAGTCAAAATCATTTTTAGTTATATTTTTTAAAAGAAGTATAATATGGATTTAAAATAATTTTAAAGGTCATCTTTCTCAAAATTTTGGTTTTGTTCCCTTTTTTGTAATTTTATATTTCTGTTGATGTAGCAGAGCGGAAATTTCCCAAATGAGCCAACGATTTTTGATGTTGAAAGGAAAATACTTTTGATTCTACATAACTAAGATTCCATAATCTAATCAATTGTGTATTGTTGTGCTACGCTACTGATTCAATTAAATTAAAAAAAATATACACAATTAAACTAAGTACTAAACAGGTTCCAATTTTACCATGTTTTTGTTTTTGTCAGATACTTATAGTAATTTTACAATTCTGTATTGTAGAATTGAATTAAATCATTATTTATTTTATACAACTTCTCTTTGCATTTTTACTATATATCATTTTAATAATGTACACTATTAAAATTTTTTGTAAAATTGCAGTTATTTTGCAAAACAAAGGATAAGTAAAATTACAAAACAGTGTATACCAATACAAAATTAGAATACAATTTGAGTAAGTAATTTTACAATCTATATGTATAAATCCTACACGCATTGTAATTTTACTAAACAGTTTGACAGTTTCTAATAAAAAGCATCTCAGATTTACAAACATTTTTTGTAATTTGATTTGCTATAGTATGTACTGATTGCGACAATCACGTGATGTTCTTACATCTCGCCTCGGTTGACTTAGGTGGACAGTATATAAGCTCAGGTGTCTTTCGTTTTTGGTGTGTTCCAATACACCAAATTGCCCGACATTTATATGACCCAAAATAGGTCTATAGGTATTTGAAGTTGGTGGAACGCACTTAAAACAAAAACTCTGGCGAGGTAAAGGTTCAATTTTTTTTAATCTTTGCAGTAATGGGTCAAGAAAATTTCTTGAAGAAACTAAGAAAATTGCAGGTTTTTTTTCGTAGTATAATTACAAAACCATCATTCGTAAATTACTAAATATTTTTAGTGTAATTTCTTGTACAAAATAACAATATTTGTATTGTAATGTTGCGAAACGAATTTTCTTCAGTTCAGTAAAATTTATTTTGTAATTTTCTTAAACTGAGTTGAAATAAATTGTATAGTATAATACAATACACCATTTTAAAATTACTAAACAAATTTTTAATAAATGCTTAGTGAATTTCAACAAACGTTTTGTAATTTTCTCAAATTGAGTTGTAATGAATCGTGTAGTGAATTTACAAAACTGAGTTTTATTATTACTATATTGTGGTGCGTAAAAACATGATTAGTAAAATTACAATAGAAATTTTTAACATTGTCATTAAAAAACTGTGCAGAAATGTTTATTCGAACATTGTTATTAAACAAATGAATTCTTCTTAACGTCAAAAATCGTAGGCTTCTTTGGGAAATGTCTACTCAACCAAAAAAAGCAGCTAAATTATTAAATTCCCTTTAAATTTTAGTTTCAAGCACGGAAAAAATAGGCAACCACCTGAAACACTTGCTAGGGGAAGCCCAAATGAGGTTACAGGAATTGGGGGGTCTCCCAGAAGAACCACTGGGTGCCCCTTTAAATACCAGAGCGTCATTTTCTAGTATTATAGGAAACTACCCATCATCCGCCATGACAGGTATATTTTATTACATGTAATCACTTCATAGGTATTAATTTGTTTTTTCTCCAAAAACAAAAGGTTGTGCAGGAGGTGATACAGAAAAGCAAGCCCTCGCTTGGGAGAGGCGCTCCAAAACTCTAAAACGGTTGGTGCTCGGCTTCGCGCAAGCCAGGCCGCCGGATCCGCCAGGTTTGGTGTCTATTGACGTTACGTCGCACGCCAGTGTGACTGTACGATTACAGGAACCAATTCAAAGCGACTCAGCTATAGCTACCAAGTTTAAAGTCCAATGGTCGACGAGAGCCGACTTCTCCGTAATGACAGGCGAAACGGAGATACTCGACATGTCCAATCCCTGCTGCAACATAGATCTCACCCACGGCAGGCGCTATTTTTTCAGGGCGTCGAGCGGTAACCTCAAAGGTTACGGCGCGTATTTGTCGTCGACGCCGTCGTCTGTGATACCGTCCAGCTGGAGGGAGATAGACGGGAAGGATTCGAGATTCAGCAGCAGATTGAAGCAGCTGGAGCAGCTGATGGACGAGGTGAAGCAGGCGAGACCCGGTAGCGAGATTCTGGAGACTCCTGGACCGACTAGAAGAGCCCAAAGAAAGAAGACCACGATAAAGCAACTGTTTACAGCCGCCAGCAAATTTCAGAAGAACCTAAGAAGGGGTATATATTTGGCGTGCATTCTCTACCACGAAGACAAGGTTTTGGTGACGAACGAAGACTTCCTACCAGTGATAGAAATAGATGAGACGTATCCTAGTTGCATCCACTCTGATCTTCACTGGTTGATGAAGGTGGCCTGTACTTGGGACGACACTAAATCTCTACGATCTCACATGGAGAAAAACTCATCATCCGCCATACATTTTAGAACGAAACTTCTATCAGCCGTCCTCCAAATGCAATCGTCACTATGTCTGCAAGACTTGGGGCAACTGTACTACAAACCCTTAAGGGACTCACAGGGAACCGTGGTACTCAGTACCATAAACTATGTTAAATCACCCAAGAGCGTATCGGTGTTGAACTCCAGGTGGTTACCGAAGAACAAGGTCTTCAAGAAGATGGTACTGAGCGACGATAACAATATAAACGAGATACTCATGGCTTCCATACAAGAACAGATTACTTACCATCAAGTGTCAAGTTTGAAGCTAACCAAAGGACTGTACTTGAGTTACTTGAAGATGCAGAGCTCAGTGGATCTCATCCAAGTCGTTGTATCTGCGAAATCACCCAATATGTTACCACACTGCAAGATTAGGGAAAACCCCCATGTGTCTGCGTAAGTAGTAAAAAAAAAACCTACTATTCCCTGCTTAAAATACCCCATAGAGACCTATATAAAATAATCTATCGGGCGCTACCGGATTCAATATGTGCATTTGTCCATGGTTTTTTCCGGATACAGCCCGATAGAAAATTTATAGGAAATTACCTATACGCACACCATAACTTTTACATTTTCCCTATTGAGACCGAGAATAACACAATGAAGGATATACCGTACCTTCATTTGCAAGCTAACCATAGGGAAAATACATTGTAACTGGACCAGATAAGTCGCAGTCAACACAAAGCGAGAACCTTTTCAGAAATGATTTGGATGCGTCGTCGAGACATGCGTACAAAAACAAATTTTACCAGATTTACACCGCACAAAATAAAAAACAATAATAAAGCATCGATGTATGAAGCAAGGTCAACTGTTACGGCGCATGCTAGCATACTCGTCCACGCGTCCAAATCATTTCTACAACGTTTTTCGCTTCGTGCTGACTAAGACTTATCTGGTCCAGTTACAATGTATTTTCCCTATGGTTAGCTTGCAAATGAAGGTACGGTATAGGGATATCCCTATAGAACAACCATAAAACATTTGACAAAATTTTATTAAAACCTATGGGGTCCTATGAGGACACATTTATGTGTATTTTACCCATTGAAACCAATAGCAAATAAATCAAGGGTGGATATCCCTATAGAACAACCATAAATCCCAACTATGGGTCCTATACATACCGATACACCCTATAGAAACACCATACATTCCGATACAAATATCTATCGGTTTGAACAGGATCTCTATGGGGTATTTTAAGCAGGGTTGTCAATTTGAAAACATTTTCTTTTGTTGCAGTGAGGAATGGGAGTACTTGAAACAACAACACCTGCCCGACGTAGTGGATAACGCCACAGAACTACAACGAAATTTCCTGGAGCACGTGATGCTGGCTTCGAAGCGCCTTTTTAACTACATGGACATAAACAACGAAGAAGCCAACAATCATAGGTTGTACGACACCGAGGTCATAGATCTAACGGAGGATGTTAGTTTCATAGTCGTTTGTCCGTCGGCGGAGTTTTCTTGTTCCGTTCCTGGTCAAAGAGAGATACTTTTGCAGAGAGGCGACTTACTGAGTCTGCCCATACAGGTATTCGAGATGATTCATTTAAACACGTACCAAAATAGTATTATACGGAAGTACAGTAAGTTGAGCTGTATATTGGAGTTGGATCATGCCACAGCAAGCCACATGCACAGAGAAGCATTCTCCAACAGCGAGTTAGCCGCAGCTAAAGAGCGCTTGCACAAACTGCAAGATCTGCAAGGGAAACTGAACAACATCTGGAAGAGCGTCAGGTGGTTGATGGACGCCATAACTTTCGCTAGAGATCGTATTTCCTGTGGGTTACAAATGCGATTCATACTGGAAAAAGAAGTCGGCGTTTGCACGAGTCCAAAACGTAGCCTACTGCAAATACCGCCAAGAGACTCGAAGGTGGTTAAATCTACAGGTCGCGGGTCGTGGCCGGGACCTGGAAACTCCAGCAACCAATCGTCAAGCCTGATAAACTCCGAGTTTAGCAAAAGCGAGCAGCATTTGAGTACCAACGAGGCTTCCTCGCAGTACCTGAGTGCTTGTAGTGATTCCGACTCCCGAAAAAATAGTGACAGCTACAATAGCGACTACTTCACCTCACACTTGGTGCCGAGTCGTAGCGAAGATATGCTTTTTGCCATACCAACGTCATCAAGCAACAATAGGATTCGATGCAACACGGTTAACTCTACATCGGCTACCTCGTCTCCTTTGCTAAGCGTTAGACCAATACATGGGGGAAGCTTAGTTAGTGTTAACACTATGAATACCACGAACACATCCGATAGCTTACATAGCTTGTCCAGCGATTCGGATTCCAATCATCTGCCGATGGGTACTTCAACTCCGAACAAAAAAAATCGCGTTAAGATGGCTTCGTCGCGTAGCATGACGAATGTTAAAGGAAATGTTCTCGATGTAAGCTCTAAATCCGATACAACCCAACGTCCCAAACACCTAGATGTCGAAGCAGCCCTGCCATCGAACTTGGAGTACAGTCTGTCAAAAAGTCTCACCAACATCAAAAGCAATACAGAGGTGGATACGTACTTGAAACCCCTTCAGGAAGTCAAGCAAGAATCGAACTCTACAGACGGTATGTTTAAAGTGCCGTACGCGGAACAAGGCACTTCCAAGGAACTTCAGAGCGGCATCCTGCAAGTTTTCGCTGCATACGAGACCGGTTTAGCCAGTGGTACTAGTCTGAAGCTGCATGTGACGCCGCGCACCACAGCCAGGGAAGTTGTCGATCTCGTGGTAAAGCAACTCAACATGGCGGTGGTTTTGAAACAGAAAGACGGCCCCATTTACCCAGCGGACAAGCTGAAGAATTTTTGTTTGGTCGCCGTTATAGGTGCGAGAGAGAGGTGCTTGAGGGACGATTTTAAACCGCTTCAGCTGCAGAACCCTTGGAAGAAGGGGAGGCTGTACGTTAGGCAAAAACAGGACGTATTGGCGGCTTTGGAACACAGCAGCAAACACAGTGCTGTATTGTAAATCAAATGATTTAAATCGTCCTTTCTAACTGTTAGTCAAACTTTTGATGGTGCTAGTAAATGAAAGATTTGTCTTATGAATAACCTAATAGAGTGTATTATGTATAATAGTCCTTATGGTTCTTTTTTTGAGAATACTGTGATTTGTTGATGATCTGGACCATTAATTAATATAATTTCTGACTGATTTTTTATTTTAAATAAAGTGTATGCTCTCTATATTGTAATATCCAGTACAAAATGATATGTAACAGGGGCATTATGAAACCTTTAATGTATAGGCTATAGCGTTGCTGTTCGAATATATTTATAAAAAAAGACTTAGAGACATCCCCTGTAGTTTTTAATTTTAAAACGTCCATTTGCTCATTTGTAGGGTAAGTTACGAACACCAAATACCTTAAATGTTTATTATTAGCATAAATGTTAAGCTTACAACAAGTCCTGTCTAGAAAACCATATCATAGAATTGTATGACGAAAATTTTATTATTTTAGTACAAATATATTGTGTTAGCAAATTTTATAAATGTATATATTAAATGAAATTATATATGTATAGAAAGTATATTATCGGTACAGTGCTTTGGAAAGAACGAGTTTTTCCAGAGCATTGTATATTTGTTGTTTGCACAGATCAATTGTATAGATTCTAAAATAATCTAATAAAAACGTTAAAGAATAGACTATCTTTTATTTTATAATACTGTCAAATTGACATATTTTATGTTATCTTTTACAAATAACTAATAATATTCCTAATTAAAAATGGCTAAAAAAGGCAGTACCGTGATAACCCTGCCTCAAATGGTGGATTTAGCCCTTAACTCTCCAGAGGTAACGCTTCCACTAACCCCTAGCCCCATAATTAACCCCTTTATAGATAGGGATAGTTAATTTTACAGTTTTACACTCCCTATTGCATGTAATAGTACAACAGCTCGAGTTATCGGAATGCAGCGTCGAATTCAGAGGTAGCGACAGCGATAGATTGCAGAATTACATATCGACGGCAAAACCTGGACCTATTATAACTTTAACCGAGTACACTGTCGGTCAGGATGGCCAAGAGAAGAAAGCGATCAGAAAAAAGCGTAAGCAATACGAACAAAATCGTGATAAAAGCGTGTTAAGAATTGTTGTAGGTATGGCCGACGAGAAGGGACAGGCCGATGCAGCTCAGTCGGAGAAAGATTCCAAGTCCTTGCAGACCGTTGTGGTCGTGGAACAAAGTTCAAAGGTGGATCAGACGGAGTCGCCGCATTTTTCTGTGGCTGTAACGCAGGACCACTACGACCACCTCATGGGTGATATAGATGAACTAAAAGAAAAGGTGCTTGAGCTCTCGGAGTTACCTGCAAATATAGGCCTTGTGGAAGCCTTGAGGTACCAAACAACACTTATTATACTACACAGCAAACGGAAAAATATAGTGTTTTGGATGACGCCACGTTTGAATACAGTTTTCTAAATCTCGCCAGGGTATAGAGTTGTATTCGTCAGTCGAGCGTTTCAATACTCTCCACAGTATAGAGGTCGTAATTTCACTTTTTAACTAGTATTAATATGAAAACTATTTTGTGCTTAAAAAAAAACTATATATAGTATATATACGACATGATTGTGATTTTTTCATTTTATTAATTAATTAAGCTGTGTTGAATATTTTTACTAAAGGAATAATTGCCAATGGGCCATTAATTCATTTGTTCGTAGATGCTACAATATCCTGCACTGGTGTGTACTTTTTCATCAACCAGATTTAAATATTGCTGTACTAACATATACCAATGGAGATAGTGCAGGGTCTACCAACAGACCTCATTACTAAATTATTAAAGTTTAATAGCACATCGATCATTTTTTCAACATAACCTCTAAAATTTTTAATACAAATATAGGTACTTCATAAAATACATAAATATACTTTACATCATATCCTCTGTGCTTTACATACCCGAGTTGTTACGGTAAATAAAAATCAGACAAAGGAACCAAAGAAAGGAACTATTTTCAACAAAATCATATGCAGAAATGAGAAAATTCAAACTACTTGCATCCATCAAAAGATCAAAACTTCTTGCAATATTACACCCTCTTTTTATACTCTCAGAAATATTGACTAGAACAGTATTAGAGAGACTCCAGTTTCTATAACTTGGTAGAGTAAAGAGAAGTCGAAACCGTTGCGATATTGCATTGCGCTGTAAAATTCGAAAAGCTTAAGTTTCTATGTCTCTGAAGAGAATAGAAATCCGAAGTTGCTTAACCATTGGACTGAACCCTTTTTCAATAATTTCTAGAGACATAAATGACTGCACCATTTGACAGGGTCGAGTTTTTACCTCTCTGTTGAATATAGAAAATTAAAATAATGTATCTTGTAAGACACCATTGAGTTTGACTTTAAATATAGTCGGGCATAGGTATAGAGCCGAAAAATATAAAAACAAAGCACGATTCAATACAGTTCTGATAAAACTTTAAGATTTAGTATTCAAACGCGGAGTCATCCTATACAGTTCTATATTTTTCCGTTTGCTGTGTAGCGAGTAAAGATAATATAATCTGTATAGAGCCGCTGGAAAAGACAAACCTTCACCTGTACTGGATATGTTTCACATATTAACCTTAAACAAACGCATGGACGCTGCTGAGCAAGGCATGGAGAAATTAGGAACCATTATAGAAGATCTAGCGAAGGAAGCTAAAGGGGAAGGACCTCTAGTGCATGGTAACCCATTACATAACCCATATACACAGTTTATAACATTTGATGTTGCAGCTACAGCCACTGTAGACCCGGAGGCTCTAAAGGGCTTGGAAGAGAGAATAACTAATCTTGAAAACGTCATAGGTGATGGTAACATTATTATCAACCAACCAAGTGAACCCGGTGAAGAGCAACCGGCGGATACTGAACCTTCCCTGCTGAAACAATCGATCGGCAGTGGAATAGATCTTCTAGGGTGGGTGAGAAAGCATTAAAAGCACGAAATTAATATTTGTTCTTAGCATAAAACTCTCGGAAACTCCCATAGCGGAGGCCATGGACATAATACAGTCGGAGTTGCAAAGGCTTAGAAGGATTTGCGGGAGCGAGTTCATGCAAACCATAAAAGACCTGGAGGCGTTGAAGAATGCCATGAATTGTACCAATTTAAGTTATCGATGAATAAAATGAAAACCTTGTGTAAATTTTAGCCGATGATGCTCCCCCAGAAGTAAGGATAACCCAGGTTGAGATACAGTTAAACGCTGTCTTGGAGCAGATTGCTTCACTGGATACCATGTACAATAACCAGATAGCTATACTAAACGAAAAGGTGATGTCTGGAGGTGAAGATAAGGTTGACAGGTATACTTTTAATTGCCACATCAAATTACCAAAAATAATGAATGTACTACAATTAAAGGAACGAACAAGCCGAGGTGGAGATATACAATAAGCTAACAGCTTTGAACGATGAGATCCATAATGTTGAAGACACGGTGCAAAAACTCTGGGAGGAAAGGGAAGGTCGCCAGGCTCTCCTAGACGTAAAACAACCTCCCCTCAACCATAACACTATGATGATAACTAATAACTAAATACCACAGGTAATCGAAGAAACCCTCGACATACTAAAACTACAAAAATGCGACAAAGAAGACGTAGAGGAAGCTCTGGCCGACAAAGCCGACGTCTGCCTGGTCAACAGAAAAGTCTCCAACGACATTTTCGACGAGGTTATCGAGAAAATAAACGAAAAAATCGACGATATATACGAGAAACTGGCCATACAGAACGAGCTGTGGACCGCGCAAGCCACAGAGTTCGCTGAAGAGCTCAAAAACAAAACCAACAACTGGGAGCTGCAAGAGTTGAGAGCCTACATAGACGAAAATCTGAGCATTCTGAGCGCTAAGATTCAGAAGTTGGCCGAAATGAAGGACGATATAGAGGCGGCTGGCGCGAAGAGTAAATTCCTGAGGAACGTTAACTGCATTTCGTGTGATACCAAGGTTGTTATGCGTAAAGAATTCGACCCCAGCGCATTTCCCAAGTCTAGCGGAATGCCTAATCCCGGGAAAAGTATGGGGCCATATTTGGCCTATGAATTGGATCAGATGAGGAAGTCGCAAAAATGGTATTCATGTTCATTGTAATACAGAAATGTTATACTTTGTGTTGTAGTTTTGGCGATAAGAACAAACAAAAATTGCTTCAACAAACCATAACCACCGGGAGGAGTGATAAATCTGAGTATGTTGTATTTAGATACAGGGTTTCCTTTTAACAGTTTTGTTTAGAGATCAATTTTGCAATCGCTACTGTGGAGGTAGCCACACGACAACTACACCAATGCAAAGAGTCACCAGAGGTGGTCATTTCCTCGAGCAGTGGGGACCTGAAATATCGCCAGTGGTTGATGAAACCATCCGGGGAACTGACGGAAAGGTACCACCAATATTTTCAATCGGAAAATCATATATTTTAAACTTTATTTTCATAGATGTACAAGGGTCGCGATGACGCCAAATTAAAGACCCTTTTAAACCAACCCAAAGAGAAACCTGTTGAAGTCAAAAAAGAAGACTCTGGGGAGAACAAAGCTAGCACCCTAGGCAATCTTGTAGCAATCGCTGAAGCCGGTAAGTAACACTTTTCTGGTCATTAATAATTAATAAGTATTATTGTTGTTTTATTAGCTGGCGGTCGTAAGTATAGTTTGTTTTATAGTTTGTTAATATAAACTAATTTCCTGTATTTTGAATCAAAGGAAAAGCATCCACTGCGAGTGGCAACAGAAGTAGTATTAGTATGTTATATAATATATATTAATCCACAAAAAATAAATCAAAATATTATAGAGAGAGCTTCGGTAACGTCTGCACCTACGGAAGCACAGCGAAGCAAACAATCTTTAGCAAGGCAATCCAAAGGCTCTGAAAGAAAGTCAGCGGGTTCCAAACAATCCATCAAGTATAATAATCTTCCACATAATTCTATAAACCTAAACGCTTTTCAACAGAGATGCACCTGCAGAACCTGAACCTCAACTAGATCAAGCCCCCCCTCAAGAAGTTGAGTTAACTAGCACCATACCTGATGAAGCTCCACCCGCTGAAGTTGAAGCACCCCCGGAAGCTGCAGCACCTGTTGAAGCCGAAGCTCCTTCAGAACCTGCAACAGAAGAAAATGAGCAATAAATGTGTTTCAAATAAATAACCTCTTCAATCAAAATTCGGTAGTATTATTTGTTCACCCAGTGTACTACTGTCAAACCCTAACACTGTCAAAGTATATTTTTCCCGATTTTTTCACAAGCACAAAAATGTCTAAAAGCACCATAATAACTCTCCCACAGATGGTGGATTTGGCCTTGAACGCCCCGGAAATTGGTATTGTGAACTTTTCCGTCCTCCACTCAGTTTTGCATGTTCTAGTCCAACAAATGAATCTCACTGACTGTAATGTTGAGTTCAGAGGCAGCGACAGCGAGAGATTGCAAAATTACATCGCTTCGGCAAAACCAGGTCCTATTATCGCTCTTACCGAGTACACTGTGGGACCTACTGGCGAGGAAGTCCTTAAATCAAAGGAAGAAGAAAAAGGCAAAGCTGATGAATCGCAGACGGAAAAAACCGAAGAGGCTAAAAGTATAGTGGTGATAGAGCAAAAATCGCAAACAAGAACCGACACCAAATCACAGTTCACCATGGCCATAACGCAAGATAGGTATGAGAATCTCGTAGGCGATATTAAAGATTTGCAGGAGAAAGTACAAGAGTTGGCTGAGTTGCCAGGAAATTTGGGATTAGTAAATACAATTAGGTCGGAGAAACCTTCTCCAGTATTGGATATGTTTCACATAATGAAGATATCCAAAAGAGTCGACGCCTTGGATGCCGGAATGAAGAAGATATCTTCCCTCGTGGAGGATTTAGCGTTGGAAAAAAAAGGTTACTCTATTCCACATTTTCTAGTGTTATTATAGCAACGTCTTTACAGGTGAAGGGCCCTTGATGGATGAAAGTAAGTACTTCCAACACTTTCCAAAAAAATCTACATTAGGTATATTTTATCGCCACAGAAGATACCTTGATCAGAAAAGAAGACATTATGGAACTAGAAGCACGGTTAGTCAAACTAGAGGAAGGAGGATTAGTATCCGCATCTCCAGCCAACCTTGAGAGAAGGGTATTTATTTCTCCATCGAGCAACAAAATCAGGTCATCAACTTCCAAAAACCAAACACCTAGAAGCTCAACTGATGGGGCAAATATCGACCAAGAGCATGAGGATGACGCCACTACGCGTGCAGAGACAGTCATTGACTTTGGAGTGTATTTAAAGAAACATTCAAATATTCCATATAAGATCTTATGTTTTTAGAGAAGATCTCTCAACTCTCCCGATCAATGAAGCCATTTATTTAATACAGAAAGACCTGGAATTGTTTCATCATCACGTCGATAATCTTTTCGGTAAGATGTCCAAAGACATAAAAAACCTGAAGAATATGGATTTAGAAGAACAATTGAAGAAAAAGGAAGAAGAGGGCGATGACCTAGCTGAAATTAAACCACTGGCAGGTTCGCATGCTCCGCAAGTGGATGAAAATCTCGATAAAAGATTACGGCCTTTGGAAGAGCAATTAGCGAATCTAAAGAATATATCCGACACGTTATGGAGCGAAAGATCAAACATCTCAAATATGATAGACGTATTTTCAATGCATTTAATGGTGTACCAACTTTAAACGTTTTATTTTTTGTAGGCAATCAAAAACAATATCATGACCATGGTGACAAACCTGAAAGCTGACAAGGATGAAATGGATGACGCTCTCCTGGAGAAAGCAGATTTGTGCCTTTTGGACGAGAAAGTATCCAAAAATCAGTTGGATGAGGTGATTGATGAGTTGATGAACAATATAATGGATAACGGTGGACAGTTAAGCAAAAAAGTATACATTTAAAAGTTGTTTTATATTTTCTCAAACAAAAAATATGTATTTAGCTCGATGAGTTAGCAATTCAAACAGCTGAAGTTACTGAAGAGGTCAAGACCAAAATGGGCATCCAAGATTTGGACGGTTTTAAAGACCTAACCAACGCCAAATTTGCTTTGTTGAGCGAAAAAATAAAGGCCCTGTCGAACCTTAAAGACGATGTGGAAGCCGCTGGGGCCAAGACGAAATTCCTCAAGTAAGAAAAACAATATTCCTTCCTACCACTAACAAACGAAGATTTTCGCAGAAACGTCACATGCATATCGTGCGATCAGGAGGTAAAAATGCGTCGAGAAATCGACTCGACGGCGTTCCCGAAAGCTCCAGCTTTGCAGACCACGGGAAAAAGCATGGGAGCTTATCTGTCGTACGAGCTGGATCACCTAAGGCGTATGCAAAAGTGCACCAACAAAAACAAGAGCCTCAACGTGCTGGAACAAGCGTTAAAGTTTGGAAAGCTGGACCGACCTGAGTACGACTACCGCAACTTGAAGGGTTCAAAATAAAGAGATTTTTTCAGGACCGATCACATATGTAATAGATACTGCGGGGGTAGTCACACAAACACGACGTTTGAGCAGAGGGTTTCCAGGGTTGGGCATTTTTTGAATCAGTGGGTTCCAGAATCGACAACTTTAAAGGATGGTGGCATCAGGGGGACAGATGGAAAGGTATGGGTTTTGATGAGATGAATCAAGTGGTGTTTTTAAGGAATCCTAAACAAAAGTACTACGCTAAAAGTAGCACTATTCTCATCTTCAAGAAATATTTAGTTGAGTTCTAAGATTAGAAGGAATTTTAAAAAAATCAAAAAGGATTTTGAAGGGGGCAAGTAGTACCTACTTTTAGATGGAGTAAAAAGTTTGTGGAAAAAACACCGTGTGATGTTTTTTCCCTTTGGATTATAATTTTTCAAAAACCCAACGTGGAGAAATCAGGTCGAAATTTATTTCTTAGATGTACAAGGGACGCGAATGTGACGAAAAAAAGGAGGTTATAAAGCAAAATCAAGAAACTGAAATGGAGATTGCTGAAGTGTTGGAGGATTTAGAAGCATATGATGCACAGTCGAAGGAAGATTTGTCGACAAATATAATAAAAAAACCGATAAGTACGGTGTTTGTACTGTATAATGTTGAATTAATGGTTTTTAATGTTTTAGTATCTGAACCAATCAAGTCTCGAATGTCCATTTCTTCTCGACTATCCATGTCTCGACCATCCATGTCTCGACCATCCATGTCTCGACCATCCATGTCTAGACCGTCTATTTCAAGTAAATATTACAAAGTTTTAATGCTTATGATGATAGGCGGCCGGTCACGATTTGTCACGCCCGAGGAGGGGACAAAGTAAATCGAATTAAAATGCTTATTTCTTCCATTTTTAGTCAGATTATTACAAAATTTAATCGGAAAAAAAATTGTTGGGGGGGGGTTCTTTAAATTGTCACATTTTGTCACGGGTATGGATGGGGTCAATTTTAGCTATTTGTAGCGTCAGGAGATTTATGGACGGCCCCCAATTAAGTTTGGGAATTTTGAAAGTTTTATGAATTTTGAACATTTTGGAAATTTTAAGTTTTTTGATTTTGTCACGAGGGAGGGAGAGGGGGTCAATTTTAGCCATTAGTAGCGTCACGAGATTTATGGACAGACCCCAACTTTTGTAAAAAAAAGTATCAATTTGTGATTTTAAATCTTGCCTTGAAGATAATCAAATGAAAAAACTGCTTAAGAAAATTTTTGAATAATATGTAAATTTCGAAAATTTTGGAAATTATAAGATTTGGGATTTTTTTTTAATTTAAGCTGTGCGAATTTGTCTTACCATTTTTTAAATGCCTTGCTTTGAAGATAATTAAGAATTTTGTAAATTTTGAAAACTTAAAATTTTTAAAATTTGGTAAATTTTCAAAATTTGGTAAATTTTCAAAATTTAGTGAATTTTAAATACGTAGTTTGGGAATTTTAAAAATTTGTGTTGTAGATTTTAAAAATTCTAAGAATTTTGAAAATTAAAAAAAAAATAATTTATGCTGTGCGAATTTGTCCTTTTTAAATGCCTTGCCTTAAAGATACTTTAACGAAAAAACAGTTTTTTTGAAAATTTGGTAAATTTTTTAAATTTAGTAAATTTTAAAAAATCAGAGATTTTGAAGATTTTCAGTTGTGAATTTTAAGATTTTTTGAATTTTGAAAATTTTGTAAATTTAAAAAAACAGGTTTTTTTGAAAATTTTGTAAATTCAGTATATTTTAAAAAAATTGAGTATTTTGAAAATTTTCAGTTGTGAATTTTATAAATTTTTAAAATTTTTGACATTTTTTAAATTTATGCTGTGCGAATTTGTCCTACCATTTTTTAAATGCTTTGCATTGAAGATAATGAAAATGAAAATTTTCAGTTGTGAATTTAAATTTTTTTTGGAATTTTGTAAATTTATGAAATTTTGGAAATTTTAAGATTTTGGACATTTTTTTAATTTATGCTGTGCGAATTTGTCCTACCATTTTTTAAATGCTTTGCCTTGAAGATATTTAAACGAAAATTTAGAAAATTTTGTGAATTTTAAAAAAATTGTGAATTTTAAAAATTATAAAAATTTTGGAAATGTAGGAAAGATTTTAGATATTTTTTAAATTTATGCAGCGAAAAAATGTCTCACCTGTGCGAATTTTTCTCAATTTTTTTAATTTTTCCTACAATTTATCTTTGAACAGCAAAATAAATGGTACGTACTTAAAACCGTTAAAAACTATTTTCGGTATTTATCCCTCATTATAAATAATGTACTAATAATCGTTACTTACCTCTGAAACTTCGTGCTCTCCTTATACTTAAAGGCGTTTTCATATTTTTTCGTGGCACGAACTGATTCGTAAAACAGTTTTACCTCAAACTACGATTAAATTTCGTTGGCCAAATATAATTTCAAGCCAATTCTTTTTAGAATAGACAAATAGACATTTTCGGCAGATTGTATAGTGTTTATTTTTTAGGAAAATCAAGATCTTCGAAAATATAATTATTTGTTTTATATGTAAATAAAATGATTTATAAAATCAACCTTTGTTTTTCTTTGCAATATAAATAAAAGACAGTGTAGGCAACATAATAAAATATATTTCATTTCAAAAATCATCACATAATCTATACACATGTAAATAATACTCTGTTTCTTATAAAACAGATATCATCATCTTAATATATCCCTTCTTAATAAAAAAGTATATACATTACACCTAATATAACATATCTTTTTGTACAAAGGACAGTATTTTGGCAAAAAACACCAAGAAGACACCACAAGGGCACATAATTTCCATTAATTTCCAAAATTTAAGCCAAGTGTTCAACCAAAGGCTCATAAATTCTAATATACTATTTTAACCCTACTGACTTTGATATTTGCTCGTACAAAGTCCAAGCCATGGCGGCCATTAAAGTGCGACGCAACATTCTAGGCACCATACCTTTAAAGTAACCCTGTACGCCGTATTTACCATGCACATAAACGGCCACACTCCAAATCCCATTGAATTTATTCGGGTACAACTGAATTTTGGTTTTCAGTACATCAGCGGGCTGAGTGACTATGGAAGCCAAAATTCCGGAGGAAACACCGCAAGTAAAATGTATGGGTGAGGCGTAAGCCGAGTTCAACAAATCTGCAATAAAAAAATGATTATTAGCAACATAAAAACTAAAAAAAAAAACTAAAATATTTACCTTCAGGTATCATTTGTTTGGTCTGAGAATAAAACATCAAATACAGCCCGGAAAAGGGGGCATCTCTGAACAAAGTGGGCACCAACCCACAAGTCATGCCTCTGAACCCCTCAGTGCGGTAAATTTCTTTCAGTGCGGAAATAACGCCATTATAACCGTATACACCACTCTCATATCTGAAAAAAAAATAAAACTATAAGAAAAGATTTTTCAAAATATAGGCAACGTTGCCAAGTAATTTTAAATTGTTTTCACAGTGTTGCCAATGGTTTTTACAGTGTTGCCAAGTTATTTGTTTATTTTCCATTAAGATGTGCAAATTTTTTGACTACTTGACAATGTTATGTTTCTAAGTAATTGGCATTGTTGCCAAAATAAGGTGAGATGTTGCCAAATGTAAATGCAACGTTGCCAAGTTTAAAAAACAAATTCAATTTGTCAAAATTAGTCCAACAATTTTATGGCAATATTGTCAATGCGTTTTATGCATTTTACAAGTTTTATGAAGTTTGTAGGCAAAATAAGTTAAATTACAGTGTTGCCAAGTAATTTTCAGTTTTGAGCACAATGGGCAAATTTTGATGCCACGTCAGGTTGTATTTTTTAATGCGGCCAATTAAAAAAAATCATTATCGCTAAAATTCAAGTTCAACGTTGTCAAATGTTAATGCAATATTGCCAATGCGTTTTATATTTTTTTTAGGAAAACATTGCCAAATTCAAGTTAAATTACAGTGTTGCGCATAATTTTTAGTTTTTAATCAAATGTGCACATTTTTGAGGAAAAATTGACAAATTAATATGTTGTTACCAAGTTTAGGTGCAATGTTGCCAAAATTAAATGCAACGTTGCCAAGTTGTCTTTTTTTAATTGTCATTAAAAAACAAAATAATTAATTCTAGTTCTGCTGGACAAATGTCATTTTTATAGCAAATCGTCAAATTTTAATTTGATATGTTGTCGCCAAGTTTATGTGCCATGTTGCCAGAGTAACGTTTTACAATGTTGACATTTGTTTGCACATTTTTTGTACAAGTTTTTTTGTCGTTTTTATACCAAAATTGACAAATTAATACGTTGTTGCCAAGTTTAGGTGCAATGGTTCTAAAATTAAATGCAACGTTGCCAGGTTTTCTTTTTTTAAGTGTTGTGATTAAAAAACAAAATTAATTAGTTAAATGTAATTTTTATGGCAAAATCGTTAAAATTTAATTTAATGCGTTGTCGCCAAGTGTATGTGCGATGTTGCCAATATAAAAGCAACGTTGCCAAAGTAACGTTTTACAATGTTGACAGTTTTTTTTGTCATTTTTATAATACTTGGTTGCCAAGTTTAGGTGCAATGCTGCCAAAATTAAATGCAACGTTGCCAAGTTGTCAAATGTAATTTTTATAGAAAATCGTCAAATTTTAATTTAATACGTTGTTGCCAAGTGTAAACGCAACGTTTCCAGATTAATTTGTTTACAATGTTGCCATTTTTCGAAAAAAAATAGTGTCAAAATTTATTTTCGTCTTTGTCAAATGTAATGTTTATAATGCGTTGTTGTCAAGTGTAAGTGCGATGTTGGCAAATGTAATCGCAAAGCTGCCAGAATAATTAGTTTACAATGATGCCATTTTTCAAAAAAATTAAACTCTCAAAAAGTGTTGTCATTAAAAAACAAAATTTGGGTTCATCTTTGTCAAATGTAATTTTTATAATGCGGTGTTGCCAAGTGTATGTGCGATGTTGCCAAATGTAAACGCAACGTTGCCAGAGTAATTTGTTTACAATGTTGCCATTTTTTTCAAAAAAAATTAAACTTCTCAAAAAAATTACCTTGTTTTGACTACGGTGATGGGTATGAGGGCGGCGCCGCTCATGCATCTGGCAACCATGCCGATGGCGACGGATTCCAGAGCGGAAGGGTTTTTTTCGGAAAAATATTTGGATTTTAGGTAGTCCAAAGAGCAAAAATAGAGGCCCACGCCGGGTACGCATCTGGTGATTGAGGGGACCATGCCCCTCCACAAACCGCGCAATTGTTCTTGTTGGAGGATGTTGGAGAAAATGGCAACCATGGAGAGAGTGCCATTGCGACCGCTGTAAAGAAGAAGTGAGGTTAGTTATTGTATTTTATAATATATTACTTAAATGTGTTTATTTGTTAAAAAACTGATACTTACTTTATTAGAGCTGGGGTGGGGTTTTGAAGTCTAGTTTTGACCAAGTCCAGGGGTTGAAATAGTACAGTAGAAAAAGTTCCGGAGAAGGAACCAGCCAAAAAAGATTTGACAACGGGATACTATAACAAAAAAATATTAATTAGCACCACAAAAATCAATTAAACATCAAGGACTTACATTAGATATGATATCCATGACTTTAAGTACTATACAGTCTCATGTAAGTTATATAACAGCCTTATTAGGGTTTATTTGGGGGAACTTAGGCAAAAGTATCAGAATAGTCTGAATAGTAGATAGGGTTAACTCTAAATTTTGATATGATAGACATTCTTTCTCTCTGTAGATATGAAGACATTTATACGACTTTTATAACAACAATTCAGAAGAAAAAACACTTAAAACAATGAATACAACTTTATACAAGCTCCAAGTAATAAAAAACTATAAAAATACCATAAATAGAAAGTAATTCTTACAACAAATAACACTGAAGCAAGACTAGTCCAACAAGTGATAAGCAAGTCTTTAAATACTCTGGACACTAATTAGCGATAACATTAAGATAACGCGACCCCCAGTTGGTAAATTTATATCGCGTTCTATTTGTTTACTCACATCTTTCAATATGACCCCCTTTTCAGGATCCGTCCCCCCCTCAGACACCTCCTCCATACAATTTTATTACGTCTATTTTTTTTCATATAAAAAATTGTTTTGACCTTAGGTACATAACCTCAAAACACCTGAGTTTTCCCGCAGGTTAAAAAACCGTTGGATAAAAATTATATTAAAAGAATTCTTATATACAGGGGGCAGTCGAAAACAATTTGGTAAGTCTAGGATAAAAATCAGTCATTTGAACAACTTTTTATTTCAATTTCGGTAACATTTGATTAAATTAAAAAGATCCAGAAAAGGAATACAAAAATTGCATCATCCTAAAATGATAAATGAGTCTATTTGCTAAAGTTAAAAGTCAATGATAAGGCTATAGGGGGTCTGATATCTCTTCGTGAGGGGCAAAGATTAAATAAATAAGTCTGTTTAAATGAAAAACAATGCGAGCACAAGGAAATAATAACCTTGGTTTAATAATATAAAAGTTTTATGTAGTGGAAAAATTGGAATAAATTATTGTTGTTGGTAACAAGCTGTGACAAGGTCAGAGAAAATTGCCTGGATTTTAGATACTTTCTTATTTAAAGTGTTATAACTTTAAAACCAAATAATATTTTTAAATAATTATTTTTTTATTTTGTTAACAATTCTTTAAGGGTTATTTTGACATATAAAAACTATTTTTATCATATTTTTAAAGGGTTGAAACCTTTATTTTTCCAAAAGGCTACAGATGAAAACTACTACTACTACTAAAAATTCTTATTTCATTTTATAAAACACGATTTAAGGATTATTTGAACATTTAAAAAATATTTTTTTAGTTGTTTAAAAGGGTGATATTGTTATTCTTGCAAACCTCTACAAATAAAAATAATCCTGACGTTCATTTAACTCCTACTGTAACTTTCAAAAAATATTTTTAAATAGAATTTTTATTCCCTATAGTACCTAGGCAATTTACCTTCCTTTTAAAATAATTTTACCATAATTTTAAACATAAAAAAACTTATATGAAACTGTCTATAAAAAATGATATAGAAAACCATATACATACCTCAGTTCTGTAAGTCATCTTGTAGGTAAATAATAATTATTAAATCCTTAAAGGAACTCAACACTTTTCAAAAACTTCACAAAAATGCTCGCAACAAACACCTAGGACGATAAATTAGCGAATGCTTAAAATTCCCAACGATCCTTTATTAAAAGAAATTTCCTTATCAATCAAATTGTAATAAAAACATATTTGTAATGATTGTTATTAATATTTGCTGGGGGTATGTCAAAAGGTCACCGAAAACAGTTGCTACACAGAGTTTTACCGTCATTACATTAGCGGGGTACATAATCAGTTTTGTTTTTGTACATTTAATTTTAGCACAACAACATATTTTAATGGTTTATATTTTTGTAAAGTGTAATGTATTCCACGTTTTAAGGAAAACAAAGCCATTTGGAAATACACAAGGTCAAGTAATTTAATATTTGCTAATTTTGCAAAACAGTAGTAACCATTCTTCTTCTTAATTCTGATCACAATATATATTTGTGATCCTTTAGCTTGATTTAAAAGCTATTTTGCCAGCAACAGTAGTATATTTCTTTATACTGGGATACCTGTAACAGGGTTAAGATCAGGGTGGAATTCCACCCTGGTTAAGATGAAAGATCATCTTTCAAAGATGAGCTTGACATGGTTGTCAGATGTATTTTATGACAGTTTGTGGTGGAAAATTATATTATATTAATAGTGTTAAATAATTTTTTTAACTGATAAATATAAAACTTATGTAAAATAGGGAAATGACCTATGTCATTTTATCTATCTATTAAATTATATTTAAAGATAAACTATTTTTAACTTAATTTACGAAATATTTATTAATTTTTGCACGTGTTAGATCAGGACATTTCAATCACCAGTATCAAAGAAATAATAGGTAAAATCCTCAAAAGTCACAAATATGGATATGTTAATAATTAATTAATAAATGTAATAAAATAAAGCTACGCCACTGTGTATATTTTGATATACAATAATTATTCTTATCGCATTTTTCAAGAAATAAAGACAAACTGTATCCAAAGCAAAATTTACGTCAGATTTAAGAAGTTGTTACTACAATAAAATTACAAAACAATACTTTTATATGTATGTACGAATAATATGTTATATTTATCGATAATTTAAAATGGCAATTATTGATTTTTTTAGTCGGCATTTTAAAAAGTTTTTTTTCTCAGTAGACAAAATAGTTAACTTATTTATTTTGGAAAGATAAGGCCCCCACAGATTTATGATGCGGCCACCCAACTAGCATTTATGGTGGCAGATACGTAACTGCTACTATCAAAGCCACTACAAAGGGGGCGGTGACCATCGGCGGCTACGTTGTATATTCGTAGCTGCTAAGTAACTGCGACCAAAATGGGGAAAGATTTTGAGTAGCCGGGTAGTGTCTTGGGTAGTTTTTGCCACTAAAAGAGTTACTACGATATGGCACTATAAAGTAGCCTACCGTTGAATGCGACTTATCTGTTACGAAGCTGCCTAGTCGCGGGTTCGTGGCAGCCTAGTGTTTTGCCACCGACATGTAGAACTTTCATTAAACTGTTAAACTTTATTCGCAGCGACCTCTTCAGTTTCACACTTTATAAAAATAAATGTCATGATGGAAAGTAATTATGAAAGCCATTATTATTTTTTTGTTATTTACCATGCGATTTTAACGCCTATTGTGGGTCAATTCCAAAACGCAATCGACTTTACTGAATAAAATAGTGGGTTTATATGACAAAATTTTCGAGCGCCTTTCAAAACATTTCAAATTATTAAATTATTTGCAATAGAAACTCATGTAGTAATTAAAAAAAAAATTAATTTGCTTAAAACTGGCGTGAAACTTTAAAATATTAGTCCACCGTCACAAATAACAAAATATCTAAGGAAAAAATCTTTAGTTTAGGTATATTTAGCTTAAAAACGCAAAATGTTTGAGCCATTTGGCTGTTCGTCTGAAAAGTCATGAAAAAAATATGGCCGTTTAATCCGAAAAATACTTTATAGTTCCATATGCTTCCACAAAGTACCGGGAACAATAATATATTAGGCCAACCCTACCCGTTTGGAACTTTAAAATCTTCGGATTGATAAAGTGACAATTGCAACTACCCAGAGACGACTTTATGGAAACAATAACTTTTTGGGAACTACATGGTCCACGATTCTTTGGAACATAAAGTGATTTTTTCCAAGAAAGTTCCCTGCGCCACTAAATTGCCACTTAATTGCAGCGTTTATGCTACACCGATCGCGGCGTGCCACTATAACGTTCCGCCTTGTCCTTTGAAGTTCCCGTTTGGCGACGCGAGAATCATATTTTTTGTAAAATGCAAATTGAATATTATCAAACCTAATGTTTTACTGGTTATTGCAATTCTTATGATCACATGACAATTATTCATTTATTTTCAAAAAAATTAATTATTATAAAAAAACAGGACCCACACCGTTTATGACGTCACTTCCGTCTCGTGTCGTTTTTTCTAGGTTTATTAATTACTCTCTTAAATCTTGAAACGTTCTCTTCCACTTAATCTTCGAATTTGAATCCACGACTTAAGTAGAGAGCATACAATATTCATTTTTACATAGCCCAAATACCTACAAGTAAGGCAGAATGAATAACATTCATCAGCCCAAGATTTGAACGCTTGACTCAGGTGTAGAAATCAGAACATACATCAACTTTGACTGCAAATACTTCAGGGAAGTATTGATAAACTTGACCCATTAAAAATATTTAGCACCTTGAATTTCTTATATTAAATTCCTATTCATTACAAAATATTTAAAGACTATTAAGGTGAAAACGTTCACGTAAGATAGAATTAATAATATTCATCAGCACCTCGATCAGAACGAGATTTGAACACTTGACTCAGGTATAGAAGTCAGAACATGCATCAACTTTGAATGTGAATAGGTACTTCAAACAGCTTAAAAAATGTCACTACCTGATTTATGATGTTCATCAGTAGGATTATAGAAAGATGTATTTTTTGTTTCTGATGTTGATGCTTCGGCTCCCAGTGATTCCTTTTGTTTAATTCTTTGATAGAAAGTACTAGAATATCTAAATTTCTTTTTATTTACCTTAGTCATTTTACAGAATTTTAATAAAGCTTAAAAGCAAAAACAGAGCAGCACACTATAGTGCGTAACATATATGCATATATGCAATCTGAGGCAATTACATTTATTAGGGTATATTAAGTTATGGTCACTATTAAGTAGCCATTTTTGATCCCCGCGACTTTTTAGTGGCAAAGGATAAGCGACGGCTACTTTATAGTGACCTAGGAAGGTCGCAGTAACCATTTTGTTACTTTCAATGCTACTATAAATTAGAGGTAACCAGGTGTCGTGGCCGCGACTACCCCGTAACTTAAATTGTTACTATAAAGTAACAAAAACTTAATGGAGGCATTATGGTAGCACTTGTTAGTGACCGCTACTTTAAAAAGTTACTATAAAGTTTTTGGTCTTTTATGGTGTCATATTCGAAGATTCAGGTAGTTCCAGCCACTTCTTTAAATTACATGTTTGCCACTTGCAATCGGTGTGTTTATTTTCCACTTTTATGGTAGGTAGGCACTAACCAGTCACTCTCGAAATATACTTCAAAGTGACTATTCCTTATAGAGTAACATTTTAAGTGGCAGGGTGGGTCTAGGAACTATACTTTAGGGGCAGTGACATTTAAAAAGGACTGGGAACTATATTTGCTAATTGGGCATAAAATTTGTGTTTTTGGAGTTTAGACTTGCAAGTCTAAACTCCAAAAACACAAATTTTATTGCATCACATTTTTTTGCAAAAATATCCTAAACTCCTTGAATTTCAAAAACCTTGCATGCGATTTTTACGATTAAAAAATAAGGTCAAAATGGCAAGGTTCTAGAATGTAAAACACTACCGTCAATGACATTTATTTACGTTATTTTTTATCTCTGTTTTGGCGTATATGATTAAATATAGAAATAAAAAACACAATCCTGACGCAAATTTTAGCTATAACACATCATGTTTTTCAAAAATAAGGAAAATTATGCAACATTGTATCGAATTTTTGCATTTGTTTTTGATATGTGATAATAATACTGGCAAACTAGATAAATTTGTCTTTAATTTGACATATACTTTATTAAAATCGCACTTAAATTAAAAAAGTTACGAGACCTAGTGCAAGCCTTTTTTGTTTTTACAATATTTTGTTGAATATCTAAAAACGCATGGAAGTTTCCACCAAGAAACATATATTTTTGAAAACTAGATTAAATAGGCTTTATTTTGACGTGTAAAATTTTAAAATCGGATTTAAAATAAAAAATTAAATGACCTGGTGCATATTAAAAACATTTTTTAAAACGTAACTAGGTGGCGTGGAATAACTGCGAAGTTGAGTCGAATTTTTGTACAATAAGCTTTCATTTGACGTATCCGTGTATAAACATAAAATTTATCATTTGACGTTATTTTATATTTTGTTAAATATCCAAGAACGCATGGAAGTCGCCTAATATGTGTGACTATTTTTGTAAACTAGATAAATTTGTCTTTAATTTGACATATACTTTATTAAAATCGCACTTAAATTAAAAAAGTTACGAGACCTAGTGCAAGCCTATTTTTTTTGTTTTTACAGTATTTTGGGCAATATCTAAAAACGCATGGAAGTCTCCACCAAAATACATATATTTTTGGAAACTAGATTAAATATATTTAGCCTATAGGCTTCATTTAGACGTGTAAAATTTTAAAATCGGATTAAAAGTATAAAAATTAAATAACCTGGTGCACATTAAAACATTTTTTTAAACAGAACTGTGAGGTTAAGTCGAATTTTTGTACAATGAGCTTTCTTTTGACGTATCGGTGTATAAACATAAAAGTTATCATTAACGTTCTATTATATTTTGTTAAATATCTTAGAACGCATGGAAGTCGTCTAATGTGTGTGACTATTTTTGTAAACTAGATAAATTTGGCTTTAATTCGACATATAATTTATTAAAATAGTACTTAAATTAAAAAAGTTATGAGACCTAGTGCATATTTTTGCCAAAAAAAGCTATTTTATTTCGTTAATAATGGGTATAATTTTTTTTTGTGAAAGTTGTTGTGGCAAACAAAAAATTTAATTGTGCCGACCAGTGTAATTATTATCACCTATTCAAAAATCCAAAATGCGTTCAGAAATAAATAACAAAAAACAAAACCTGACATTCATAAAATGGACCTATCAGTGACAGGTTGTCAAATTGACATAAATTTATACAATTTATTATATTACATTATATTTTATACTTATTTTACAGAGAGTGAAACATACACGCCAAGACATAACTATAACACAAGACTGCAGGGTAGTGTTTTATACTATAACGTTTATGTGATTAAAAATGTCATTTTGACATATTATTCTAACATGTAAATTTCAGCTAAATACTCGAACTCTTCGGTAGCCATCCCAAAACCAAAAAGTACCAGGCGAGACAGTGAAATACGTGAAAATAACGAACTAGTTCTGCAATCATTCACGTTTGATGATAGTTTTAGAAGACATTTTAAGAATGAGGATTTGGTAAGGTACACTAATAATAGTCAAACAATGGGTTGGCAGGAGAGAAGTTATACGAGTACAGGGCCTTGTTCTGTCTCTTGTAACAATAGACCACACACTGGAGGAAAAAGTTGCAATAATAACGAATTTTGGAACAAATATTCAAAGCACATTTTTGTATCTGGTAAAACCACTTTTTAAAACTTTATCAGTAGAATATTAACAAACTATTTAAAGCTCTTGTGGGTATGATAGTGATACCGATGTTAAATAACATGTTTCAAACGTTTAACCAACTTACCACCGATGTGGAACAGCTAAAGGTTTAAAGCTAAGGCTTCCAAATCGCTCTACTAAAATTTTATTTTTTTAGAAAGATTCTAAAATCACAAAAATGAAAATTCAAAGTATAGACAATACGTTATCCACCATAAAATGTAAGTAATTTACAATTGTAACTTACAATTTGTAAGGAGAAAAAACATTTTCTATGTAATTATGTAACACGCTAAAGAAGCATAATTATTAGAATACTAAAATTCAGGTTGCATCCCTGATAGCAACTTCTAAGAAGATATGACCCGGAATAATGGAATATTCTTAGAACCTTCCCTTATTGCTAAGAATGTTCTTAGGGACTTTTAAAACATTCAATAGATACCCTTTTAATGATGCAATTAGATTCTTAGAAGCTTCTTAAAACCTTCCTAAAAAGCATTTTAAGAATACGTTTTTGGAATGTTCTTAGAAGGTTTCTTATGGAGCTTCTAGGAAGCTTTTGAGAATATTTCCAAATATGTCAGATACCCACGTTCTAATATGTTGGATTCTACATTCGTAAAATTCTTCAGAAGGCGACAAATACGCCTCACTGTCATAATATGACAGTGAAATGTATTTGTCGTCCCCTTAAAAAAATTTGCGACATATTAATATATATTTATTTAAAAATATTAAATAAACAATTTGACCTCTAAACCATAAGTTATATGATATTATTTCATAAAAAGTAAATTTGGAAAATGTTGTGGGATAAGTCAGATTAGATTGAAGTTGAAGATGGTTAGGATTATTATTAAATGTTAATTCAGAAATAAAAAATTGGTATACAAATTAATAAATATTTATTTTTAACATAAAATAAAATATAAAAAACAAAATATTTCCTTATAAAATAATTTTTCATAAAAGAAAAAACCGAATAGTTCTTCATAAAAAAAACATTTTTCATTGTATTTAAGTTGGATAGAAGATTTTATGTAAAAGCCGGATAATTTAGATACCTATAGTAAAAGTATTTTTGTTATCGAATATTGTTTTAATTTGACAAATAACTATAAAAAAATATTTTGGATTGTGTTTTTTACTTAGTATTTAAAACTAAGTATAGGTACCTTTATACGTAGATTATGGTATATTTTACCATTATATAGGTACCTAACTGAACTGAATATGCTTAACAGAATGTTCCAGGAATATTCCTAAATGAACTTTCTATAGCAATTACTTTCTCAACATTCTAAGCATATGTTTAGAGTGGATTAATTTTTACCACTAAACTTTGCACCTTCTAAAAACCTGCCTATAGGCCAATGAGAATATTCTTAGGATTATGCTATATTTCTTTTAAGCATGTTCTTTAGAAAAAATATAGCATGATCCTAAGAATATTCTCACTGGAAGGTTTAAAAAACATGACTAGAAGAAATATAGCATGATCCTAAGAATATTCTCACTGGAAGGTTTAAAAAACATTCTTAGAACATGACTAGAAGAAATATAGCATGATCCTAAGAATATTCCCACTGGAAGGTTTAAAAAACATTCTTAGAATAAACTGTGCTATAAGGGCTGTTAGGGCGTTAACACCTTATAAACTAATTTCAGCGGGTTCATTCAACATTAAATCAATGGTTATCGACGAAATGGAAAAACTCAATTCTGATAAAACAGGAAAAACTGACTACGCCTTGGAATCAACAGGTTTAAACCTAGATAAACTTTTTTATATATACCTACCTAAGGTTTAATTTTTAGGTGGAAGTATAGTTAAATTACTTCCGGAGACAGAAAACTACAGTAAACCTAAGAATTTATTCGGTTTAACCTTATGTGAGGGTAGTAATGGTCCAAGAGCAATGTTGCAGGTAAACCTAAGGTTTATTCCATAGGATTGTCAAAAATGTTTTTTTTTAGATTGGGACAGCTCCTGGTCAATGTTGGGCCTTCAAAGGGTCCAGTGGCGGTGCTATAATTAAACTAGTAGGGGTTGTGGACATAGAATCCATAAGTTTGGAGCATATACCTAGGAAAATGTCACCTACAGGAGAGATATCGACGGCTCCCAAGGATTTTGCTGTCATCGTAAGTTTTGGTTGTGTTCCAGGGATTGTTATTTATTTTTTAAACTTTTAGGCATTGAGATCGCCAAACGATAGCCAAGGTTCTTACTTGGGTCAATTCAAATACGACGTAGATGGCCCTGCATTGCAGACTTTCAAAGTTGAATGCGGCTATCCGGTCGAGTTCATATCGTTTAAAGTTTTGTCCAACCATGGCCATATGGACTTTACATGTGTATATAGGTACCCATATTTTGTAAAATATTTAATACCTCATGTTATAACTTTGTTTTTTTTAGGTTGAGAGTACATGGAAGTCTAAGCAAAACAACTCACAAAAATTAAATACTATATTGGTGTTATGTTACATTTCAAATCGTTCTGGACGGATCTAAATATACTCATAACTCTAAAAAATGAGAAAATATCAACAACATATTGCTTTATTAATATTTTATATTCGTAAAATAAACGTTATATTTTGGTCTATAAAGTTTTCAACATTGCGTTGACTCTGACGCCTAATTTTTGCTCGAAATCGTAATTACTGTAGTGGTTTATTTGCTGCAAAAGCTTTTTTCCCTCGTCTTTGGTCTAAAAAAAGGTGTGTTTAAATTTGTTTTTAATGGTTAAACACCCAATACGCTAAAAAAGTATCGGGTTTTTGCAACGCGCGCGCCATCTGGTGGACTTCGATAGCATTGCCAACAATACATTCATAGCATACGAACTGTAAATCATTTTTAAATAAATAGGTAGTATTTTCACAAAAAAAGGATATCGATTGATTAAGAAACTCAACGCTTAAATGCTTGTATTCTTACGTTAGTGTGTGTATTTTATTTAAGGGATCATGGTTAATTATTGGGTTTTAAATTGTAAATAAAATTCAAGAACTAAATCGTTGCGTTTTCATGTTTTGCCAAAGGATCCAATTCGGTAAGTACATTTGTTGGTGCAGAATTAACTAATGATAACTTTACCTCACCTAATTTATATTTAAGTTTGGACATTTTTAAGAAATTAGTAAAAAATAATTTTTGCACAAACATAACCTTAAAATCAACCATTTTTATATTTGAGTTCTCTAAAAAACGCCGACAACTGCCTTTTAAACAACAAAATATACCTACGAATTCATGGCAACATAATATTATATACCGTACCTTCATTTGCAAGTTATACATAGGGAAAATACATTGTAGGTGGAACAGACAAGTCGAAGTCAGCGCGAAACGAAAATGTTCCCAGAAATTATTTTGACGAGTGGATGAGTAGACTAACATGCGACGTAACAGGTGACCTTGTTTACTGACGATTAAAATTTTATTACGTCCATATAATTTCTAAGAACTTTTTCGCTTTGCGCTGACTTCAACTTGTCTGGTCCACCTACAATGTATTTTCCCTATGTATAGCTTGCAAATGAAGGTACGGTATATACATAATATAATGGTATTTTACCGTTGTGGAGACTTTCTTAATCCACGCTTTTAATAATGCTAAATGCTGTTTAAATTTAGACGACTTATTTGTTTGACGATTTTTACTGAATTGAAATGTTTACACTTTTCACGTTAATCACTACTAAAATGTGTATTTATTGTATCTAATAGGTACAATTTATATTTACAGAGACTGTATGAAATTTATTTCTTCATTCAGATTAACACTGTTTATTGGAATACCGGTAAAAACTCAACCCAGGATTTCCTCTCGAAATACACCCAACAACACAACAAATCCTGCCACGGTTTTTTTCCGATATTTTTTTAACATTTCTCGGCTTTATTTTCAAAAACAACCGAGTGGTGGCGCTACTAGCGATACTTCTTTAGCGTATAGGGGAATCTCACCTCTACATCTCTGCAAAGTATGGAGGCCAACTCGAACTGCGAAAAAGCTGACACATGCGCATCGACGGCATTATAACTGCAATCTTTTCGAGCCAAAAGGCATTCCCTAAATTCCTTAACGGCTATTTCATCTTCCCTTTTAAGACTATAACAATTCCCTAGTATTAATTTGGACATCCCTTTCATGGGCTGTTCTGTATTGTCGCTAAGACTAGCTTTGCTAGACTCTAAAACATGTTTACTATTGAAAATGATCATTTTACCCCCCAAAAAGGAGGTAAAATGATAATACCTTCAATAATGTCTTCTATGGCCATAGACGTGCAACTGGGTAGAGCGTTCCATAGATATAGCAATTCGTAGAGCAATAACTTCCAATAAATCGGTTTTATTTTCGTCAGAGCTTCGTATTCGTTCGAGCACAAGTGCAAACGCCTCGTAAGGTACTCGAAGATCGTATTACCCTTGTTTATCGACTTTATTGAAGCTGAAAAGTCTATAATTAAAGTTTAGATTTCTCCCAAAAGTTACGTTTTGTAACCTGTCAATTCCTCCATAATTTTGTCCGTATCGTTGCCGCAAGCCCCGGTGCACAAAGCCGCCAAATAGCAGTAGAAAGCTTTGGACCATCTGGAGTGCTGCTTCAGATGCGTGAAAACCGTTTTGGATTGGCAGAAATCCAAGCCAATGAGATGACACCAGCCCTCTTCGTGCAGAGACAGCAATCTCATCTCGGTTTGGGTGGATTTGTCCACTGCTTCTTTAAAACACACCAGAGCCGACTGTATGTCACCCTAAAGAGAGTAAATGGCGTAATTGTAAAATACCTTAGTCCTATATGTATCTTACGTTGGTTCTGAACATTCTTCCTTTAAAGAAGAGAAAATAGCATGACTGAGAATACTGTGCTTCTGACTCATCAATTAGGGTTTTGGCCGCACTACCTCCCATTCTTATATTACTACCATCAACGCCATAGTATGGGCGCACTATGGTGTGGTACCACAGCAGACACAACCTAAAAACAATCTATCCACTATGTTTGAATTGAAACAAGAAGGTCGTTTTCTGCTTATATCTCGCTCGCTATTGGTGGGAGGTATAAATAGCATTAACAAAAAATGTAGATCTTTAAATTCTCCACAATAAAGGTTAAATGCATATTTATCCCCCGACAAACCATTAAGCAGATATAGGCAACTTCCACTATTCACTATGTTTGAAATGAAACAAGGTCGTTTTCTGCTTATATCTCGCTCGCTATTGGTGGGAGGTAAAAAATGTAGGTCTTTAAATTCTCCACAATAAAGGTAAAATGCATGTTTACCCCCCGACGAGCCGTTAAGCAGATATGGGCAACTTACGTCGCGAGGGGGGCTCTCATGTCCTCACCGGTTCTGGCGTACATGAGACATTCGATTCCCATTTGTCGATCGGAGCGAAATCCGAGGATATTGGTGATTCGCAGGACGGAAGGCGGAAGTAATGATAGGCCTAAGTGCAGAAGGCCGTAGCCGAAAGATACGGCCGACATCAGACGTTTGATTGTCTCCTTGCTCATCATATCTGTCTTTCTTGGGAATCAAGAGATTTAGATTAGTGGGCTGGGGGTTTTGGGGGCGAGATGGCGCAAAAATAAGACAATATAAAATTGCGGAAAATTGTTTGTAAATTTTAAGTAAGTATTACTTAAGTAAGTATTATTACTTAAGTAAGTATTACTTACTAAGTAATAATGTAAAGATAAATATAAAATAATAAACAAGTATTAAAAAAGAATGTAAAGCAAAAAATCATAAATACGCTAATTGAGAAAAAATATAAAAAAATAAAAATTTTAAGGTTAATTTCACTTAACCCACAAATTCACCATACCCACAAATTAACCTTAAAATTGACATTTGACAGTTTGATGGCAGCCCTGATAGAATAAGGTTTATTTTTCACAATTTAAGGCCTCTTTTAAGGCTCACAAGTGCCTCTGTAAGCAACACAACGCTTAAAACTATTATCAATCTGTATAAACAGAAGAAACCCGAAGCACAAGAATTGCAAACAACATAAAATGGCCGCCGTTAGAGTCTGTTCTGCGGGTTGCCTAACTTCATGATTTTTAGTATACGCGAAACGAGATAGAACAGAAATTGTTGGGTGGATTGTGGATGTTTTTAAAATAAAATTAGCTAAAAGTCCTGTAAAATATTAAAAATATACTGGGTTTAAAAAAAAATTAAAATACCAAACAACAATGTGAAATTTTAAGGAATTGTAATAAAAATTGAAAAACACAAATAAATACAAAAATCAACAATTGCTTTAAAAAATTGATTCAATTTTTAAAAAATTATTGTAAACTTTCAAATTGGTTAAAAATAAAATATAAAATTAACTATAATTAATATGGTAAATTTTCGATATTTGATAAAATATTTTTAATACCAATTTAATACAAAATCGTAAAAAAATGTATTGCTTTAAAAAGATCATTAATTATATTTAAAAAAATGGTATAAACTTTTAAAAGATTGAAAAAATACAGAAATTTAAAACTATTGCGAACAATATTATTCAAAAAAATCATAAAATGTTGTTAACCCATTAACGCTCATTGTACTCGCATGTTACTTTAAAGTTTAAATAAACAGAAATATATTAATATGAAAAAATACTTTTTTAAGGAAATGACTTATATTAATTACATTATATGCTTTGAAAATGGATAATATTTTCAAAATAAAACTGGATAAAAATTTCCAAAAATTAGAAGTCTAGACGTTCTTTCCATCGACGTGTAAGTAATTTTAGAGAACTTTTATGTCTAAAAACTTTATAAGGCACAAAATTAGAAAAAAAATTAAAAATACCAAATAAAAAAAATTTCAAGAAATTGTAATAAAAATTAAAAATCGTAAATAACATCAAAAACCAACAATTGCTTTAAAAAGTTGATCAATTTTTAAAAATACCTATATTGAAAACTTTGGCAAATTGTTTAAAAATAAAATATTAAATTAAATAAAATAGAAAATAAATTAAAAATAATGAATATGGTAAATTTTCGATATTTAATAAAATATTTTGAATATCTATTTACCTAATATCTACAAATTTTATAAACTTAAAAAATATTGCATTGGTTTAAAAAATTCATTAATAGATTTTTAAAAATTGGTGAAAATATAGCAAACAATCTTAATTTTATTAAAATATCATAAAATATTGTTTCAATATTCTAGAAAAATTATTAATATAAAAAAACTTTTTTAATGGGATGACTTTTTAATTATACTCTTGATATAAAAAACATGGATAACTAAAAAAATACTTAAAAACACGATATTGTTATAATTAAAAAAAAAATTTTAAGTAATTTTTTAATGGAATGACCCATACTACTTATAAAAACTATTAAAAAACACAACATAAATAATAAAAAGCAACATTTCTCTACACATTTGCCATTTTTGCAAAAAGTATTTGGGGAATCCCATGCCAAATTTACCTATCAAATGAGTTTGCTAGTTGCTAAAATGTTTTTGTACGTAATCAAAAAATGTCCAGATCAATTAATTCTGTAAAAATTTATGGATTGAAAAAAAAATCGTCAATTTTTAAAAAATCTACATCTCAACAGCTCTGCCAAAAAACATATTCCAATTTCACTCATTTGGTGCATTTGGCATGGAATGCCCCATATGTAAGCCTAATGGATATATAAAGCCAAAAGATACGCCGAAAGATCTCTGTAAGATATCTAAAATACATCCAAAAGATATCTAAAATACATTTTAACCCAAATAAGATATCAAAGAATATCTCATTCAAGTTACCCAGATACAACTGCATGCTGAAGATATGTACATTGTAGATAATACCTTTTGACTTAGCAGGGCAGTATCTTGGGTTTTGTACCTTTAGCTAGCAATTATTCGTTGTTATTCTTATAGACACCCTCATCTGAATATTTGCAGCCTACCGGTTATGTGTATAGTTAGCGTGCGTGTGTGAGCAGCGGTGAGAGGTATCGCTACTATATTTGTTACTTTTGTTATTTAATTAAATTTGTAGGATTATTTGTAGCAATTTTGCTTAATATTGGCCATTTTACATAAAACATAAAAAAATAAAAAGTCTTATAATTGTCTTATTTTTGTCATCTTATACCGAGAGGTCAACCACCCAAAGGGAAAACGTCCAGGGATTCCCATGTATTCCCATTATATTTTATTGTATTCCTATGTATTTCCATTGTATTCCTATGGTATTCCCCCTCTAAAATGTCCAGGGATTCCCAGGTGTGGGTGACCCCTCGTCTTATACCTACTTCTACTCATGCCCTCGACTGTCTATAATACTCACGCCTCATTGGCTCCCAACAACCCCAGCCCCCTTATATAACTATACGAGACCGAGGACCTCAACGATTTATACCGGGCGTTCCAGAAACTCTCGCCGCTGTTCGAGAACGAGCTGTGGAACGACACGGACTTTTTTACGAGCGAATTTCGAGAGGCGGCGCGCGGCACGATGCCCTCGTCGAAATCGTCGGGGGCGGGCGGCGGCGGCGGCCCGGCGGCGGCCGATCGCGAACCCGAGCGATTCAAGATGGCGGACCTCGAATGCGGCAGCCGAGAATTAATCGGAATGTACCCGTTGTTGCCGTCCCTTTCCGGCGAACTTTCCGGAAATTGCCACTCTATGTCCGTCTCGATGTCCGTCGAGCTCGAATCTTCTGCAAAAAACAAGAATACGTTCGGCAACGTTGCACAATCTGGCAACATCGCAAAAAATTACGGTTTACAACTTTCGCATATAGCAAATTTAAAAGGAAACGACGTAGGTATACGTCATCGATGACGTCATAATTTTGCGCACTGGTACCAACACTAAATGTATAAAACGAACATTGAATATTTTAATGCAGTTTAAACAACTTTAGTTGGCAGAAATTGCAATGTTGTCATGTTTATATTAAAATTAAAATGACGCATAGAAAAACAAATTGACGTTTTAGAATTTCGAAACTGTCAATATTTCGTTTACTTCGTGTATAATTTCGTTTATTTTATTTGTTGTTTGTGTAATTTTATATCGTTTAAGTTTTCATTGCCGTTTTTGTGTTTGTTATATAGGTATCGTTTTTTTTGTTTTTCCTATATTTAAAATGCCGAAGAATTTAAATAGTCGGAGTCAAGAGTTGGTATCATCCTTAATACGCTTTTTTGAGGCAGAACGGGATAATAATGGACCTTTTACAGCTGTTTTATAGGGAAATAGGATTATATAATCCTATTTACCTCTATATAATAATATTAATAATTATTAGGCTGGTTCAAAAAAATTAACTTTTTTTTTCTTAAAGATACCAAAAAAAACTCCTGTGAAAACCGGAGCTCTTAATTTTAATATTTAGAGGTCCCGCATCGATAATTTTTATTTTCCATTTATATAACATGGGAAATTTTGTTTTGTTTCTTTATAATTTTCTAGCTTACAAACTAATTAACAGATTTGTATGCGCGATATATATTCTTGTGGAAAATTGAACGCTCTACAAAAAATATCTCATTATTTTTCGATAAACCAACGAGTTCAAAAGTTATTCAGTCGAAGTTAAATTTATGTCATAATTGCATTTTTTACTTCAATTTTAGGCAAATTCATAAGTTAGTTATTATCAAATATAAAAAAAATCATTCAAAAATCAAAATTACGATGTTCAATAAGCCTTTTCCAATTCCACTGAAACACCTACTATTTTTGGAAAGAATTCATTAAAATTCTTTTTGATTGATTAAAATCCTTTTTTATTGATTTAAATCCTTTTTAATGAATTCTTTCCAGTAATAGTAGATACGTGTTTCAGTGGAATTAATTTAAAAGGCTTTTCGAACATAGTAATTGATTTTGATAATAACTTATCTGAATATCTTCTGATTGGTTAGAGTAATCAATAAATTCTAAGAGGCCTTTTTTGTAGAGCGTTCAATTTCCGATAGACATAGTAAAATCTCAATTGTCGATAATTTTTTTTCAGTAAGTTACAAAATTCAGAACAGAAAAGTTATCTTTCTTAAAATTCTTCAATCTTTGACCTTGAATATCTCTTTAATAGTTGGATTGATCAAAAAAGTATAAGAGATCTTTTTTGTAGAACATTTAATTTTCTACAAATAACTCCTTTAGAGTTTTGCTGTATGATTAACTAATGATGAGATATGAATATTTTTGTAGGGGACTAAGAAAAATATGCAAAACTGTAATGAGGCGGATCTTCCCATCAAAGTTAAGAGCTCATTGTTGCTAAGCATGTTTTGCCCAGAAACCGATTTTTCAGTGGCAGAAGTCAAAATAAAAATAGTCGATTTTTTTGACCCACCCTAATATATACCAGAGACTGACTTTAGATGGCAAATTTTCTGGGTTTTATAGCTGAAAATGTCTTTAAAAATGACACTTCTGGCGGTGCATCATATCATCTATGCGGTGCATCATATAGGTTATAAAACTCTGACTTTTGACATTTTGGTATTCTAAGGTCCCAAATCTAGGGACCCTATGGTATCATCCATGTAAACGCCATCTATCGCCCTGAAGTTGCACTACCACTTTCACTTGATACAATGATTTTAGCATCACATTGATGACTTGTACGTCGTTTCCTTTTAAATTTACTATAATCCTCAATCCACACAAGGTTGTGTGGATTGTGGCATAAGTATAAGCAACGCGTAAAATCGTACCAGGTAACTGCAGAGGTCCGATTTGTTTTTCATACATGTCTTTGACTTCCCGATAGACTCTGTTGTAAATTTTCCAGGCTTTTCTCAACGCCCAGCCGCCCTTGAAAACTCCTGAAATGGCGTAAAATGAAAAATTCGGATTTACAAAGTTTTCGATTTTAATTATCTCGGCATTTATAAATTGGAGGATTTTAAAATGTGCTTGTAGTTTTCGAGATACATTTTGGCGCCCACCATTCTAAAAAGTTGAATATCTCAAAAACCACGACAGCTAGATTGTTACAACTTTTGTATGTTTTCAAGCTCAACACGACCAAACTTCCACGCGAATATGAACTTTCAAGGTCAACTAGTTATCGAAATAAAAATGGCGCCCAACTTTCTTGAAACGCTAATATCTCGAAAACCGCTTAGGCTATGACCTTGAAATTCGAACGCGTTCAATTACTTATAAAGGCCATGTTTATGGTTTCAAAATCATCCAAGATAATTATCAGGGTAACCTGAAATATCCGATTGTAGAAACGTCAGTGCCCCCAATAAAACTTGAGAATCGGCCAAAATTATTTGCGTTTCTAATAATTCCTGTAGGGTTGGTTTGGTTTCTTCCTGGCCAAGGCCGAAAATTTTCGACACCCCTCTCATAAAACCGCTTTTTATTGCACAACGTTTTTCCATGTCTTTGAGCGCTTCATTGGCCTTATTGAGCTTTTCTTCTTCAAAACTTAACAGGGCATCCTAAAATACTACTTTAGACTTGTTTTTGTTATACTGACGGTTATTACCATAAAAACTGTAAAACAATATCCAGACCTCATAACTAAACTATCCGGGTACGCTAAAAACAACTTCTCTGCATCTACAGAGTTATTATTTACCACCATTTTAATGCCATCGGCCGCTATTTTCCATTCCGGACGCTCATCCCTGAGCGGTGTCGGCTCATTATTATCACTATCACTATCTTCGTTGTCAACAATATTATTAGAACTAGTAGCCATTTAATTAAAAACTATAATTTACATTTTTATACAATATTTTCGCTGTTATATTGAACATTTTCGAGCACTAATTCAGAATTAATTATTGCTTTTTTATTATTATTTGTGACGGAATTTCTTGACAGAAATAACACCTTTTGCTATTTCCATGTTTTATTATCGATCTTTTACGCTCTCGAGTTATATAACCTTCAAAACCACCCCATCTTACATAACACTCCCCAATTTAACACAAACAACCCATACACAAATACATAAAATACTGTCACATACACAAAACGTAAAAAAACATCAAAAATCAAAGTTTTATTAAAAATAAATTCAAATATAGCGCGTCATTGCAGCCAACTGAATGTCATATGCCAACTCACTCAAGGTTGCCGTACTTGTTGACGTATGTCAGTATAGGTTATGTCTAGCTAAATTTCGCTGAAAATATGGATTAATTCGTAAAAATTAACGTTACAAAACATGTTGTCGACAAAAAACGTAACACATACACATCCGGCAGTTCTTTCGTAGCAAAAAATCCACGAATTAGTTATTTATGGAACCAAAGCACCTACATATGAGCTTACTAAATGAAGATATGGTATCAAATAGAGACTGGAGAAGGGCTTTAAGGTCACAACCAGCCTACAGAATAGTAAATAAAACAATTAGAGGACAGACAACGTTCATAACGATGGTGGGGCTCACTGGTTTATTCATTTTATTTTATTTTTACCACAAAAAAGGTGTAGCCCCTATGAGAAGCAGCAATTATAACTATACATACCCTATAACAAGGCCTATTAAAACCAGCACTTTACACAACTTTAAGATAGGTTAGTATACATTTAAAATATATGAATAGTTTATGCATTTTGGCGCCCGCGTTTTAAAAACGTAAATATCTCAGAAACTAAAAAAGTTGGAGAGTTGAAATTTTAGGAAGTTATCAGGGTCCACCCAACCTAACTTTTACCTAAATTGCAGGTTTCAAGGTCAAGTGGTTTGTGTAGCACCCAATATTTTTTCAAATGCAACTTTTACACAACTTTCAGAATAACCACAATTTTGAACTTATTTATTTATTAAAATCGCTTTTAGGTATAATAGCCGATTTGGACACAAATTCAAAAAGCGATAATGAGAAAAATACGTGGTTTTCCTACTTAAAAACTGGTTATTTAAGTTTCAACCCTTATTCACATAGAGTTGCCATAACATGGGATAAAACTGACCCTGCTCGGCTAACAAACAACTTTGCCTTAAAAGGTAGAGGTATGGAATTGTCAGAGTTAGTAGTTTTTGATGGACGGTTGTTAACTTTTGATGATAGAACTGGTATAATATACGAACTAAGCAATAATAAAGTTATACCGTGGATATTGTTAATGGATGGGGATGGAAAGTAAGATTACAATTTCATTAATTGTGTTGGTTATTTAAAGATTTTTTTTAGGAGTGTTAAGGGTTTTAAGTCGGAGTGGGCAACTGTTAAAGATGAAATTTTATATGTAGGGTCAATGGGTAAGGAATGGACAACCGCTAGCGGCGAATATGTCAATTCTAACCCTCAATATATTAAAACAATTACTACAAAAGGGCAGGTATATAAAAAAATAATCTTTTTCTAGAAATAAATGGTAAAAAGTAATTTTTTGTAATGTAGCTTAACAGAACTTGGGAAAGTTATCCAAAACTGGTAAATAAAAACCGTTTTAAACCCATGAAACTTATTCTGTTCTGGCAACCAAAATTTACCAACTTCTAGTTTAGTATTTTATTAAAATAGAACACATTTTTATTTAGGTAAGCCATATAAGCTGGGAAGATAATTATAAAAGGGTTAGAAGCATATTGGGTATATCATACCCGGGGTATATGATACACGAAAGTGCAGTGTGGTCCAACATACACAGAAGATGGTATTTTTTACCGCGCAGGTGCAGCACAGAAAAATATGATGAAAAAACAGATGAAACCAAAAGCTGTTCTGTATTAATTTCCACAAATGAGGATATGTATGATGTACAAAAAGTAGACGTAAGTATTTTTTATACAAAGTAATAATTACTAGATAAGTTTTTACTGTTTTAAGTTAAAATCATCATCAAATACTCGAGGCTTTTCGAGTTTCAAGTTCATACCCACCTCCAATGATCTTGTGATAGTGGCATTGCGAACTGTAGAGTTTAACGGTACCACGGAAACGTACATAACAGCTTTCACCATCTATGGTCAAATAATAATGGATGACACTTACATTTCCAATCTGAAGTACGAGGGCTTCGAGTTCATTTAACATTCCATCAATATAATTTAGGTAATTTGTAACATAATTGTATATTTATCAAAGTATTTATTATATGTGAACCATGTGCGTGTGAATTGATGCATTGTAAATAAATATCTTCATGTATAAACATTTATTTCTTTGAAAAAGGCGGGAATATCAAAAACACCGAACCCAACCTCACTTTATGATAAGTAGTCCAAACGCACCGAAATCAGTTTAGCCAACTTGCATTTGGTAGACCGAATGTAGCTTTTTGCGGTGCTGCCAACGTTACAGTCTGTTGACGTTTTTGTTGCTTTTGTGACAAGGCTCGTCGAAAATGGCTGTTTTAGCGGCCGCTCAGCTTCTGGACGAGCTTATGGGGCGCAACAGGAACGTGGCCCCCAACGAGAAAGTGCGCGACTTGAACTGGGAGGACCCAGAAGTATAATCTACAAAATTTGTGGTTAAGTTATTTTTTTCACTGTGTTTTTTTTTACTTCTAGTACTGTAAATATTTCATGGTGAAGTTCTGTCCGCACGATTTGTTCGTGAATACGAGGGCTGATTTGGGGGCTTGCCCCAAGGTGCATGATGAAGAGGTTAGAAAGTTGTTTCAGGATGCCTCAAGCAGGAACCATCGTAAAGTTCAGTACCAAGAGGACTTTTTGCGGTTTTGTACGTCGATGATGAACGAGGTGGAAAGAAAAATCGTTAAAGGTTCGTTTTATCCATATTTATTAATAATTGATTTAATATTAATGTTTGATCAATACTATAGGTAAAGCAAGACTTGCTCTAAGTGGTAAAAACGAGTTACCTGCCATATCTCCGGCACAGAGCCAAAAAAATGAAGAGCAAATAAAATTACTAAACGAGAGGATAAATGGCTTGGAACTGGAAGCAGAACAAGCCGGTACGGATGGTAACGTAGAACAAGCTCAAGGATTGATGAGGTTATGTGATCAGTTGAAAGATGAAAGAGACAACCTAAAAAGACAAATAGAGAATGGGTATGACCAATCACACCCCTAAAACCCACTCGTAATTAATTTTTTTCACTTTTAGGCAGTGGAATGCAACAGCCGAACTGGCGGCGGCCCAAGAAAAACAGATGGAAGTTTGTGAGGTGTGCGGCGCCTTTTTGATTGTGGGAGATGCCCAGCAAAGAATCGACGACCACTTGATGGGCAAACAGCACATGGGTTTTGCGCGTTTAAAAAATGCCGTTGATGAAATAGGCGATATTGTCAAAACCGCCAAGGACGAGAGGTTGGGGCGTAGTGGGGGCGGTTTGGGGTCCGACGAGGCCAGATTGAAGGAGAGGGAGCGCGAGAGGGAAAGGGACAGAGACAGAGAAAAGAGGCGCGAAAGAGAAAGAGAAAGAATGGAGCAAAAGTAAGTTTTTGAGGTTAAATTTATGTTGAATATGAAAGAAAATTGTTGCTTTTTAAAGCGCACATTTTCTTTACTATACTCATAAATTTTTATTAAAATCGCGTTAAAAATGCGGAAGTTATAGCGAAAATACATACGGTGGGCGCCAATTTGTAAAATTCGTGTTTTTAGAACAAAGGAGAAGGAAAGGGATAGAGAAATGCGTGAGAGAGACAAGGATAGAAGACATAGTGACAAAGGCAACGATAGGAGGGAGAGGGAGAAAGGGAGGGACCACAGGGAGCCCCACCACCCCCATAGAGATAGGAGACATCGTTCTGATAGAGAATCGGGTAAAATATTCGTAAAAATATTATTTATAACGATTTTTTTTATTTTTTCTGTTTTTAGGGAGAAGACACCACCACCACTCGTACCACCGTTAGAAACCTAAAATTCGGCCACGCCCCCTCATTTTATGACCAGTAAGATCACAGCAAAGCAGGTAGGTGTTTTTTTGATTTTGTAATTTCCCCCCGTTTTTTTTTTTCATCTCTTTCAGGTTCACAGCAGGTTAGTGGTTAATTTAAAGTTGTGTAATTTTGCACTGAAATAATTCGTGTCGACTTTTGGGGCAAGGTATACCAAAAAAAACGCGAATTATTTTCAAGTTTTGAAAAATCGATATTTATTTATCGATTGGGTGTTGGGTTGCTTTGACATAACCTCAATTAAAATGACGTTTGCAAGATTTATATTATAACTCGATTAAAGTAAGAAAAATTAAAGTCGCTTTGGTGTTTATGACTTTTCAGCTGTCAAAAAACGATCGGCAGGTGTTCGACGTATGCGCGCGCACTGTTTAAACACAAAATAAGGTTCCGATAACCTTAAAAGAGGTATTTATATAAATATAAAACACTTATCCCTCTACTCCTGTGATAAGAGATATGTTGTAAAATGGGGCTCAAAACGAGTTTTTCGTTTTGTGAGGTTAAGTGTCAAGGTCGAGGATGTCATTATTTGACGTTTGTGACCTTGATGCTTTTGAGCTCTCGTCATGGGAATGTTTTTAAACCAAGAAAAACTCGTTTTAGCGTTTTTTTTTAATACTACAGCTTTTAAAAGTTAAAAATAAGATTAACCTTAAGTAATAAGCATTGAAGTAATAGAGAATAGGTTCAACTAGCTGAAACATGGCGTTACACTTTGTAAGGGTGTTTTTCTGCGTATTTTTGAGGTATTTATCATTGTATCTTATGAAATTAAAAAATATATATACAGGGTGTCCCAAAATTGGCGGCCCAAAGGTTCATTCCTCTTAAAATTCCAATAAGAATTTTCCTTTTGTACTCGCAAAATTATAGGACCGCCAATTGTCCTTTACCATGTGTTTGTTTTAATGTAGGTAAATACGTTTTATTTTTTACTACATTGGCACCACTGAATGTGTTGTCATGGCCTACTGTTATTTATGAAACTCTTCAAATAAAGATACTAAAGTTATTTCTTCAACTTTGAATTTGAAAAGATAGAGAAGCAGAATATGGTAGCATAAAAAACATAAAACAAAGAAAAAATTACAGTTATCTTTTTTTTGTTGCGGTTTTATTATTTGTTTTTATTAGTTATTTAACACTTTGACAGGTGACATAATGTTTTGACATTTTGGTACTCAAAATCACTTTTCAAAAAATCATGTAGGAGCATTTTTGGGACACCTTCTATATGAAAATTGTTTTTTGTTTCGAAAAAACAAAGCAAAATATTGTTTTGGGTCATTTATTCACAACTGCGTCTGGATCTTTACAGCTTCAACTAACAGGTGAGAAAGTATTACCCCAACTCTACACCAAACAAATTAAAATGATGGACTGGCAACAATCTGCACTTCAATATCTTAAGGTGACTTGTCAAGTTTCTGTTTTCTGAGCCTTTTACACTATTAGCACGTAGTAAATTATTAATGTAGAACATTTATCACTATAATGTTGTCTTTTTTTAACAGTCAACAGGAATTTGACAATTTTTTTTATTACTTGATAATGTTAGATTAATATTTAGTTTTATTGGGCAATATTTGTAGTAATTAATAAATATATTAATAAGTAAATGTTTTTTATTACCATACTAAAATAAATATTCTATTTACATATATACAAAACAGGCTAAAATTTCTATGATTTACCCCTCATTCTTAATTCAAGTAGGATAAAAGCCCTAATATTATCGTCAGTAACTTTCTCATGTATGTCTCTTATAGCCTTCTCCCCTCCATCCCTGTAATAATTACTTAATTTTTCGGCATAATCCAACCATACACAGTTGGCACAACCTGACATACAACATGTCGTAGGTTCTTCAGGTAACTCATCAATATCTACTTTATTACTTGTTTCTATCTCTTCCACCGTCACCATGTGCCTTACTTTTGCTTCATTATTGTTAGTTTCTGTGGAAACAAGCTTTATTTTGTCTGTATTTACATTTCTTGACGTTATCAAGAAAGTGAGGTTATATTTGCCTAACAAAGCTAAAACAGTGAAAATTTAAACGTTTTAAGGGCGAATATATTGTTATTTTACCTCTATAAAGTTTTATTAACGCGTACATTTAAAATAAACGAAGTATTTTGCATAATAAACAGTGTAAAGTCCACTGTTTATTTGGATTACAACCAAACTGTCAAAAACCAAGTAACCAACTTAGAAAACAAAAGTCACCAGATGCGTATACTTATTTTTAAATACAAAACATCAGCCAAGCAGGACTTTAACTTAATAAATCGGCCAGCAATTTTTCATCGCTAGAGACAGAAAGCGCTCAGGACTTTGTCTCTTTTTAACAAGCGGTGCACTTAAATAAATGCACTTGAGTCGAGAAGGAGAAGTGCCCGGTTTATTTAACGCATCTGCTTGAGTTTCCGTAAATAAATTTGGCCCAAATAAACGCTAGACGTTGAAACGGAAGTGTAAAGACCGATTTGAATTTATTTATTGTTATTTTTTTCGCGGTTGGCAGCGTGGTTATTTGACAATGTTTAAATCATTGTTGCCTTGGAAACATAAGCACAACAAGATAAAGGTTATGGCTGCTGTATCTGGTATGGAAAACGGTATGTTATTTTTTATTATTTCAAGCTTATTATTGACTTTTTTATTGTGGTTTTTGTAAATTATCTATTTTGAATGTTTGCCTTATAAATTGTTTAAGTAGTTTTTGGTTGTATTGCTTTTATATTATTTTTATAAGCTATTTAATTTCATATGGTGTACACCTACATTTGTTTATGCTTTTTAAGCAATATTTTTTACAATTTAGACATTAAATAGTAAAAATAGAACCCATCTATAAATAATACATTTAACCAGGAAGCTGTCTATCACAAATTAAAGCCGTAAATCAAAGAATTACCACACTTACTTTGACAGTTGTCATAATTTTAGTTTATTTGTTCAATAAGGCCTAATTGCTTTGATAAATCGATATTTTTAAATTGAGTTTATGAAATAATTGCATTAAACTTAATTTTGTGGCTCGGAAAAATGTATTTGCTAAGCCGATTATACCGCAAAGAAACCTGTTTAGCTTTATAAGGAGCTAAGTGGGTTTTATTAATCATGAGACTTTTTTTCAAAGAAACAATAAACAATGCGACGTTATTTAAGACAAATAAGGACTTTGTTTAGCTCTTTAAACAATGAATTAAGTCGTTAAAATATTTGTTAAAATGTACGAATGTTATTTTACTGTTTAAACATTTGTTTTCTTATATAATTATTTATGCATACCTGTACCTTAACCTTGAGAGATGCTGAGCCATTCCGAATACCAATTACCTAATCTTAATATTTTATTTTACCTGGTATAGGTAACATGAGACGTTTTAAGTACTAGTTGAAAACATTAGCATTTTTTTTATCTTTGATGATAAAGTTAATCAGTGATGTTGCTACTCTCTTTTATTATTTACATGGCGAAATTGGTATGTAAATTTTGTATATGAAAAATCACTAATTTTAAGACAGTTCTAGTTTAAAAAAAATCAATATAAGTCGATAATTTACTACCCTTAAAATTATCTATCGGCCCACAAATGAAAAATATATTGCAAAAAAACAGACTTTGATTGCCAAAAAGAAATCGTAACTATTTTGTTTCTGGTCGAGTTGTTTTTGTGGTAGCTGATAAAAATATATTAAATCTAAGGGTGCTATAAGGGTGATATATCCATTTTTCAACAATTGACTTACTAGATATTGATGCTATTATTTTTATTTTTTTTTCAATGTTATTGTGATCATTGGTTTAGGTGTGATATCATCATTTATTTATAAAATTCATTATGTAGGTTCACATAATTAACCAATATTTACTTGCAATTGTTTATTATACAGGGTCTCCAGAAAATAAGGCACTAACGCCAGCTTTTGAGTTATTAAGCATAGAAGTGCAGGTGCACCCTGTATAATATATGAATCGTATAATTCAATAATATTAATTATTGTTTAATGTACTATGCTCCACACTTCAAAGTCCCACCACGTGACCAGGTACGGAACGCAGTCTTTTGAAAACTTGTCATTTAAGGCTTTTCAGGTTATGTATCTGTCAAAGTATAGTCAATGAAAGAAATAATATTTATGTTTATGTTTAAGCGTTAAAAGTTTATAAATCTTTATAGTATCACAGTAACAATGGTTGGTTTAAGAGTTAGTATAAATACTGCATTTAATGAAATTCTAAACTGTATAGTGCCAAATAAGTAAAATTTATGTGCATTTGGTCTACATAATATGTTAATACCTATATTATATCTGGTTTTATCCATAAAATAGTTTTAACTAAACGGCATTTATTAAAAAAATCTAGCTTCTCTATTATGGAATAAGAATAGAATATCAAAGGTAGGTTAATACATTATAACAAAAAAAATCATCTACTTTTAAAATTTTAAGGTTAGAAAAATCTTTTTTGATCAAAATAAATAAATATTTTGGATTATTTGGAAGAGTGTGTTAATATGGTCATATAAATATAGATATACTAAATAATTAATTATTATTATAACAATTTTTGAATATGGTTCAAATTAAATTAAAGCTTTTATACTCCTAACAACAAAACTTGTGCATACCTTTTCGGGATCCCTACTTTAAGTTAGATTATAAGGAAACAAACAATATATAGATACATGCAATGTAAAAATATTTAATACTCCCATAACATGTGATTTTTGAAATTTTAAAAATTTTAATGATTTTTCGATGAAGATAAAATTCAGTTGAAGCTTTATACGTAATTGTATTGACAAAACAATATGTAGGTATACTTTAAGCTGGATAAGAAAGACTACTACAAGTAAAAATATTAGATAGAGTATACTGTGGTTTTATTTAAATTTTAAAATTTATAAGGTTATTTATACCTAACGATGTAGATAAAAATTTTTTGAAGCTTTTATATATACCTATAGGTACTTGTAATGACACTATGGGTATATTAGCTGACAGTGTAAGGAACTTTAAGAAGGTTAGCTATTGAATTTTTAAAAAGAATTTACAGTTTTTTTAAAATTAAGTATCTAATGGTTTTATATTTGAAATGTTTAATATTGCTTATTTCCAAGAGCCAGTTGTTCAATTATGATGTCTATTTTGTTTTACTCCGGCATAAATATTTTCAACTGTAAAACTTAACTATTTTAAGATTTTTAAAATTAATTAAATATTAAAAGGGGTTAATTTTTAAAGAAGGAATCTAAAAACAACACCTTAAAATTATTAAAATTTGCAAATTATTAAATAATTTTAAATAATGTTTTTTATTATTTTACAAATTTCCAAACTTATTTTTTTTTCTATATGTGAGTTTTTGATTTTAGATTTTTATTTAAAATATATTATTTTTTGTTTATTTAATTAATCAAAGATGTTTATATGTAGGTACTTTAAATAAATAAATATTTATGCCCAAGTTAAACAAATTAGTCATCCACTACCTAAATGTAAGCTGTAATTAAATAACTTGCTCTTGGAAATAAGCACCATGAGAGATCTCAAATATAAAACCATTAGGTAGGTACTGTAACTGTAAATTGTTTTTACAAGTGTTTTTGGAAATTCAATAGCTAACCTTCTTAAAGTTCCTTACACTGTCAGCTAATATACCCATAGTACAAGTACAAGTACCTATAAAAGCTTCGACAAAATTTTATCTACATCGAACAATCATTAGGTATATAAATAACCTTATAAATTCTAAAATTTAAATAAAACCACAGTATACTCTATCTAATATTTTTACTTGTAGTAGTCTTTCTTATCCAGCTTAAAGTATACCTACATAAAGTTTTGTCAATAAAATTACATATAAAACTTCAACTGAATTTTATCTTCATCGAAAAATCATTATAACTTTTAAACTTCAAAACTTCAAAAATCACATGTTATGGGAGTATTAAATATTTTTACATTGCATGTATCTCTAAAAATTGTTTGTTTCCTTATAATCTAACTACACTGAGAAAAATGTATGTAATTTTACACAACTTTCACACTAACTTAAGTTGTAAAAAATTACAAATTTTTGGTAAAAGTACATATTTTTGTGTTTTAAAGAAGATATATGTGTGAAATTAGATAAAAAATGTAAATTTACATATTCTTATAAAAGTACATAACATATAATGTGAATTTTATAAAATTTTAAAAGTACTATGTAAAATTTACATTAAAAAGTAAATTCTACATAAAAATATTAAATATTACATTATTATAGGTAACCTTTACACATTTCATGTAAATATCAACCAATAGGATTTGAGCATTAAGTCACGCGATGCGGCACACACGTATGTAAACGAAACGAACATTTTGTTGGCCGAGTTAGGACGCGTCGTGTAGTGTTTATAGTGGTTTTTTCGTATTATTTGGTAAGTATATTAATTATAAATAAGGAGCATAAAACAAGAAACTAGGATGCCATCAATAAAATGAGATTTTCCCATTATTAATTGATATATTTTACTTATATATTATATATATTATATATTATATTTTATTTAAAGAATTGCCTATTCATAAGTTATACTATTTTATTTAAATAAGTTTAATTCCAATACTAGTATATTAAACATCTATCCAGTAAAAACAAAATATTTGGTGCTTTGATGTCAAGTGGTAAAAATGCACCTGTTTACAAATTAATATCTAGTTTAAGCAATAATTTTAGTTTAAATAAATATTTTATTATAGGCTAATTTTACTTTTTTTTCAGATCCAAATATTTTTTATTGAATAAATATTAGTAATTAGAACAAATAATAATAGGTTAGATTTTAGGTTAAATAGGTATGTAATATTATTAAAATAAATCCTAATTTTTATTAATTTTTATATATATTTATATGTATTTGTATTTAAAAAATGTTTATTTATTATTGTTTTAAATATACAATTATTGTTAACTTACAATTTTATTTTATTTGGAAATAGATGTCCCTAAAAATTCTACCAATTTAAAAGTTATCTTTTAAAGTGTAGTATTTAAACTTAAAAAATTGCCTAAACCGTATAATAATCTTACTATTTTTAACTTATTTATATTATTTAAAAATTAACAAAAAAACTTAAAATGCGTAATTCTCAAATAAAAAAAATAAAAATGTACTACACTTAAAAAGTTTGCTTCTAAATTAAAATTGTCTATTTTTTGTGTAGATATATATACAGTTTTATTTTTTTAAATACCTGTATAAAGGTATTTTGTAAAAATTAAAACTGCAATATTACAAAATTTTGGGTTTATTTAAATTTATTTAATTGCAAAAGTTAAATAAACCCAATATTTTGTAGTATGATTCTATAGAATACAATTACATAATTTTGAAAAAATTACATATTACATGCATGTAAGTAAAATACATTATATATGTATAAAATTTACACAAACGTGTAAATATAAATTACATCTGTCATGTACATTTTAAACAATTATGAATTATTTACAAATTTTGTGTAAACATAAATCACATATTTTATGTAAAAACACATAGATATGTTTAAGTTACACAATCTATGTAATTTCACATCAGTTTACGAAGCTAACAAATAACCAACGACCAGTTATGTGAAAATTTTTCTCTGTGTAGGGATCCCGAGAGGTATGCTCAAGTTTTGTTGTTAAGAGTATAAAAGCTTTAATTTAATTTGAACCATATTCAACAATTATTTAGTATATCTATATTTATATGACCATATTAACACATTCTTCCAAATAATCCAAAATACTTAGGTATTTATTTTGATGAAAATAGATTTTTCTAACCTTAAAGTTTCAAAATTAGATGATATTTTTTGTTATAATATATTAACCTACATTTGATACAGATATTCTTATTCCATAATAGACAAGCTAGATTTTTTTAATAAATGCCGTTTAGTTAAAACTATTTTATTGATAAAACCAGATATATGTAGACCAAATGCACACAAATTTTACTTATTTGGCACTATACACTTTGGAATTTCATTAAATGCAGTATTTATACTCCTAAACTCTTAAACCAACCATTGTTACTGTGATACTATACAGATTTATAAACTTTTAACGCTTAAACATAAATGGTAACAGTATAAATATTAGTTCTTGCATTGACTATACTTTGACAGATACATAACCTGAAAAGCCTTAAATGACAAATTATCAAAAGACTGCGTTCCGTACGTGGTCACGTGGTGGTACTTTGAAGTGTGGAGCATAGTACATATAATATATAATTTTAATACACTCACAGGCAAAATAATCGATCCAGCGATGAATTTCAGTTGCAAATAATTTTTTATTTAATTTCGGATTTAAACAAGTACCTAGAGGTATTAAATAAAATTGTAGATAAATTAATGGAGAATCCCTCACAATTTAAAAATTTACTAAAAAATAGACGTACGTTTATAATATACAGGTTTAAACAAAAATATGTTTTTTACCATAAGTTTAAGACACTCTGTAGAGTGGCAAAACCGTATATTGCTCTAAATTAAGTTTTAATTATCAAGCCACATCTATTTTTAACAGTTCTGTTTTTGGTTCACTTTAATATATTTATTTTTGTGGAAAATATGGATTTAAAAAAAAAACATTGGAATTTTCAATATTTTACATCCATAGCCTATGGAGGATGACAGTGACAGTTTTGTTGAATCATCCCATAAAGTTATTTGAGATTAAAATTTATCGAAAATTTGTGTGGATCGATTATTTTGCCTGTGAGTGTATATAATTTTTTTTTTCAAAAAGTTTGATTTATTCTGCGTGGGTCTGCTTTTCTTTTTATTAATTTATTTATATAATTTTGATTTTTTTTAACTGAAAAACTTCATAGAATATAACTTGAAATGCCTATTTCAATTTCTTTTTTTTCAAGCAAGTCTAAAAACAAAACAAATAAAAAAAGAAACCCTCTTGATTTGTCAGGTTTTGAAAAACACCATTTATTAAATTTTTCGGTTCGATAAAAATTGGATAAATTCACAGAAACGTTTTTAGTAGAGATAACCTTATAAGTCAAAAAGTCTGATATTTTCTATGAAAAAAAATTTCATTGTGAAAAAACTTTTTTTCAGAAGTAACCACCCAAAGTCAACACCTAGCGCCATGCCAGACCTGCGGCCGCACCTTCCTTCCATCCCCCCTAAGAAAGCACGAAAAAATCTGTCAAAAAAACGCCGCGAAAAAACGGCGGGTGTTTAACTCCCTGAAGCAGAGGGTCGAAGGTACGGACCTCGCGGCCTTCCACATGAATCAGGTGCTAAAACCGGTCCTGTGCCAGCCGCCGCCGCAGGAAACGCACAAACCGAAACCGAGCAAGTGGAAGGAGAAGCACTTGGAGCTGGTGACGGCGATAAGGGCGGCCAGGGGGGCGGCGGACGACTCGCCCGGGTCGACGGCGAAAAGGGCGACCGGCATCGGGGCGGGGAACGAACGGTGCCCCAGCTGCGACAGGCAGTTCGGGCCCAAGGCCTTCGACAGACACGTCGAGTGGTGCAAGGAGCACAAGGCCAGGATTCAAAAATCTCCGGCCAGCAACTTGGCCGCCAAAGAGCGCCTGGAAGCCAGAACGAAGTACAGAGTACCGCCTCTAAACAAATCCAAAAGATCCTTGACCAGAGAGAAGTACAAAGAAAGCCCCACGTCGATAAACAGCCCCGAAGTCAAAAGTTACTCGACCACGACCCTCTCGAGAACGCCGAGCATTAGAAAACCCAACTCGGTAGCGAACGTTAGGAAAAAACCCGAGGAAAAGATGCCTGCGCTCGAAAAACATCAACTTCAACCTGCGAAAGTTGAAGGCACCAAGAGGTAAGCCGTTTTACTACCCCCGCGAAAAAATTGTAGGGAGAAGGTATGGGGGGAGAGGTAACTTCTCCCTACAGTTTTTTCCCTCCCAACATCCCCAACTAACTCCCCTCTCCTTCTCCCTGACAGAACCCCACGAAAAATAAACATATTCACGCCCAAAATAAACTCGGAAGACGTTAACAACCACTTGCTAGACATAACGGTTTCGTCGCTGTGCCTAAACAACGAAACTAAAAAGTTGGTGACCTGGAAAGACGCCTTTCCCAACGCCAGCAAACCTGGCAAAGTGAGGTTTATACCGAAAAAACCTCTGAGCCCTTTGGTCGACAAGCCCAAGGTTGTAAGCAAAAAGAAAGACGTCCACAATTTGAATGTGGAGCTGGCCAACAGGCCAGTTCTCAACAAAAAGAACATGAAGCTTATAGATCGGTACAAAAAGACCAAATTCAAGGAAACCCTGTTGGACGTGAGCGACTTAATAAGCGACCTACCCAACTTCGATACCAAAAGTAACGAGCTCCAAACCAAATTCGAAGCGCGGGAGAAAAAATCCGCCGACGAGGAAGCCCAGGAGACGGCCAAAACTAAACCGATATCACTCTTCGATAAGAAGCCCAGTTTGACCAAATTTAGAAGCATCAAAAACGTTAAACCTCCAGCAAAAACCGTAAACGTTAAACCTGAAGATACGGTTGAAATTAAACCCCAAAAAGGCAGCTTCAACGATAGATTAGATAGTAGCGCTTCATCGTTTGATTTGCTCAGCTGCGCTACGAATCCCACAACAAAAATATGCGAAGATACAGACGATTCATCAATTAAATCGTTTAATCCGAGAACGATGGTCGAAAACAGCAAAAATGAGGATAAAGGTGTGCAATCGAAAAACAACATTATTTTCGTGGAACCCTGCACCAAAACCGACGAGAAGATATACTCCAATCTCATCAACATATGCGAAGAAAAATCTTTGGAAGGCGTCGAAGAATCGCCCGTCCTAACGGAAAATTCGTGCGAATCGCTTTTGAGTCACTTCGAAAAGATCAGAGTTTACCACGAGTCCAAAATGGATAGCATCGACGAAACGGAGATTTTAGACGATGACATAGAAGACATAGAGTTGGTGGAGTCGAAAACGATGTCCAAAGACTCTCTGGAAAAGGATAGCGAATCAAATTACGAAATTGGAGATAGAGAGAGGACTAAATACGACTCCATGTGCAACTGGTTTAGCTCCTTATCGAGCAAGGACCAGGATTACGAGGATATAGACGAGATCAACCTCGTTACGGATTTCATAGAGGTCGTGGACGATTTTACGGAATCGTCCACGACTTTGAAGGCGGAAAGAAGCGTGTTGATGCTTTACAGGCCGAAAAGTTTCCAGACGGATCTCGTCGTGGATCCGAGCAGCTCCAGTTTGATACGCTGGAACTCGGAGTCCAGGCTGGATCTGGTCAGGAAGTCGTCCACGCTGGACAGCCTCGAGGTGGAGAGGTGCAACCTGATGAAGAAGTACTTTTTAATGGACTCGATGCCGACGACTTGCCCGCTTTTTGCTACCCAGAGCGACATCACGCTGTACCAGCACAAATCCTCGGTGAAGTTGAAATGCAACTGCAGCAGGAGCATGGTGTCGATATTCCACAACGCGGAAAACTTCGACAACGATAGCAACGTGTCGTGCGATAAAGTTGCGCGATGCCACAGCGAGATGGCGCTCAAACACTCCAAATCGTTGCCGAATTATCTCAAGGAGAACTCGAGCCATTACACCTTGTCGACCGAGGAAAATTTCGAGGTTTTCGACAACATAGATTACAGCGTGCCGAAAAAGCGCAGAAAATTGAATTCCGACGATGAAAACGAGTTAATACTGGCCAAAAAGGCCGACGGTCGTAACTCCAGGTTTAAACCTAAAAAATCCAGCGAAATAAGCAAGAAAAAGCGTCTAAAATCACCCAGAGAGCTGATCGACATGTAAGCACTTTAAAATGTCAAGTGTCACTTGTACAGGATATCAAAGAGTAGTTTTTTGCCCTAAATATAGGACAAAAAGTTATAACCATAATACAAATACGATTTGTATCACGGTTATGGCTGGATTTTAGCTTAAATTGACTTCTTAACCCTATTGGTTGCATTTCGGTCTTTTAGACCAAGAGCCTCTGGAGTCGTTCCACCTCTCCCATACGCGAAAGCCGTTATAAATCTATAATTTTACGTAACAATACCACAAAAGATAGGTAAAACGTTCGCTAACTCATTTAAAAATGACATACCAGAACTAAATAATCGTCGGTCTAAGAGACCGGCGCGCGTCCATTTTCGGGTTAAAACAGTTGGGGGTTTGAACGTTTTTTGAATATGGTCTTAAAAAAATTTGGCCATTATTTTTATTGAGCTGTAATTTTTGTAGACCCAGGGAATTAGTTATTTGTGACATAAGTTCTTTAATACACCATTTTCTACTTCCGTTTCATGATTTGAGAAGGCGGTAATTGCAACACCGCAGTCCATTTTTGCCACATTCTCAATTCAATGTTTACCTAAGAAAAACAAAATATATCGTGTGAAAGTAATGAAATGTGTATTTATTTATAATAGAACATCTGTTCCACATTGTAACAGCAGTTTTTGCGGAGATAAACCTTAACCAGTTCGCTCATTCTAGATATTGCAATAGTGCCACATTGAAAAGGGTTCTATTATAAATAGATACAAATTTCAATATTTCCACTCAATCACAATCCACACAACAAGGTCTGTTCTATCTCGTACTAACAATACTAAAAATCACTGCAACACTGCACATCATTTAATGGCGGCCATTTTTGTTTACAATTCTTGTGCTTTGGGTTTGTACAGATTAATAATCGTTTTAGAATAGAATAAGGTTTATTTTTTACAAAAGAGGAGTAAAATTATTGTTTTTACCACTTTAAGGCCTCATTTGAGGCTTACAAGTGCCTCTATTAGAAACACAACCTTTAAATGGATTATTAATCTGTACAAACCCAAAGCACAAGAATTGTAAACAACAAAAATGGAAGCCATTAAATGATGTGCAGTGTTGCAGTGATTTTTAGTATTTTTAGTACGAGATAGAACAGACCTTCTTGTGTGGATTTTAGGCACTACCATCATAGATAAAAGACTACCATAGAGAAATGGGTACTTCCAACATAATAATAATAATTCCACAAATAAATTAAAATTCGACATAATTCTCAAAATTTTGGCAAATAGTATAAAGAACTCATCTCATAAGACGCACTCGTCCAATACAAAGTATTGTATTTATGTTTTAATTGTTTATACTTTTAAATAAAAAAAAAAGTGTAAATGCAAACTCACAGTTTTACATATAACGTTCTTAAGACAGTTATATCCAGCTTCTCTATAAGTACTTATAAGAAGCTTCAAGGTTTTTTGGACACCCTGTATGTGGCATTTGACATTCTGCATTGTAACAGAACAAACTAATTAAGTAATGGAATAGACTTTTTTAGAAGAATTGGGCAATCCACAGGTGATTATAAATCCGAAGATTCGTTGTATTTGACGCCAAGATTCGTCGAAATTGTCGGTGATATTTTGAACGTTAAGGAAGAGAAAAACAGGGATTTGATCACCATAACTGTGGGACAATGCAGAAAATTACTGGAGTTGGATAAGCGTAAAATAGAGAAGGCATTCGATAAAATGGATTTGAACACGCGCAGCAGTAAATTGTTGAGTAACAGATCTTCAAAAGAGTTTATTGAGAACGACGTGGTTAGAAATGATTTAAGTGGTAGCTACAAGAAATACAAAGAAAGGTAATACATAGCGAGGTAAACTAATCAGGAAGTAAACTTAAAAACCGTTTTTTTAATTATGGCAATTGTATTTAAAGTAGTAGGTATCCTTATAAAGCTTCTTGATTGCGCGTGGGCATAACTAGTATTCAATCGCCAAATATCAGTTGACATTGATTGTTGTTTATGTGAAGCGGTGCTAAAATGGCGGAAATAAACCCCGAGTAAGTCCTATAATAACCCCATCAACCCTCACTCCCAAACTTTGATGTAACATACAAGATTTGCATTATTCCAGTACATACGACCCGTTTGAGTCGGCTCAGCGTCAGTTCATGGAGTTGTTGGAGGACGACTTGGTGGTAAAACCGTTCAAGTCCACGCTGAGCACCCCGCGGCACGACCTAACCAAAACTAACACCCCTCTGCCGGCGCGTAAAGATCGCGCTTCCGTCATAGAACCACCGAGAGTTTTCCAGGATTCCTTGGAATCCGTTAACGACGACTTCGAGTTGTTGGAGAGTTTGATCAAGGAGGAAGCTAGTTTTTTCTCGAGCAATAACAACGCGGCAAGGAAATACAGCGACGATATGTCCGTAATAGATCCTAGTTTGATCAACGAGAACGACAACCTCTCCATACCCGATCACTTGAAGTTGGACGACTTGTCGCCAACCAGCACCAACGGTACGGACACCACACTGCGTAACGAAGACATTACGAACGGTAACACGCCCGAAGTAAAGCAACCCGCAGCCAAACCGGTCATAAAACGATCGGTATCGTTAATAAATCGCTCGGATTCTATCAAACTAAAGGAAAAAACTAACAGTGCCACCGTAAAACAAGGCCGTTACATGACGACGAAAAACAAGGTTCTAAATCGGTCTGTTTCCAGTGTGAAAGATAAGAAAGGGTTGCCGATATTGAAGAAGCAAATGTCATTCGAACCCACTCCCAAACCGGTGTTGAAGAGCAAGGAGGACGTCAACAACTACTTCAACAACACCAGGGGTACCCCCGACAAAGAGGTTTGTTGTTAACGGCGATTTTAGGGTTTTAACATTGTCAGGTTGGTATTTTTCAAGGTCATTCGTTCGGAGGAGTCCCTGAAGCCGGAGGATCTCTTCGCAGTCGATGACGAGATGTTCGAGGAGTACAAAAAGTACGAAGAGATGTACTTGAAGGAGAAGGAGAAGGGGAGCGTAAGCAACAAAAAGTGCAAACCCAAATTGGAGAATTTTGGCATTTTGACAGCCAGCGAGGACGAGCATTCGCCGCAAATTACGAACTTGGCCAACGATTCAGCCTACGGAAGGTACTTGTGTGTTAAATTGTGTTTAATTCGTAATACCAACTTGATTTTAGTTTGCAACGAAAGACGCCGAAGCACCGCAGCAGGGCGGCCAAGTTGGCACCCCTGGAGCCCCCCAAACGGCCGGATTCGACCAGTTCCAGCGGTTCGGAGCAAATAGCGCCCAAAGAGTGCAATCAAAAATTATCGAAATTTTGCCACGAGTGTGGTAATAAGTATCCGGTAACATCGGCAAAATTTTGCGTGGAGTGTGGCGTTAAACGATTGATTTTGTGATTTTTTTCAGCTTATTTTATTTATACTACATTGTTTTTAAGTTTTTAATCTCTAGTCCAACTTAAAAAATATTTACACGTTTTTATAAATTTTTTTAATGTAGGATATTAATGAATAAGATTTTTAGAAATTTTAGTGCAATTTTTTGTATATTTATTGGTATTTATAGCCAATACCAAAGCGTTATTTATATGAAGTGAAATTAAAAATGGGGATTTCTCACCAAAATGCTTTGTACTTAATTATTTGCATTTACTTAACAGTTTTTACACCATTCCAGGTTTTATTCATAAAAAAGCTATAATTAACAAGACTGAACCATTTCTATTAGTTTGTTATTAATATGTTTTTAATAAAATTATTATTTAATTTTTTTTGTTTCATTACAAACATCCTACACTGCACTATAAGTGCGTTACCCAAGTTCTAAACCGCACGTTGACCCCGCCTGACCTTTAAAATAGTTAAAATCGGCCTTGATACACATTTATTACTAGAGACTGGATTTTATGCAACATAAAAAGGCTGAAATATTCATGAACAATGCTTAAGCATAATTATAATTATAAGGTAAGCATGAAATTGTCACCCTTTTTTATATATAGCAGTTCATGGGGTTGTTAGAGGACGATAACCATAACTAAAACCCCTTTGCTGGTTCGTAAAGATGGTGGTTCCGTCATATAACCACCAAAAGTTTTCCAGGATTCTTTGGAATCGGTTAACAACGACTTCGAGTTGTTGGAGAGTTTGATCAAGGAGGAAGCTAGTTTTTTCTCGAGCAATAACAACGCGGCAAGGAAATACAGCGACGATATGTCCGCAATAGATCCTAGTTTGATCAACGAGAACGACAATCTCTCCATACCCGATCACTTGAAGTTGGACGACTTGTCGCCAACCAGCACCAACGGTACGGACACCACACTGCGTAACGAAGACATTACGAACGGTAACACGCCCGAAGTAAAGCAACCCGCAGCCAAACCGGTCATAAAACGATCGGTATCGTTAATAAATCGCTCGGATTCCATAAAACTAAAGGAAAAAACTAACAGTGCCACCGTAAAGCAAGGCCGTTACATGACGACGAAAAACAAGGTTCTAAATCGGTCTGTTTCCAGTGTGAAAGATAAGAAAGGGTTGCCGATATTGAAGAAGCAAATGTCATTCGAACCCACTCCCAAACCGGTGTTGAAGAGCAAGGAGGACGTCAACAACTACTTCAACAACACCAGGGGTACCCCCGACAAAGAGGTTCGTTGTTTAACGGCGATTTTAGGGTTTTAACATTGTTAGGTTGGTATTTTTCAAGGTCGTTCGTTCGGAGGAGTCCCTGAAGCCGGAGGATCTCTTCGCAGTCGATGACGAGATGTTCGAAGAGTACAAAAAGTACGAAGAGATGTACTTGAAGGAGAAGGAGAAGGGGAGCGTAAGCAACAAAAAGTGCAAACCCAAATTGGAGAATTTCGGCATTTTGACAGCCAGCGAGGACGAGCATTCGCCGCAAATTACGAACTTGGCCAACGATTCAGCCTACGGAAGGTACTTGTGTGTTAAAATTGTGTTTAATTCGTAATACCAACTTGATTTTAGTTTGCAACGAAAGACGCCGAAGCACCGCAGCAGGGCGGCCAAGTTGGCACCCCTGGAGCCCCCCAAACGGCCGGATTCGACGAGTTCCAGCGGTTCGGAGCAAATAGCGCCCAAATCGCCCAAAGAGTGCAATCAAAAATTATCGAAATTTTGCCACGAGTGTGGTAATAAGTATCCGGTAACATCGGCTAAATTTTGTGTGGAGTGTGGCGTTAAACGATTGATTTTGTGATTATTTTCAGCTTATTTTATTTATACTACATTGTTTTTAAGTTTTTAATCTCTAGTCCAACTTAAAAAATATTTACACGTTTTTATAAATTTTTTTAATGTAGGATATTAATGAATAAGATTTTTAGAAATTTTAGTGCAATTTTTTGTATATTTATTGGTATTTATAGCCAATACCAAAGCGTTATTTATATGAAGTGAAATTAAAAATGGGGATTTCTCACCAAAATGCTTTGTACTTAATTATTTGCATTTACTTAACAGTTTTTACACCATTCCAGGTTTTATTCATAAAAAAGCTATAATTAACAAGACTGAACCATTTCTATTAGTTTGTTATTATTAATGTTTTTAATAAAATTATTATTTAATTTTTTTTTGTTTCATTACAAACATCCTACATTGCACTATAAGTGCGTTACCCAAGTTCTAAACCGCACGTTGATCCCGCCTGACCTTTAAAATAGTAAAAATCGGCCTTGATACACATTTATTACTAGAGACCGGATTTTATGCAACATAAAAAGGCTGATATATTCATGAACAATGCTTACAAGGTAAGCATGAAATTGTCACCCTTTTTTATATATATATAGCAGTTTAGGGGGTTGTTAGAGGACGATTTGGTGGTAAAACCACTCTGTGCACCCCGCGACGCGGTATAACCAAAACTAAAACCTCTTTGCTGGTTCCTAAAGATTGTGGTTCCGTCATATAACCACCAAAAGTTTTCCAGGATTCTTTGGAATCGGTTAACGACGACTTCGAGTTGTTAGAGAGTTTGATCAAGGAGGAAGCTAGTTTTTTCTCGAGCAATAACAACGCGGCAAGGAAAAACAGCGACGATATGTCCGCAATAGATCCTAGTTTGATCAACGAGAACGACAATCTCTCCATTCCCGATCACTTGAAGTTGGACGACTTGTCGCCAACCAGCACCAACGGTACGGACACCACACTGCGTAACGAAGACATTACGAACGGTAACACGCCCGAAGTAAAGCAACCCGCAGCCAAACCGATCATAAAAAGATCGGTATCGTTAATAAATCGCTCGGATTCTATCAAACTAAAGGAAAAAACTAACAGTGCCACCGTAAAGCAAGGCCGTTACATGACGACGAAAAACAAGGTTCTAAATCGGTCTGTTTCTAGTGTGAAAGATAAGAAAGGGTTGCCGATATTGAAGAAGCAAATGTCATTCGAACCCACTCCCAAACCGGTGTTGAAGAGCAAGGAGGACGTCAACAACTACTTCAACAACACCAGGGGTACCCCCGACAAAGAGGTTTGTTGTTAACGGCGATTTTAGGGTTTTAACATTGTCAGGTTGGTATTTTTCAAGGTCATTCGTTCGGAGGAGTCCCTGAAGCCGGAGGATCTCTTCGCAGTCGATGACGAGATGTTCGAGGAGTACAAAAAGTACGAAGAGATGTACTTGAAGGAGAAGGAGAAGGGGAGCGTAAGCAACAAAAAGTGCAAACCCAAATTGGAGAATTTCGGCATTTTGACAGCCAGCGAGGACGAGCATTCGCCGCAAATTACGAACTTGGCCAACGATTCAGCCTACGGAAGGTACTTGTGTGTTAAAATTGTGTTTAATTCGTAATACCAACTTGATTTTAGTTTGCAACGAAAGACGCCGAAGCACCGCAGCAGGGCGGCCAAGTTGGCCCCCCTTGAGCCCCCCAAACGGCCGGATTCGACCAGTTCCAGCGGTTCGGAGCAAATAGCGCCCAAATCGCCCAAAGAGTGCAATCAAAAATTATCGAAATTTTGCCACGAGTGTGGCAATAAGTATCCGGTAACATCGGCAAAATTTTGTGTGGAGTGTGGCGTTAAACGATTGATTTTGTGATTATTTTCAGCTTATTTTATTTATACTACATTGTTTTTAAGTTTTTAATCTCTAGTCCAACTTAAAAAATATTTACACGTTTTTATAAATTTTTTTAATGTAGGATATTAATGAATAAGATTTTTAGAAATTTTAGTGCAATTTTTTGTATATTTATTGGTATTTATAGCCAATACCAAAGCGTTATTTATATGAAGTGAAATTAAAAATGGGGATTTCTCACCAAAATGCTTTGTACTTAATTATTTGCATTTACTTAACAGTTTTTACACCATTCCAGGTTTTATTCATAAAAAAGCTATAATTAACAAGACTGAACCATTTCTATTAGTTTGTTATTATTAATATGTTTTTAATAAAATTATTATTTAATTTTTTTTGTTTCATTACAAACATCCTACACTGCACTATAAGTGCTTTACCCAAGTTCTAAACCGCACGTTGACCCCGCCTGACCTTTAAAATAGTTAAAAACGGCCTTGATACACATTTATTACTAGAGACCGGATTATATGCAACATAAAACTGCTGAAAATGTGCATGAACAATAATTAAAAGGTAAGCATAAAATTATCACAAAATTAAACTATTATGTATAGAAAAAAACTTTATTAATAAAGTTTTTTTCTATACATAATAGTTTAATTTTGTGATAATTTTATGCTTACCTTTTAATTAGTGTAGCTTAATACATTTTTTACTTAAATAATAACTTAATGACCATATTTATTTAAATTCTTTATTCATATGGGTAGTCTTATCCAAAGCGCTTTGTTTTTTATGTTTTCCAAATAAATGTTTTTTGAATAATCCCTTATGGTATGTAGTATAGGTACAGTACGCACAGGAGAAAAGTTTTATCAGTATCGGTACTTTTTTTTCAACATCATTCTGTTTTTTGTGCTTTGCAATAACGTGTCTTTGCATTACTTGACTATAAGATGCCGTATAGTCACAGTACACACAAGGAAAAATTTTTAAATTTACCGCTGCGTTATTTTTCAATTTATGTTGTTTCTCATGTTTGCTATAGATGTGGCCTTGTAAAACATGGCTATACAATGTTGTGAAGTCACAGTACACACAAGAAAAAATATTCATGTTTATAGGTACTTTATTTTCCAAGTCAGTTTGTTCTTTATGTTTGTAGAAGACGTGTAATTGTAAATTACTATTGTTTGCCGTTTTAAAGTCACAGTACACACAAGAATATTCTTTTATGTTAACATTATTTTTTGACTCATTTTGTTGTTTATGCTTCCTATATATGTGGTTTTGCAAGTTACTTTTCTTTACTGTTTTAAAGTTACAGTACACGCAAGAGTGAGTTTTTTTAATTAATATCACTTTACCTTCAAAGTCATTTTGTTCTTTATGTTTGACATTACTTTCCAACACATTTTGTTCCCTATGCTTACTATAAAAATGGTTTTGCAACCTATGGTTTTGCAATGTGGTATAGTCACAGTTCGCACAAGAGTAAGTTTTTATTTTTAACTCCACCTTCTTTTCTAACTCATTTTGTTCCTTATGTTTGTTATAGATGTGCAGTGGTAAATAAAGATATTTCTTTGTTTTAAAGTCACAGTACACACAACAGTAAGTTTTTACTTCTGTTGCTAGTTTATTTTGTTTTTTATAGATGTGACTATGTAACCTTTGGGTTGATATATGGTCTTTTATCATATGTTGGTTTACTTCCGATTCTGATCCCAGGAAAATACATTTGCTGTACTGGCATGTAGTTCCACTGTAACAAAAAAAAGTTTATTTTTTTGCATTGTAAGTTTTTGAAAATTTTTATGTTAATAAAAATAAATAAAACTAAACTATTCTGTACGGAAAAAAACTTTATTGGTATAGCTCATTACATTTTTACTATTTACTATCTTATATACATATTGTTGTAATGGATAACTAAAATTTGTGTTATAGTCACAGTAAACGCAAGAGTAAGTTTTTAATCCTACTTTATTCTTTAACTCATTTTGTTCCTTATGTTTTCTACGGATGTAGTTGAGTAAATTACTGTTTACCAATGTGGTATAGTCACAGTACAAACAAGAATAATTGATACCTTTTTTTAACTCATTATTTTCCTTATGTTTTGCAAATATGCTCTTTCAATGTTGTTTATAATGGGTGGTATAGTCACAGTACACACAAGTCACACGTTTTATTTTTTTGGTACATTGCTCTCTAAAATCATTTATTGCAAAAGTTTATCCTTATCGGCAGTCTTTTCCAACTCATTTTGTTTTTTATGTTTTTCAAATAAATGTTTTTGAAATATTCCCTTACGATATGTAGTATAGGTACAGTAATCACACGAGTAAGTTTTTATAAGTATCGGTACTTTTTTTTCAACAACATTTTGTTTTATATGCTTTCCAATAACGTGTCTTTGCATTAATTGACTAGAAGATCCTGTGTAGTCACAGTACACACAAGGAAAAGTTTTAAAATTTATCGCTACCTTATTTTCCAATTTATGTTGTTTCTTATGTTTGCTATAGATGTGGCCTTGTAAAACATATCTATACAATGTTGTAAAGTCACAGTACACACAAGAAAAAATGTTTATGTTTATGGGTACTTTATTTTCCAAGTCATTTTGTTCTTTATGTTTAGAGAAGACGTGCAATTGTAAATGACTGTTGTAAACCGTATTAAAGTCACAGTACACACAAGAATATTCTTTTAGCTCAACATTATTTTTTGACTCATTTTTTTGTTTATGCTTCTTATAGACGTGGTTTTGCAACTTTTGCTTTTCAACTGTTGTGAAGTCACAGTACACACAAGAGTAAGTTTTTACTTTTATGGCGACTTTATTTTCCAACTCATTTCGTTCTTTATGCTTCCTATAGATGTGGTTTTGCAAGTTACCGTTTTTTACTGTTTTAAAATTACAGTACACGCAAGAGTGAGTTTTTTTAAATAATGTCACTTTATCTTCAAAGTCATTTTGTTCTTTATGTTTGACATTACTTTCGAACTCATTTTGTTCTTTATGCTTACTAATAATATGGTTTTGCAACCTATGGTTTTGCGATGTGGTATAGTCACAGTTCGCACAAGAGTAAGTTTTTATTTTTAACTCCACTTTCTTTTCTAACTCATTTTGTTCCTTATGTTTGTTATAGATGTGCAGTGGTAAATAAAGATATGTCTTTGTTTTAAAGTCACAGTACACACAAGAGTATGTTTTTACTTCTGTTGCTACTTTATTTTGTTTTAGCAACCTTTGGGTTGATACATGGTCTTTGATCATATGTTGGTTTACTTCGGATTCGGATCCAAGGAAAAGGCATTTGCTGTACTGGCATGTAGTTTCACTGTAACAAAAAAAAAGTTTATTTTTTTGCATTTTAAGTTTTTGTATATTTTTATGTTAATAAAAATAAATAAAACTAAACTATTCTGTACGGAAAAAAACTTTATTGGTGTACTTCATTACATATTTACTATTTACTATCTTATATACCTATTGTTGTAATGAATGACTAGAATATGTGGCATAGTCACAGTACACGCAAGATTAAGTTTTTAATCCTACTTTATTCTTTTGTTCCTTATGTTTTCTATAGATGTGGTTGAGTAAATTACTGTTTACAAATGTGGGATAGTCACAGTACACACAAGAGTAATTGAATTGATTTGATTTGATTTGATCCCCATGCATATTATTGGTTGAGTCACTAAAATTAATAAATTTAATAAAAATCTTATTTTTGCCAATTTTATCCACTATTATATGATTAAAACCCACCCTATACATATATTCTTTAAAAATTATTATACTAATAAAAACAAATTTGTTTATTTTTATTGTTTATTTTATTATTGCTACATAATTAAGTTGAAATGGGATCTCATTTCCAGGTTATTTTAGTTTGGGTTTTGATCATTTTGTATTTATTTGATTTAAATGCATCTAAAAAAGAATTAAAAAAATCTTAAAAGTAACAAAAGATATATATATATATATATATATTTTAGACTGCAATTTAACGACAGACCAATTTTCTGATAAACCATTTTTACTAAAAAACTTTTTTAATGAAAATAAAACAACAATAAAAACACTTTAAAACTTTCTTTATTTAATAAAATTAAAAATGTACAATTTTAACAAGAGACAAATACTAAGTAATAATAATAATAATAAATAAATAATAAATAATAATAATAATCATAATAAATAATAATTATTATTTCACAAAAATTATTTAAATTAAATATTTGTATAGAGCGACATCTATAAAACAATAGAGTAACCATTTTAACTTCAAGTTAGTAACTTGGGAATCTGTATTACCGGCGCGTCAAAATGTCAAATTTTTATGTGTAAAACGACCGGTTAAATCGGATATAGAAGCAGTTTTTCACAGTGAAAGTAAAAATACTGTATGACATTCGACAACGGTCAACAACTTGTCAATGTGTATTTAAAAGGTCACTTAGTGTCATGGAAACATGTACGATAATGGGCGTTTTAAGGATGGGAGGAGAAAAAGTCATTTAAGAATTAAAAACACTTCTTCTTTAGACACTAGCAGCATAAACTGCTATTTTAAAGCATGTAAAAGTGGACTACAAAAATCCATTAAATTGCCTAAAATAAGCATCTAAATACTTTACAAAAGCATTTAAAAATGCTATTTTCAAGCATTTAATAATGCTAATTTGTACTGTTAATATACCACCAAACTAGGACTTGGTTAATATAAAAATTAATTATTCCATTAAAAATGTTTTAAAAGCATTTAAATTATACCTTGAAGCATTAAAAATGCTGATTCACATTAGAACCAACCACTTAAACTTTTTAACACTGTTTAGATATTTAAAAAAATACCATTGCGTAAAAAATAATTTAAAAACGCATTCGTGTTTATTAATTAATTCAAACTTTTTTAAAAAAGACGCATTAAAATAATATGCATTTTAAAGCATAAATGAGGAGCGTTTATTCAAAAAGGGACATGTCCATTTTAGCGATTTGCAGAAACAAGTCAAAAATAACAGAATTCCTTTGCTTTTGACTTATTTCTGCAAATCGCTAACATGGACATGTCCCTTTTTGAATAAACGCTCCTCAAATGCTTATAAATTTATAATTATGCTGATTTACCTAATATGGTAAACCCAAATTCAGTATTAAAAATTAATTAAAAGCTTTACAACGCTGATTTAAAATCATAAACCCACTAAATAAACTTACACTTAACTAACACCTTACACTTAAATTTAAACTAACACCACTAATTAAGTTATAAAAAATGCAAAAAAGTTTTCTGATATAAGAAGTTATTTAAGTTTAAAAAACTTGGCAACGCTGTGTATTTTCTAACTTTTAATTTTTGAAGCGTCGTAAGAAAATTGTATTATATAAAATTTAAATAAAGAAAATAAAATTCAATTTTCAAACCCCTCTGATGTAAAAAATTTTTGTATAATAAGTAAATAAAAGCACCTACCTTATCATTCATACCCAAAAATAACCATTTTTGAGTATCAAAATAAATTAAAAATCAGAAAACTGTATTTTAATTCCAATATATCCTCGATTTCACTCGTTTCTTTTATAATCTGTGATTTCACTGACTTTCCCTGACCACCTTGAGCCTCCCTGACTTACCCTTGAGCCTTAATACATGCATTTTTATAACAAATACCTGTAGCACACAAAAAATTAAGTAATGGCTTTTGTAAACAAACACTGACCGCACAAATTGTTTACTCCCCCACATGAAAAATCTGGTTCATAACGAGAAAATACACCCTTGGCACTTAAATAACACGCTAATTTAAACCGAACACCGACTTTTCGCATACCACAAAAGTTAGGTTATACCCAAATGTTTTGTCTGTAATATTTTGTTGGCAGAACTGATATAAAGCAGTGTTAACGGATGTTAAGTATTTATTGCAAAATTAGATTGTTTTGTAGCTTAACTTATAATAAAATCGTTGAGTAAGGAAGTACTTTACTCAAGGATAAATTACAATATTAAGATTTATTGATTAAATGCATAAATGGACGAAATTCCTTAGGAACTAAATAAAATATGACAACGTTGCAATGGGTATCTGATAGCCGTTAAGTTGGCAGTGCTAACCATTGATTTATTATTAAAAAGGTTGGTTCCAACACAGTTTATAAAGGTTCCAATACCAATCATGAATTACTTAGATGAAAATAACAAAATATTTATAGATATTTATTTATTTGTTGTAATTGAGGATTTTGAAATAAGTTTTACACTTATTATATCCTCTTTAGTCTTACAGGTAGCAAGTACTTTCTTAGACACTTGTTTTTCTTATTTTTGAAGAGTTTCATAGGTCCCATCATATTATTTCTGAACTCGCCATTGCAATTTACTTGTTCTTTGATTGGTACATTACATATACTGGGTGCGCATACTTTTTGAACCGGTCTTCTATTTTCATATTCAGGACACATACACATAGCAAATTGTGGAGTACATGTGGGATACGAATTTTGATATCTAGGATAACATTGCGGCTCAAAAGTGCAATTTGGATAAGAACACATTTCGTATTCTGTATTACAGCAACTGTCATTATGAGTTAAATACGTATCTATTCGAGTGCTTGAGGTATTATGTAATACAAAACCGTTTTTTTCAAAAGTATTTGTATGATTATCCCTCGTTATACAAATTTTTGGATATTTTTGAAAGGGTGTGCTTAAATGAAATGGACAACATTGGCAACATTGTTGCACGTTAAATATACTGGTTGGACATTTTTTTTTAAATGGTCTTCTTTTCTTTTTATATTCACAACACAAATCAATGTGCTCAGGACAAACAGGATACGAATTTTCATATCTAGGAAAATATTGCGGTCCAAATGCGTAATGGTCCATTTCATAATCTCTATTACAGTCATTGTCATCATTGGCTGAGTGCCAATCTATTTGAGAACTTGATGTATTCTGTACTACAAAATCATTGTTTTCAAAAGTATTTGTGTAATTATCTTTCAGAATGGACATTCTGGGATATTTTTGAAATGTTGTATGCTTAGATGAAGTTTCCATACCTAAATTTGGCATTGTAAAAATCTGAAAGAAAAAAGAAAAAGCTATAAAAAAATTCTGTATGCTTACGTGCATAAATAAAATAAAAGTACTTATGATTTTTTGAGATATAAAAAAGTTAATTTTATATGTACTTACTTGTTGGAGAATAATATCCGGTAAAATTAATGAAAAAATGATATTTTAAAATGACACGAAATAACAAAAAAAAAATAACCTAAATACTGTCACAAACTATTATAGGGTGACAGATTTTAATAAAAAAATAAATTGAGAATGATTTTTTAGGCACAATCCACACAACAAAAGAGAAGTAAAATGGTTGCCCTTAGCACTTTAAGGCCTCTTTTAAATAAACAGCACAAATCCTAAGCACAAAAATTTTAAACATTTTGTTTTTTATAATTAAATAAATTGACTTTAATACTTTTTTGTGTTTTTTAATCTTTTGCCTTTTTTTATTTTTTAACATTTTATCAAATTTCATAAAGTGAAACTTTATAAAAATATATGTACCTATATATTTTTAGGTTATATTTCAAGGTATAATACGCTAAAGAAGTATCGGGTTTTCGCAACGCGCGCGCCATCTGGTGGACTTCAAAAGCATTGCGTGAATTTAAGAATTGTCAACAATACATTTAAGGCATACGAACTGTACATCATTTTTAAATAAATAGGTAGTTTTTTCACAAAAGAGAGGAAGGCAGAAGTCTTACTCGACAAATTTTGTTCAATTGCACAGCTAAATCGCGCACGTTATTTGTGTTATACGTTGCAAGGAAAAAACTAAAAAACTGGTTTAGTACTCGATTTCGATTGATTATTCCTTATATCATTGATTAAAAAACTCAACGCTTAAATGCTTACATATATAGATACGTTAGTGTGTGTATTTTATCTAAGGGATCATGGTGAATTATTGTGTTTTTAATTGTAAATAAATCGTTGCATTTTCATGTTTTGTCAAAGTATCCAATTCGGTAAGTACATTTGTTGGTGTAAATTAACTATAGTTTTTAGAGAACTCAATATAAAAATGGTTGATTTTAAGGTTATGTTTGTGCAAAAATTATTTTTTACTAATTTCTTAAAAATGTAAAACTTAAATATAAATTATATTAGGTAAAGTTATCATTATAATGATAACTTTACCTAATATAATTTATATTTAAGTTTTACATTTTTAAGAAATTAGTAAAAAATAATTTTTGCACAAACATAACCTTAAAATCAATTATTTTTATATTGAGTTCTCTAAAAAACGCCGACAACTGCATTTATACCTGCAAAATATACCTACGAATTCATGGCAATATAATATTATACAACATAATATAATGGTATTTTACTGTTGAGTTGAGACTTAAAAGAATTCTTAATCAACGCTTTTAATAATGCTGTTTGAATTTAGACGACTTATTTGTTTGGCGATTTTTACTGAATTGAAATGTTTACCTACACTTTTCACGTTAATCATTACTAAAATGTGTATTTATTGTACAATTTATTTTTACATGGACTGTATTTACTGAAATTTACTTCTTTAGCGTATAGGAAAAGCTGTTTTTTTTTAATTTACTCACAATTACTAGGACATGAATGTAAAGTATTTTTTACTCATAAGGGTATGCTTTATTTATGAATACATGTTTGTAGTTAATTGTGTAGTTGATGTTATTTTTGCAATTGTGGTTGGAGGTGCGGGTGTACTTTCTGATACAACTTCGAAGCCTTTATTTAGTTCAGGATCTTGAGGATCAGTCGTATAATCGTAGTCGACGTAATCAGGATTACCGTAACTGAGATCATGATCAGCATTAGGGTGATCATAAATATCATCAGGGTATAAATTATCATTATCGTTAAAATCATCATTAGGATCGCGATTAGGATCATTATTATCGTTAAAATCATCATTAGGATCATCATTATCGTTAAAATCATCATTAGGACCGCGATTAGGATCATCATTATCGTTAAAATCATAATTAGGATTACTATTAGGATCATCATTAGTATTGTAATCATCATTACTGTTAAAATCATAATTACCAAGAGGGTTAAATTTATCATTACTGTTATAATCATCATAATCAGGATTACTTTTACTTTTAGGATCATCATAACCACGATTAAGATTATGATTAGGATCAAGATTAGGATTAAGATTAGGGTCAAGATTAGGATTAAGATTAGGGTTATGATTAGGATCACGACTAGGATACCGATTGGGATAACGATTACCGTAACCATAGCATGGTTTTGGAGTATAATGGTAAACATCATAACCATTACATGGTTTTAAAGTTGATGTCAATGGATAATTTGGAAACATCAGCCTTGAATCACGATGAATGTTTCTTGTATATACAGGTCCTCCAAAATGGTTTATAAAATAGTTTCTTTTGACTCTTTTTGGATTTTCGCTTTCTTCAACAAAAATATAGTTTAGTTTTAAAATTTAGGAAAATTATATTACTTACCTGAGTTTAAAGAAATGGAATTTGTTGTTACAAAACAAATGCACATTAAAATCATGAACATTTTTATTTTTATTAATACGAACTAAATGTAGATAATTTAGTAATAACACTTTTTGATGTACAATAATTTATTCAAAATAAAAATCCCTTGTATCATATATTGATAAAAACATTGTAAAATAGCTTGTAGAAGAATCATACCAGTCCACCTCATCGATTTTAAGTATGTTTGTTAAAATAGTAAGATAAAATACTCAAAGCATATATATTTATTATTGGTTGTTTCGATGTTAGTCTAGAATGGGGTTTTTGGGAAGCCACCAGGTCTAGTAATAACATAACATAAGTGGTTCTGCACTAATGTAAGAATTTTAAGAAATCATACACTTTGAATATTAGAGCTTCACGGAAGATAGCTTCACGGAGGTTAGGATTTCGTATGTTTTTTTTAAACATCCCTTTGTATATTTGAAATAAGTTATTTTATCTTTTGACACCTTAATATTTTTTAAAAATATATAAAATATTTATAAAAAAAATCTACTTACTGAGATATTACATATAACACTTCAGGGTGGATAGGTTTTAAAATAGCAAATTAATGACCTTAAACTTTTGAATTATAAAACAGCAACATTCTCATCTGCATATTAATTCTAACTGTCCTTCAGGAATCTCATGCATCTATAATGTCGTAAACAGAGGTTTTTGCTTATGTAAAATGATTAAAGCGCCATCCGTTGCATAAAATTTAAAGCAAAAACAGATTCACGGAGGATAGAATCAATTTTTGTAACACCTACCTACATAAATTGTTATAAAAATTATTTCTTTTAATTTTTAATTATATTCAATATTTGATTCGATTGCTTTGGATGTGTTTAATTTACTTAGTGAACTGATATTTTTAGTATGTTTTTACTACCTCAGATATTTGAAAACATTTTTAAAGCATAATAGAGCCCATTTTTTGGACACCCTTTTTTGATTATAATTATATTATTTTTCTATTAAAATATTACATAACAAATAAAATTAAAAAATTCGTCATCCAACGTATTATGTTTACATATCGCGCAAGCGCAACTGTTTTTGGTTGTTTTTGTTAATAACACACTTTTGCTGATCACAAAAAACGAGATAGATCTTTACGTATTTTCAAAGGCGTATTATCAAAGCAATAAATAAAAGTTATCGTTTAAACTTTGTACTTTTGGAATTCCTTTCGAAATTGCGCTGCACAGTAGGCTAGAGAGCGCTTCCAGTGTTTTATTTCGACAAAATTTGGGGAATTTTGAATTCTTTAATATCTGCAGATAATAAAACAACTCTAAATCACCTTCAAATCTGTTGAATTTTTATCAGGTAACCAGTCAAAGTTTAAGAATTATAAATACTTGCTTTGTGCATATTTTTTATGTATGTATGGACATTACTAAGGTTTTAAAAAATGTCACGCATTAGCACACTCTGTATTTAAGTGTTTTTAAGCTTACTGTTGTCTTTCAAATAAATCTAAAATCAAGGCGCCACAAATATTTTTTGTTTGAAACATTTTAATAGAAAGTTAGTTTTAGATTACTTAGTAGACTATGCATTTACAAAAATAAATGTAGGAAAATAATTAATTTAAAAATTTATTTTTTTTTAAATATAGAAAAACGCTGAAAGCCCAGAAGAAATATTATTGTATTAAATACTGTCATACGTAAGTTTTCTTTTATAATTTATGGACCTAATTTTACCATGGCACAAAAATGCTTTTGTTGTTAAAGTATTATATTGTAGATTTAATTTTCTATTGTTATTAAAAAGTATTTTTTATTAAAATTCCAAAAAAATAAACATTAAACAAATAATTTCTGCGCGTTAAATTGGCTCTCTAGCCCACTGTGCGCTGATGCGAACTTGTTTTGATTCGTCATATGCACACGGTGATTTTCCCACCTCTACCGCTCGAATTGACAGCTGACTTAATTACTTTTTCGATTGCACAAGGGCAAAATTTGACGGGGAATTTAAAAGAAAAAAATGAGCAGCATATTGAAATTAAATGCTGGTTTAACCAAGAGTATACTAAAAAATGCATCTCAGGTGAGTTAAAAATAATTAATCCTAACCTTAATGTTACATAATAATAATAATTTCACGTACATTTTAGGGCAATGTACCTGCCGGAGCGCTATCGAGGGCCCTGCACATTAAAGTAGACAGAAAAAATGCCAAAGTGAGCGATAATGTATCAAAAGTGTACCCAATCGTAGACCACACATATGATGCTGTAGTTGTGGGAGCGGGGGGCGCAGGTCTGCGAGCCGCCTTTGGTCTTGTAGCGGAAGGCTTCAAGACGGCTGTCATAACCAAACTTTTTCCAACCAGATCTCACACGGTCGCTGCACAGGGTGGTATCAACGCTGCGTTAGGTATGCCCATCTCTGATACACAGGGTGTTATGTAATTAATGTTATATATTAAAATACTGAATACCTTTTGACATAAGGAATAAAGGAAAAATATTTAAAAAAACATTTTTCCAAAGATAAAGAAAAAATATGCATTAGAAGTTTTTTATATTTTTTGTGATACGCCCAGAGACTCTATACTCTATGGATACGCCACTGGTTACACACTTGTTTATCTCTGCACACCTGTATTGTGTGAGTACATAGATACCAACCAACAAAGTAGCTATGCGTTGCCAGATGTAAAAAATTGTTACTAAACATTTTTCTTGCAAAAAATATATAAAAACTCAATAAATACAAAAGTTTTATGCCCTTAAAGCTCTAATACCCTTCTGTATTTATTTACTGATCCAGCTATTAGCTTAAGCAATGATTAGAAAATTTAGTACCTTTGAAATTTGAAATTCATAACCACAAAATTAATTTTTTCATCAGTTGTTTTCTCTGTTTACTCAGATGAAATTGGAACCAGTTCACAGGTTAAACTTTAAACATTTAATTTGTGTAAATAAATCCAAAAGCACTTCCCTTATTTAAGATATTTACAATTTGAAAACATAACCTAAAATTTAAAAGAAATGCACTAGATTCTGTCATAAAAGTTGGCAGATTTTGTTTGAATTTACCTTCAGTACACAAATGAAATAACCAACAATTAATAAAAACGCCAAATTGACAATTTGCATTGTTAATTTTGTCATTTTTGTAATTAAGCTAAATTTAAACAATGCTTGGCAACTTTTTTGAAAGATTTTGGAAACAGTTGTTACCAACCATAGCATAATAAATCCACCAGATTAACCTAAAGTTCCTAGTCGATCAGTGGCGTACTTTTTGGTAGGATAAAGGTTATTATAAATTATTTTTAGACTTTGGAATTTAGAAAAAAAAAGTTTCAGGTGCTTCTTTATGGACCCTAAGGAACAACCCATTTTAATATATAACATTAATTACATAACATAACGCAATAATTGTATAGGTAACATGGAGGATGACAATTGGCAGTGGCACATGTACGACACTGTGAAGGGTTCCGATTGGCTGGGAGACCAAGATGCAATCCACTACATGACCAGGGAGGCCCCCAAGGCTGTAATCGAGTTGGAAAATTATGGAATGCCATTTTCCAGGACTACAGAGGGAAAAATTTATCAGAGGGCTTTCGGTGGGCAATCATTGAAGTTTGGCAAGGGTGGACAGGCTCATAGGTGCTGCTGTGTGGCTGATAGAACCGGTCACAGCCTGCTTCATACACTTTATGGTCAAAGTTTAAGGTTAGATTTGTTGAAATTCGAGAATTTTTTGAGATTTTACGGTGTTTTAGGTATGATTGTAATTATTTTGTCGAATATTTTGCCCTTGATTTGATCATGGAAGAAGGTGAATGCCGTGGGGTTATTGCCCTATGCCTTGAGGATGGAAGTATACATAGATTCAGGTCCAAAAATACAGTAAGTATGAAATTTTGTTACACAAAAAAAACCTAAGAACAACGCCTAATGTTACAACATTCTTACCCAGGATCGACGCTTTTTTACGAAAGTGACGTTTACATTTTTTATCTTTGCCAAATAAACATCGTATTTTTAAACATTTTATATACCTATGGATTTACAATATCGGATTTTAGGAATTTTAAAAACTATCTTTAAATTTAAAATAAGGTTTTATTAATTTTGACAACCAGTTGCATTTTAAAAGAACTCTAATAATCTATTGAAGTTAAGTTAACATAATCTTTTATTTTACCCTGCATCTTCTAAAAATCGCTTAATTGGCGTTGATACTGTCAAATCCATAATTCTAACCTCACACAGTCAAAAAATGTTAATTCGAACCTCAAACTACTTTTTGACGTTTAAAACGTCAAAACTTGTCGATTCTAACCTCAAATGTCACACACTCTCAAAGTAAATTGTGTCTGAATTGCTTGACAGTTACATCTATGTAGCTTATGACATTCTTAACAAAATTGTTTGGTGCTTAAAACTTCAAAGAACGGTCAAAGTAATACCCTAATAAATTTAAGGGGTACCATCGTCTTATATTTTACTCTGCATCCTCCAAAAATCGCTTAATTGACGTTGATATTGTCAAAAACCATTAATTCCAACCTCAAACTTCATTTTTGACGTTTAACAGTCAAATACTGTTCATTCTGGCCCAATGGCTTGACATGACATTCCTAACAAAATGGGCTTAAAACTTCAAAGAACTGTCAAAGTAATACCCTAATAAATTTAAGGGGTTCCACCGTCTTTTATTTTACTTTGCATCCTATAAAAATTGTTTAAATGACGTTGATACTGTCAAAAACCTTTCATTCTAACCTCAAACTTCATTTTTGACGTTTAACAGGCAAAAACTGTTAATTCGAACCTCTAAACCACTTTTTGACGTTTAAAACGTCAAAACTTGTTGATTCTAACCTCAAATGTCACACACTGTCAAAGTAAATGATGTCTGAATTGCTTGACAGTTATATCTAGCTTATGACATTCTTAACAAAATTGTTTTATGTGCTTAAAACTTCAAAGAACTGTCAAAGTAATAACTTAATAAATTTAAGGGGTACCATCGTCTTTTATTTTACTTTGCATCCTATAAAAATCGCTTAAATGACGTTGATACTGTCAAAAACCTTTCAATCTAACCTCAAACTTCATTTTTGACGTTTAACAGGCAAAAACTGTTAATTCGAACCTCAAAACCACTTTTTGACGTTTAAAACGTCAAAACTTGTTGATTCTAACCTCAAATGTCACACACTGTCAAAGTAAATGATGTCTGAATTGCTTGACAGTTATATCTAGCTTATGACATTCTTAACAAAATTGTTTTATGTGCTTAAAACTTCAAAGAACTGTCAAAGTAATAACTTAATAAATTTAAGGGGTACCATCGTCTTTCATTTTACTTTGCATCCAATAAAAATCGCTTAAATGACGTTGCTACTGTCAAAAACCTTTCATTCTAACCTCAAACTTCATTTTTGACGTTTAAACAGTCAAAAACTTCATTCGAACCTCACACCACTTTTCGATTCTAACCTCAAATGTCACACACTGTCAAAATAAACGATGTCCGAATTGCTTGACAGTTATATATATCTTGACATGACATTCTTAACAAAATTATTTTAAGTTCTTAAAACTTCTAAGAGCTGTCAAATTAATACCCTAAGCTGTATTTTATTTTACTCTGCATCCTTTAAAAGTCGCTTAAATGACGTTGGAACTGTCAAACGTCATTTTTGACGTTTAAACATTGAAATATCGGTAATTCGTGTCTCAAACGTCACTTTTTGACGTCAAATCTTGTCGATTCTCACCTCAAATGTCACACACTGTCAAAGTAAATGACGTCACAATATGTCTGAATTGCTTGACAGTTATATCTAGCTTAAGCTAATTAAATTAAATAACATTCTTAAGAGAACTTTTTATGTGCTTAAAACTTAAAATAACTGTCAAAACTAAACACTATTTAATTTAATTTCATTCTGCATCCTCTAAAAATCGCTTAATTGACGTTAAAAGTGTCAAAAACAAGTTAATAACTTTAAACTTAAAAAATGTCAAAGGAATGTCCTATTAAATTTAAAGAAAAGTAAAGTAATTTACTCCGCATCCTTTTATTTGACGTTGATACCTCAAAACGTAATTTTTGACGTTTAAACCGTCAAAAGCTGTTAATTATACCCTCAAACGTCTAAACTTGTCAATTTACCCCTCAAATGCAGTGGCGGCTCGTGGGTGTACAGGAGGGTGAGGCTACATAAGGTTAATTTTGTCTAAATACGAATAAATTTCCACGTCACCCGGGAGGTATTATTCTCCGACGCGTTGACCTTTTTTAAAATGGAGCCGATAGCACTACTAAACCAAAAAATAAACTCTAAAAAACAAAACAAACAAAATATCACATCAAAGACTAGTTTTAATCTTAAACTTAAAAAATAGTCTTAAAAAAGTTAAAAATAAATAAATTAATCAAAAAATAAAAATAAAACTAAAAAGTCGACCCCTACCTAAGTATTAAAAAATATAAAATACTATACGTCTATCTTTTAAGATTGAAAATTTATCTATTATTTGGTCGTAAAATTGTTGGTCTGCAGTGAGATTTAAAAGTAATTCTAAATTTTCAAACCGCGTCTCTAATTGAAGAATTATGCAATCTATTATTTCAAAATATAAAATTTGCTTAATAAAAACTGCTAAATCTACCTTAGTGTGTTCCCTACAATAATTAAATAAGAAATTTTACTAATCGAGACAAAAACTATAAAAGATCAGCCAAAAGTTTTAAATAATTTAATCTGAATCAAAACAATAACGTGCTCTATAGAAACGCTAAGAGAAGACTGGCAACCTTCTTTGTCTCCGCTGGCATCCCACCATAAATGGACTACCAATCAGAACAAACCAAGCTAACTTAATTACGCCTCATCTACGGTGTTTATTCGCGAACTTACGGCGATATTTTTGTTGGTGAGTCATTTTCGCTTTCAAGACGTAAATGGGAGCTTCCGAGGCTGTGAAAATTTCGCCTCTGTCCAAGCCAAGATACATACAACAAGCGACTCTCAACGATGCATGCACGTTAACTTGACGCGCTTTGCGCCTGGATTTTTATTTACGCTTAATATTATTGATTGGTTTTTTACTTTTTATTGGGTAGAACTGTTGTAAAAATACACTTGTAATAGGCAAAAATATAAATACAAAAAGTCGTTCGTTCCTTCATTTTAAGGGTGAGGCGCGGCCTCAGAGGCCTACCCTGACGAGCCGCCACTGCTCAAATGCACTGTCAAAGTAGATGACGTAACAATATGTCCGAATCGCTTGACAGTTATATCCAGCTTAACATTTCATTCTTAAGAGAGGTTTTTCTGTGGTTAAAGCTTCAAATAACTGTCAAATTAATACCCTATTGACAACTAAATTTCATTAAAAATGTGACGTAAAATCTCTTAATAACGGGCGTTATTTTTTAGTGACATTAACATTTTCTAAATATTTAGGTTCTTGCCACTGGCGGGTACGGTCGCGCATACTTCTCGTGCACATCTGCGCACACTTGCACCGGAGATGGCACTGCCATGGTTGCCAGAGCCAACCTACCATCTCAGGATTTAGAGTTCGTACAATTCCACCCGACAGGTTTGTGAAAGATCGTTATTTTGAGAGTTTAGGTCGACATTTTTATTGTGTTTCCATCGAAGGTATCTACGGCGCCGGTTGCCTAATCACCGAGGGTTGCCGCGGTGAGGGTGGCTACTTGATCAACTCGGAAGGTGAAAGGTTCATGGAAAGGTACGCCCCTGTTGCCAAGGATTTGGCCTCAAGAGACGTCGTTTCCAGAAGTATGACCATCGAAATTAGAGAGGGTAAGTCAAGAATAATATAAAACGCGTATTTTTTTAACTAAGGAGGTTCTGGCACGATATAGGTCGCTATAAGATGGCAATATGTACCAACTTGCAAAAACAACAGTGGCAGTGACAGTTCTATATGCCGTGTTATTTAAAATCTAAAAATAAGTTGCGAAAACGAATCAACTCCGCTACAAAGAAAAAACTATTAAGAGAAGGTGTTGAAACGAAAAATAAAGCAACAAAAAACATGTAGTATGTTAAATGCAGTGAAAGTCCAAAGAAAGGACAAGCCTTTCAAAAAATGCATTTAAGAAAATACTGCGGAATTATCTAATAACCCATGCCTTTTAATCGGTAAATGCCTTCAAAGAAAATTTAAAAAGTGTCAGTATAATATACTATTATATTATGATATGATATGTGACGTTTTTTAAATTTTTTACTTATACTGTGATGTAATATATACTTAAAATATGATGGAAATTATACTTTAACGGTGATTTCATAACTATTTTTACACTTATTCTTAATGTTTTTTTTCTATTTCTATGCTAATAAAGATTATTATTATTAGATAATCACTTGTTCGGATCTTCTAGACGAGAAGGACAGATTATTGATTATTATTGCAAAACTGTGGTGTAAAGGTTAACAAAAATTTATATGGCACTTTTAGAGGCAAAAGACTGGGCCAAAATATCGAATATTTTTTTTATATAGTATATCGAAAATATTGTTTGGGGGTGACAACAAAAATTTTGTGAAAGTTCATAATATTAATATTAAGAGGTATATCATAGCAAATTAAATTTTTTTTTTTCATCCCCCCTGAAGAAACGGAGACGTTTTTTCAGACCAAAGAAGAAGAAGAAGAAGAAATTTTTTTTTCCTGAGCAAGTTTTTGTCTCAGAACTCCCAAACCATTGAGTTTAACAAAATTGACTCGGATATATTTTTTTAAGGAAATTGAATGCTCTACAAAAAATGTCTAAATGAAATTTTCCGTCAGATGAACCGTTTCCTTAAAATCATGCTTTAAAAATAGTTTTACATTTTGATCTTTTAACTTTGGAATCTTGTAATTCATGTAAAAATCAGTACCCAGAAAAAAACCGATATATGGGAAATCAAATGCTTTACAAAAAGAGCCTCCTAACATTTTTGGCTAAATTTACTCAATCAAAAGTTATTCAAGGTTAAAGTTGAAGTCAAAACGAAATTCTTGTTTTTTCTCTGTAGATTTATTTTTTTATGGATGATAATTTGATTTTTTTCTTTATAAATGTGTATTATATAACTAATTAACAATTTCCAATAAATAAAACAACATGATTGTTATTATTTAAACTATTAAATATTAGTGAAAATGATATTTTCTTACTACTTCGACTGAAAATACGTTGTTTCGTCCCCGATTTCACGGCAGAAAGTTTACGTTTCTTGCATTGGTCAAGCTATACGCGCACACTCTATAATAGCGGGAGTAAAAATTTTTTAGTCGTGTGCTGAACATGTGCAACTCTGATTACGACACTAATATAACCTCAAAATTTGGGCAGGCATCAATATGTTTCGATATACACATTTAATTTTTTTCCGTATTTTCGGCCGGGTTGTATTTTCGGCCGAGGTAGTAAGAAAAATAGTATACACTACATGGGCAGAAAGTGTGAATCTCACACTTTCTGCCCTTGTAGTGTAATATACTATTTCTAACGACTATTTCCCTCGTCTTAATTTCCACCAATCACAAAAGCGCAATTTTGAATTACAAATGGTTTCTAGGTGAAAAAACTGTGTGACAGCACCTGTCAGCAGTCTTTTCGAGTTTAACCGGGGCAAAACTTTACAGCTGTTGTCACCAAAAATTGCAATTTATATTTTAATTGTTAACTGTTACTCATGAAATAGTCTTGTCAAATACCATTCTGGCATCTAATTTTTCCTGTGAAAAAAATCGAAAAAACACAATGCTAAGTAATATTTTTTAACAAAATGCATTCGTGCAGGTGCAAAAATCCTCCTCTTCGACTCGGATTTTTGTTGCCACCAGCACTCATGCTTCTTATTACTTAGCAACGTGTTTTTTCGATTTTTTTCGGAAAAATTAGATGCCCTTTTGATATTACTTACGAAAATAGCTTTAATAACATAAAGATTATCATTGATAAAAGTTTTTAACTGACGCAAAAAAGTCTACAGCGAAAAAAACAAGAATTTCGTTTTGACTTCAACTTCTGTGAATTTAGCTAAAAATGTTAAAAGACTTTTTTGTAGAGCATTTAATTCTTCTTCTTCAAAAAATATTCTTAAGTCAATTTTGTTAAGTTCTGAGACAAAAACTCGCTCAGGAAAAAAAAAATATAAAATTGCGATATTAATATTATGGACTCAAACTTTCACAATAATTTTTTTTGTCACCCAAACAATATTTTCGATATACTTTACAAAGAAATAGTCGATTTTTTGGCCCAGTCTAATGTGCATACGAAAAACATTTTTCAATGTGGCATATAACTTAAATATTTTTTTAATCGGTAAACTCCACACAAGAAACATAATTTTTTTCAACATTTTCTATAGCGAATAATATCTTGCCTTAACCTTCTTAAATAATGTATTTAACCTTGCATTTTTAACAATAACGTGGAACATTTTATTATGCATTATCAATTATGATCACGCAATAATAGCATTAAAAACTAAATGCAACGTTGCCGGATCGTGAAAAATGGCGACGTTGCCAAATTTTGAAAAATGTTCTCGCTAATCCTAGGCAGGGGCTGCGGCCCGGAGAAGGACCACGTGTACCTGCAGCTGCACCACCTGCCGGCCGAGCAGCTTCACCAGAGGCTGCCCGGCATCTCTGAGACCGCGATGATCTTCGCGGGCGTCGACGTGACGCGCGAGCCGATCCCGGTGCTGCCGACGGTGCACTACAACATGGGCGGCGTGCCGACCAACTACAAGGGTCAAGTGTTGACCACGGACGCCAAAGGCGAGGACGAGATCGTGCGCGGGCTGTACGCGTGCGGCGAGGCGTCCTCGTCTTCGGTGCACGGCGCCAACAGGTTGGGCGCCAACTCGCTGCTGGATCTGGTGGTTTTCGGACGCGCGTGCGCGCACACGATCGCCGACGAGAACAAGCCCGGCGAGAGTATCGGCAGCATTTCGCAGGTTAGTCGCTCCTTTTAGTTTTTTTAATTGTTTTTTAAAATGCAAAATTTAACATTGGTCGCAATTATGGTACAAGAAAACAAGATATGTTCTTCAGTAGGACTTTGCGCACCACCCAGTTACCGCCATCTTAGATCATTCCCGCCTTTGCATTTAAATGATATTTTAAATTTAAATATTATTCTCTTATGAAATTCATCCAAATTTCTATAAAATTATTCGATTTTTAGATTCAATTGTCGAATAATTTGAAGATCACACGTAAAAAACTATCTAAGTCACAATATTAACATTTCAAGAAAATATTATTCATGAAAAAAACTATTTTATATGTTTTTTAATGAAATAAAATGTATTGTTTTAAAGTAAATATAATATTTACTAAATACCAAATAAAATATGAAAATCTAGATTTAATTTTAGTTTTTAGTTTTAAATAATGGGTTTTCAAATAAGATATCTTGTTTTAAAGCCATTTATAAGTTAAATATTTTCAATAAAATATCCTGTTTAAAATATAAAAAATCAGATGAAAAGTATGAGGCGTCGTTTGTGCCATAATTATGATTTATAAAATATAGAATAATTTGTAAAAATCTAAATATTTTGTTTAAAGTATAAATAATTTGTTTGAAATATATATATTTTAAGTTAATTTTTTAACTTATTTTCTTAAATATATATTAGTTTTACTAAATTATATATATTTAAAAACAGTAATACATCTATAAACATGTATAAAATCAATACTAATAATATACACTCAGCTTGCTAAGAAAATGTATTGGATTTACAGGTTTTTTTCTTTTGGCATTGTTTTTACAGATTTTCACCTGGCAGGTAGACATTTTTTACACTCACAAAACGTTAAAATAGCTTAAAAAACAACTCACATCAAAATGTCAAAGTCAATATGGCGGCGACTGGGTGCTCCTACCTCTTTGATAATAGATTATACAATTCAAACAAATTAATATTAAAAAAATAATTGTTTATTGTTATTTAATCTCCTTATTAAAACAATAATGTAAATCATCATTGAAATCTAACATATCACAAACAACATTTAAAGTAAACAAAAAACACAGAGTACAGGGTGATCCCCTATAATGTCGCCCCCCTTTAACTTTTTTATTTTAAGTTTCTCAAAAAAATTAAGAGTGTGGTTATGTAGGTACTAAAAAATACTTTTTTTCTACGTATAAAGAAAATTGGAAAATTGATCAGTATACAGGGAAAAACAAAAAGTTTATTTTTTTTCAATGGATCACCCTATATATGTATTTATTCTTCGATTCCTTGTAAAATTCTAAGCATATTTCATATAAAATACCATATACCTAAATTCAACCGTTTCTGAAATATTTAAATTATTTTTAAGATAATAATTTAAAATAGTTTGTCTTTCTCTGTCTCTGTGTGTACGCCATTTTTACTTATTTAACAAGATATATTGACAGAATGTCACTATAGTAATTTATTTTCAATAAAAATTTTGGAATACTGAGGTTTCTTGATTTCTAACAGTTTAAAAAAACATTTAATAATAACATTTCAAATGAGAATATTTCAGAAACGGTTGAGTTTAGGTATATGGTTTGTTATACGAATTATTTTCAAAATTTTACAAGGAATCGAAAAATAAATTCATATATAGGGTGATCCATTGAAAAAAAATAAACTTTGTTTTTCCCTGTATATTGATCAATTTTCCATTTTTTTATACATAGAAAAAAAGTATTTTTTAGTACCTACCTACATAACCACACTTTTAAATTTTTTGGGATACTTAAAATAAAAAAGTTAAAGGGGGCCGACATTATAGGGGATCACCCTTTACAATGTAAAACAAAGATCCAAAATATAATTACCGTGGATTCATGTAAGCATGTCTTAATACTAACTTAGTCTTTGTCCTTATCTTAAAGAGATAAAACTGTAATAATGAGCGGAACCGTTCAGGCAATTTAAATTCGTCTTAACCTAACTTAATTTGAATCCTTATCCTAAGAAAAGTTGGTTTACTTTTATCTTTAAGATCCTTATGTCCTAAGTTCTTAATAAAAATAGGCAAATGCGCATGTACTGGTAATGTAGCCAACTTCATAGTCTAATGTAGCTACTTTCATTGTATTTACTTTTTTGAAAATTTAGTATTTTGTGGGTTTGTTTTATATTTTTATATGTAATGCGCATGTAAAATCCTTAAGATAATAGTACATGTATGAAAGGTTCATTTTCATGGGATAAAGATTAGTACAAGATTGGTACAAAGTTAAGTTAAGTTAATTTAAGACATGCTTGCATGAATCCACCTTTAGTTTTATTGACTATTAAATTTTCCTGTAAAAGACCCAAAAATGAAAAACTATGAACAGACTTTACATACTGTATTTGGTCAATGTCACTTTCGACCATTTTTAGCGTTCGAGAATCTGTCCATCATGTTTAACCTTACTTTTACGTTTTTTTATACTTTTTATCGTAGAATGCCGGTGAAGCCTCGGTCGCCAACTTGGACTGGTGCCGCTTCGCGAACGGGAAAGTGACGACGGCGGATTTGCGCCTGAAAATGCAGAAAACCATGCAGACGCACGCTGCCGTGTTCCGCACCGAGGAAACCCTCAAGGAGGGCGTGGACTTGATGTCCGGCATCTACAAGGAGATGGAGGACATCAAGGTCTCCGACAGCGGTTTAATCTGGAACTCGGACCTGGTGGAGACGCTGGAGCTGCAGAACTTGATGCTCAACGCGTGCCAAACCATCGTGGCAGCGGAAAACCGTAAAGAGTCGCGCGGGGCTCACGCCAGAGAGGACTTCAAGGTCAGGCTGGACGAGTTCGACTACAGCAAGCCGCTGGAGGGGCAGAAGAAGAAGCCCATCGCCGAGCACTGGAGGAAGCACACCCTCACCCACATCGACCCCAAGACCGGGAAGGTCAGTATTACGTACCGCGACGTCATCGATGAGACACTGGACGAGAAGGAGTGCAGCACCGTGCCACCGGCAATCAGGTCCTACTAAGTAAGAAAAACATGCACATAGAACATTTTTTAAACCGTTACCAGCTTACCTAAATTATTTTTTCAATCGTCAAGTGATAAAAGATATAAAAAGTATTTTCAACCCTAGCCTAGATATAATTTATTGAATTTTAACGTAAGTGTAAAAATACTAGTATTTTTAATGTTTTTCCTCCCTTCATTGTACTTATTTTAACGACAGGTCAATAAACTATTACATTTAAGCTACCATCGTCTTTTATTTTACCCTAACTCTCATAACACAATTTGTTTTAAAAATGTTGTCAGGCTGTTTGAAGAATAATATTTATAAATTCATTCATGAAAGGTTAATGAAATGTGGTTCTGCACTAAGGCAAGAATTTAAAGGAATCATACATTTTGAATATTAGAGCTTCACGGAAGATAGTTTCAACTTAAACTTTTAAATTATAAAACAGCAACACTCTTATCTGCATATAAATTTTAACTGACCTTCAGCAATCACATGCATCTATAATGTCGTAAACAGAGGTTTTTGCTTATTTAAAATGATTAAAGCGCCATCCGTTGCATAAAATTTAAAGCAAAAACAGATGCACGGAGGATAGAATCAATTTTTTTAACACCTACATGAAGGTTATAAAAATTATTTCTTTTAATTTTTAATAAAATTGATTCGATTCGATTGTGTTTAATTTACTTCCCAGCTAGCACGATACATAACGCGAGCTCGTGCGATGTTCTGTTTAGGTCGCATAAATACATCTCGTTGAAAACATACCATGTATATTGCCGATATATTATTTTTTAATATTGCACATCGATGTATTGTTACATACCTATAACATGACATAAGTACTTGCAACAAACATCTAATGTAAATGTACCAAGAATGTAACTAAAGGTAATTTTAAGTATATTACTTGTCATATGATTAACCGTACCAACAATATAAAAATAAATAAATAAAATAAAAGACTTAAATAGAGTGAAATTATAATTTATTTAAATATTATTAGTGAAAAACCTTTAAAAACAATCGAAATTTCATTTATTAATATCTAGTATTATTGATGGTGATAATAAAATCTATCAATGTTATGTCAATTTTGCATTTATCAAGTTGGAAGCCATTCATTTTAGGTTATCTCATGTTCTATTTCCCACCAAAGAACACTTCTTTTTCTATGGCGTTTATCTCTGATGCTAGCGTGGTTTGTTCTGTAAGTAGTTTCCTTTTTCTATGTAGTTTACTGTGTCTATGCTGTGATCTTTTTTACTTATTCTTTTGTTTTTGTATCGGTGATTTTGGGACATTCTGTATATATGAAATTAAGTAGGTTTTCCGATGGGTTTTTCTTCACTGATAAAAATGGTTTTAGTGGCAAGGGGTGTACCACAATCCACAATTTGTGGATTGTGGGGTGTACTAAAGTTCGTTAAAAAAGTCAGTCATCTGTATGCATGGCAAATGCGCCTGGCAGGTAAAAAACTGAAAAATAATGTTCAGTTTTTCACCAGACAGACAGACCTTTCTTTTTGATAAGCTTTAGTAAACCTCTTGCCACTAAAACCCATAAATGGGAATATATATTTTAAAATTGTATAAATTTGTTGTTTTTATTATTATTTATTTATTTATTTATTTATTGTCCAACAGAACATGTTCCAATTACAGGACAAAATACATACATAGAAAAGAAATTTGTTAAGTATAATATATTATGGATAATATTAAAATTAAAGTAAATTATAATTGCTAGATGCAGCACTAACTATACTATTAAAAGTCTGGTAAAAAATATCACATGAGCTACAGTATATATTAAAGTATCTGCATATTCTCTGAACGGGTGAATTATACATGGCATTTATTCTAGGTGTTTTATATGTAAAAGTTATGACCGGCTTTGAAAAAATGGAACACGCAAATTCACAGATTCAAGGAGTGCTATAGAATCAATCTGGTTACGCAACAGTCCATACAAAAACTTCAAATGCATTATTATTCTTTTTAGCTCCAAAGCATGTAAAGAAAATCTATTAAGAAGCTGCAAGTGGTTTGTTCCTCTAGCAGAATAGATACCGTCAAGTCTAAACGAAACAAATTTCAAGCCTATCCGTATAAATATTGTATTGCGGACTCCAAACAATACAGCAGTATTCCAGCTTAGATACAACAAATGCGTAATAAAGAGACTGAAATGTTCTAATATCTCTAAAACCCCCAGTATTGCGAATTATAAATCCCAAGCTTTTCATAGATCCAGAAGCAATGCTCTCAACATGATTGGAAAACGTGAATTTATTATTTGTACAGTGTGTATACAATTTTTTTTACCTGAATATATTAATTTATTATAAGTAGTTTTTTTTAATTTCTCTTAGAACTTATTAATCAAATTACTTTGTGTTTTTGTTTTTCTTTTTTATGCATTAATACAGGCATCCGGAAATCATTTCATGTTTTTATACTTCTTTTTTTAGTATTTGTTTTATAAAATGTAGAAAAACTTAAATTTTCAGATAAGTTTTGTTACATTATAAACAAATTTGTTTATAATGTAACAAAACTTATCTAAAAATTTAAGTTTTTTTACATTTTATAAAACAAATACTAAAAAAAGAAGTATAAAAACATAAAATGATTTGCCGGATTTTGCTATAGCCTTTTTATATCAATAAGTTACATTCATGGAACATTACATCTAAACATAGCATGCATGTTTTAAAGTTACTTTAATTGATGTTTCAAACTAACGTTTTCAGTACGTAACAAAGTAACATCTCGAAAACATTGTCCAATGTAAACATGTTGCGGAAATTCGGAGGTTGCCTCAATAGACATGCGATATCAACAGTACATTGCACGGGAGGTTTAATGTACCCAATTTTACATCGCTGTACATTGTTGGGATGTTTCTGTGCTAGCTGGGTTAGTGAAAGGATATTTTTAGTATGCTTTTACTACCTCAGATATTTGAAAACATAGGTTAACCTAGAAAGAGTAACAGTCACGGAGGATAGGTTTTAGACTTTTAAAACATTATAAAAAATAATAATGGTATTATAATATTAGATACAGGTATTCATCAGTTATTTTCAAATCATAAAAATATTGTTTAATATAATTTGATAAAATACCTATCATAGAGATACCTATATTATAATAAATAAATGTTGTGAAAAAATATTGTATAATAACTTGATAATGACTAATATTTCTAAAATATGTAGGTTATTTAGCAAAAATATTTATTCAATATTTGAAATATATTTTTGTGTTGTGTAAAAATTACCATTGATTTTATTTAACTGGTTTGTTCTATGATTCTAACCTCAAACGTCACTTGTTGACGTTTGAAACGTCAAAACTTGTCTACCGAACTCAAATGTCACAAACTGTCGAAGATGACGTCACAATATGTCCGTATTGCCCCGAGTCTCTACAAGATTATCTGGCCCAAATATGTGTAAACAAAGATAATCTTTGAACTTATTTAATGCAACGACCCTGTTCTCTTAAAACTTCGTTTTAAATAGAATTTAGAACTTTAGCAGTGCGTGAACCTCATATCTAGCGTTCTTTGTATTTTTTAAAGGCTTTATTGATTCTATGTTCTTAATGACTGAATTGCAATTGAGTAAACAAAGTCTGTTTAGTATAGTCTTCATTGGTAAGTTAAATATATTGCAAAATACAGTTGATTATCATTTATATTTTAGTGTTTTGCTATAATATAGAGTTAATTATAATGGCTTCAGTACCACAAGCAGCGTTTATTGTGAAAAAAGTCCGCAAAAATGAGGAGAAAAATAAAGACTTACCAATACGTAAATAAACAACACACTACTAATCTTCCAAACCCAATTGAATACCTTTTTCAGCCGAAAACGCAACAAAATACAACAGCAAGTTCATGAACAGCATTTGGGGGATGTATAATCGTTATTCAGTCCACAATCTAAAAAATAATTACGATTTTATGGATAATACGCCAAATATTAGGTAAAAAATAACAATTTCCAGTCTATTTCCTTGATTTAAGTCTTTTTAGGCACTCCTCTGGACAAAATACCACGGAAAAAACATCCAGCTTACCCTGGGGATTGCCTAAATATCTGTAGTTATTAATTTTTGTAGTAAAAGTGTTAAATAAACCGTATTTTATTTAAAACCGCCGTTTTATTTTAAGTCACGTATACAACGACATCTATCAGCAAAAGAACTTTGTTGGGTTTCTTGTTAATAGATGGCGCTGTAACAAAAACGTATAATTTACCTAAAATATCAATATTTAAGCAAAATTAACCATCAAAACCCCAAAAATATGTTAAATTGGCTACATTAACGTCAAATTAAACCAAACTTGGGATGTTATTGAGGTTTTTATGGGTGAATTTCAAACTTCCCGCTCGGTGAGTATTTGACAGTTGAAATTTCATCAGCGCAAAAAAATTTGGCTGTCAGTCGAAGTTATATTTTTTTAATTGCGTCCTGGAAGCGTTTAAGTCCAAATAAAATAAAATTGTCGTTATTTAGTTGATAAAAAGCACAATAAAAATGCCTAGAGGTGAGTAAAGTCGACGAATCGTAACCCTAAAAAACTGGAATTTTTTAAGGCATGTTGCTGCAATATTTCGATAAATTTTTGTGTTTTCAGGTAAATTCACTAATCACAAAGGGCGCAGCCGTCGTTTCACGAACCCCGATGAATTGGAGGAAGAAAGGAGAAGGGACGAACAAAAAAAAAAGTGGAGGCAACAGCATGGTGATGAGACTAGTGAATCTGAGGAGGAAGCACCTGAAAAGAAAATAAGCGAAGAATCTGGCAGCGACTCTGAATCTGAAGAAAGCAGCGATGAGGACGTAAGTTCTCAAATATAACCTCAAAGAATTGTTTGACATCATGTGTCAAGTTACCTTTGATATGTTGACAATTTGACAGTTATTTTGTTTTGGCAGTAGAAATGAGGTTAACTTTGACATTTTTTGTAGAAAAAAGCCAAGGGTGTATCGAAGTTAATCGAAATAGAGAATCCCAATAGAGTACAAAAAAAAATGAAGAAAGTGACAGCTCTAACCACCTCGGATATGGATGGGAAACCTCAGTTATCCAGGAGGGAGAGAGAGGAAATTGAAAAACAAAAGGCGCAGGCTCACTATCAAAAGTTACACGCGGAGGGAAAAACTGATCAGGCTCGTGCTGATTTGGCTCGATTGGCCATTATTAGGCAACAGAGGGAGGATGCAAAAAAACAGAGGGAAATGGATCAAAAACGTAAGTGATTAAAAATTAAAAAATAGAAAATTAAAAAAAACATTTCTTTAGAAAAAGAAGATGCTGCCAAACAAAAAACTGCCGCCACTCAAAAAGCATTGGGAAAAAAATAATTTTTACTACTTTACTAGTAAATAAGCCTTTTTAACTAGTATAAAATATTGCAATACTAATTAAACATTGACATCGCGTTTTTTCTGTAAAAAAATATTAAAATTTATAAAAAAATTATAATATTTGAAAGTATTTATAAAAATAACGTACAAAAGTCATTAATTATTGTATTTACTTGCTGTGATACATAATAAATAATGATTTTTTATATGGATCTTTTATTTTTAACCCATAACCTCAAAAAAATTATTTGACGTTTGAAAATCGATAATATAGCTCATTCACAATATAAAAAACAGCCTCCTATACCAGTTCCAAATCTAAAAAATCACAAGGGCATAAATAAAACAATTTTTACAAAATATTTTTTTTAATTATTATTCATGACTCCAAAGTGGTTTTCTCTTCTCCACAAAACTTTTAATCCCCTCTCTACCATCTGACATCTGTAAATTCTGTACCATTTTTAAACCACCCGCCTCGTAGGCTTTCTTAACCTCCAAACTCATTTGTTCGTAGAAAAATCGTTTTCCCAGCTCTACTACAGAACGGCTCTTCGCCTTTATAGAATCGGTCATAATTTTTAACTCTTCGTCTAGGGTTTTTTCGTCCTTGCATACGGAGGTTACCAGCCCTGATTCTAAGGCTTCTCGACTCGTGATTGGTAGACCTGTTAGCAACATTTTTAGGGCTGTTTTTTTGCGGACTGTTCTCGCCAAGGCCACGCCCGGGGTGGAGCAAAAAATACCGAAATTTACCCTAAAAAACAAAATTTGCAAAGTGACAGCTATGACCTTGAAATCTCATTTTTGACCGTTGTAATCCTTACCCAGGCGTGGAAAAAGTACTTTTTTCGGTACACAGTGCCAAATCGCACTGGGCTACAAGTTGGCAGCCGGCTGCAGCTGCAAGACCGTCGATTTTGGCAACAATTGGCACAGGCGAGTCGATAACGCAGTTCATTAATTTGGAAGCCAAATCAAAAACTTGCAACTGCTTCAATTTTCCCGATTCTTCCGTCTGAAAATTGAAATTTTGATTTTTTGGGTGTATGGAGAGCTTTATATTTTGAAACGCGGTGATCTACTTTACCGACCAGTTCTTTGAGGTTATGTCCTATGTCCTAACCTTCTTTATCTCTGGTTATGTCCTGCCGAGAAAATCGGTCCTTCGGCAGAAATTATTATTATTCGCAAAGAGTTGTTATTATTTTCTTTGGATATGTTATCTATGATGTTTTGCATCATAGCAATAGATAGTGCATTTCTAGAAAAATTGTTGGTATAGGTACCTTATTATTTTTTTATTTTGTTACATTTACCTTGTTTTCTGATGACAAAGTGTGATTTCCTTAATTCCATCATCAAATTTAACCGTGGTTAAGTCTGTGGAGTTAAACCTTCTGGAAACCCCAAAAATTGCCTTAAAACAAAAAAAATAGTGGGCATATTTTGACAAAAATTAACAGTTTTACCCTGCTTAATTTCAACATTATCCACAATAATATTCGATGCTTATTTTATACCTATTAACAAATTAATCGTAATATTTGGCCTATAACCTAAAAAAAATACAAAATAAAGGAGACCATACACGAATTTTTGATATAAAGTAGACCACACACGTAATTTAGATTATAAAGTAGTCCGCACACGAAATGTCAACGATGTCAAGTTCTAGCAGCGATTCTGAGGAAAATTCCACTGAATGTGAAGACTTTTATGTCGATAAAGATTATGAAGAATGTGTAGAATTATCAAGTAACTCACAGACATGTAAGAGAATAAAACCTATACATTTTCTTGATTGTAGAAGAGTGGGGGGTACATCTTGCAGACGAATGTCTGTGGGCCAGCGATAAAAAACCCTTTACAGTATACAGAGATAAGAAAAAAATTGAGCTGGATGAATATGAAGAACAGGGGTTTTTGAGTGATCGTCTTTTAGCTTGTTGTACCACATATTTCGATAAATCTCCTGAAGTTCAACATTATGCCTTGTGTAAATGTGACTTATCCCATCTTAAGGTAAGTTGTTTCAGATATAAACAACATGCAATCGTTTATTTTACAGATTTTAACTGATATAACCATCTTGAAATATCACCATTATATCCAATATTTAGATTTATCAAAAAATAAAATTGAAGAGTTGGGAGCACTGGGCAATTTACCGTTCTTAATGTATTTAAACGCTTCTCACAACAATATCATTAATCTCCTGGACTTTAAAGCCCCACTTAATTTAACCTACGCTGACTTTTCACATAACCTCATTGAAGTAATTGAAGATCTATCGGAATTTTGGAGCCTTAAAACTCTGAATGTATCCTACAACAAAATCCGTCAAATAAATGGACTTCTGGACTTAAAATATTTAAGGGTCCTCGACTTATCTCATAACTATATAACCGAGCTAAACAACGTCGAAAATTTACGTCTGCGGGAGTTATATTTGAGTGAAAATTGCATACAGACCTGTCAGAATATTGTGTGTACTCTACAATTTATAAGGATCATAGATTTGTCGAGAAATAATATAAGAACATTGGAGTTTTTGAAGGGGGTTGAAAATTTGGAGGAGTTGTATATTTCAGGAAATTATATCGAGTATATATTGGAGTTGTCGAATTTTGAGGCGTTAAAGTTCGTAACCAAAGTAAATATGAAAGGTATACGTTTAAAATCATTTAAAATTTAAATATATATGATCATTTTTTGAACCATAGGTAACCCCATAGTGCTAAATAAGCACTATTTCAGTCTATGCATAAAATTCATACCTAATCTTTATGTTCTTAATGATGAATACCTGACAAGCTCATTAAAAGAATATGCCTTGTCATCTGACAATAGAATTTTAAATGTGGGAGTGAAAAGAGCAAATTTAGCTCTGATAAATGGGCTAAATCAACATAACACAACGACAGCGGTGTTACCTTTGGGGGAAACAAGACCCATACTAATTTTGGTGGGTTTACCTGGATCAGGGGTTAAAAATTTCGCCAGTAGAATTTGCGAGAAGTACAGGTAAGTTTTTTTGACCTGGTTGGCAAAATTTAACCCACTGGGGTTAGGCGTTGGGTTGTTAGAGGTGTTAGTTGTACTACAAGACCACAAAGTAATCTTGATGAGGAGGACGTTGATTATCATTTCATATCTAAGACGGAGTTCCAGGAAAAATTAAGCAATGGTGACTTTGTTTCTGTTGGGAGTTCTATACAGGGTTACCTATATGGAACTGGTATACTACCGTTTAATATATATATAGCGTTCAATGTACTGAATAGAATGTTTTATAGATAAAAGTGAACTGGAGAAAGGTCTGGATAAAATATTACTGTTTTACATGAACTTTGATTCAGCCGTTATGCTAAAAGTTAAAGGGTTTTTGACGAAGTTGTTTTTTTGCTTACCCAAGTCAGAAGAGATTCATTACCAGTGGTTAAAAGACAAATACTATTATTATTATAATAGCAAAGAAAAAGATATACATATTAGGTATGATCCTGAAGCAATAGTGGAAAAAAAATTGAAGGAATTAAAAAAAACGGAAAGCGAAATAAGGGGTATTATTATAAATATAATAGAAGACTCTTTGGATAGTGCTTCGCGCCCAAAACGCGCCAAAAAAAAGAAATCTAAATTGAATCAAGGATCTTCAAGGGATGATTCTAAACATTCATCCTGGGAACCCACGAAGTCTGAGGATTGTTCAAAATTTGACAGCCTGTGTGAATCGTACGAAGCGTATGTTTTTGAATAGTAAATTTCATCCAAAAACATTTTTGTAGAACCTGCAAAATACGGACTAGTATACCAGAAAAGCAATCTTTAGTACCTTCCAGTGCAAGCGAAGCTGTCATTGATGGAAATGTTGTTCTGAGCTCTTTAAGCATTGAGCAAGAAATGGATGAAGAGTGCCTACAAAAACTGGAAAGTAAGGTTAGCGATTTTTTCCATAGAATTTTGCTGGAGAGAGATGAACTTCTCGCCATACACTGTGCCAACATAGGTCTCTTCCACGATCTGGTGATAATTTGATGCTTCCATCAAAACTTTTATTATTGTCCTATGCAGTTTTTTACAGACGATCTTGATTCTTCTTTGGAGAAAATGAGGAAATTCGTTAAGCAAATTGTAACGCAACAAAGCAACAAGGAACCTGTTGATATTTTCAAGGACGATAAATCTCATGAAAACATCATAAAAGCCAAATTGAAGGCCTTCAGAAGTGATTTAGATATACCGTAATTAGTTTTCCATATTTTTCCTACCAATCAACCTCTCTCAATGTTTGCTTTATCACGAAAGGTTTTTGAGTAATTATGACCCAAAAAATACCTTGTGACGTTTCTCAACGTTACTCAGTTATGACCTTTTAAGTACAACTAGCAAAATTCCACTCTTTGTTTATTTTGGACTTTTACGTCCCTATGCCTTTTTGCGTTTACAGAATGTTTAGATTGATTCAGGTTTTTTTAAATATAGATTTTAAGTTTTATTAATTTTGGAACCCGAAAAACCGTTATTTATTAATTTAAACCAATTAACTGGTAGGAAATTGTTGTCATAACAATAAATTAAAAAGAAATAATAAAAAATAAAACAAAAATTAAAAATGGATGTAAACATGTCACTAAAAGTATATTTGCTCCATGCACATCTTTACCTGTTCGAAAATCAGCTGTCCACCGAATCAGAAGAGCATCAAACAATACTGGAAATGGAAAATCGTTATAGAGGAAAGAGGTTTGATTCGATGTTTTGTTGGTTTTTGGCAATGCAAATTTTGGCATAAAATTTGTTATATCTTTTATGTTGATTCATTCTGTTTGTTAAGAACTAAGAAATTGCACTACAACATTTTAAATCCAGAAAAAGGTTCAATTTAAAAAAAAATTGCATTTTATTGTTTTCATTATTTTTTTAATTAATTATTTTTTTCTTTATTTGATTGTTATTACTTTATAAAACAATTGTTAATATACAAAACCAATAATTATCTTTTATGTACTAAGTATTTATTATTTTACGATATTTCGGGATCCAGAATTACTAAAACTTTAAATTGATATTAAAAAAAAACAGATTCAATCTAAACATTCTGTAAACGCTATAATTCATGATTTTGATTGCAGAACCCCATCATCTTAATTTTTTTCCGAAAATGTTGAACAGTGTTATACAGATATGGAAAGCTTTTCACATTCTTGAAGAGAAACCATATCAGAAATTTTGGCTTGCCACATTTGTACCTTTAATTTGCCATATCAGAACCTTTGGCACGCTGTATCAAAAAATTGAATGATTTTTGTAAGTGCCTTTATCGACTGCCTTTAGTTCATTAAATGCGAGTTTATAAAGGGCCATTATAGAACCTTTAATAATCGTTGAAGATTGGCTGAAGAATTATGCAAAAATTAGTATTTGTTCTATCTTTTACATTAAATTTTTGGTTACATCTTTTATTACTTTGATCAATCAACATTAGTTCAAATTTTTTTTGAAAAATTTCAGTGGAAGATAATATAACTAATAAGATATGTCCTAAAATGAACAAAAAGTTAAATTTTGGTACTTGTACATGTGGTAGTTTTTGATTATTGATTTTTCTAGGTAACTAATATAATTACTTTTCAGAGCAAAAGATATGAAGAGAACCATCCTGTCTACTACGGGTCATTCCAAATACTGCCTACAAAAGCACAACTTGGGAAAATAGTTGAATGTTATATTTTTAGTGGCGATGACGTATTGTCATAAGACTACTCCTATGTATTTATGATGTAAAAGCGTCGCGACGCGTTTATAAATAAAACCAATACATAGTTTACAACGTATTTAATTATTCAATTATATTAATACAATTCTTCAGTCATTAAATAAAACTTAGAGAATAAAACACTGCCTATAATATAATTATACTAATACAATTAGTAGATTTTCATTTATATATCACATACGTACGAAATTTGATAGGCAAGATTAAAAATCGTCTGGGGGTTTTAATATAAAACATAAATAACAAAATAAATAGTCCCTGTGGTGAGATTTGGCCCTAACCCCTGAGAGTTACAGCGTGAAATGGCGTCATGAGTTGGCGCTGAGTTTTTCCAGTCTGGTACTCAACTCCTGGGCCAAGGCCTCAACCTGGGGCGTTTGGAAGATTTTTTTCGCGCACTCGCCTGTCCAGCGGGCTTTGCCACAGGAATGACTCTACAAAGAAGAACAACCTATTAGACCGTTTCCCACAGATTGTCGAAGGACCAATTACCTGGGTGAAGTCTCTCTTCCAGCTGGCCCCGCAGGTCCCGTCGCAGGCCATGCAGGGCCGATCCAAGGCGTAACCCCCGCACTCTGAGCAGTCCAAACTGACGTGTTTGTCCGTCCAAGACACCCCGCAGGTAAAGCAGCTCGTCATCTGAAGACGAAGCTCTTCAATTGTCATCACGTGGTCGTGGTTGATACCTGGACCCCAGCTGAGCTGGTTGATGTCGTCCAAGCTGTGGCTTAGGGCGTGTAGAGAACTGCAATTAACAGGAATTGTTAGCTTCCTGATTAGTTCAATGATGCGTTTAGTGTTTGGTAAAAGTTTGCCAAATTCTTAAGGTTGCTTAGGTAATAGTTGCATAATTCGATTCAATGTCAAAAAAACGCTTCCTACTGTTAAAACCTCAACAATTACACAACCAATGATAATTATGCCGTTCTACTTTTAATCCTTTGTTTGGAAATCTTGAAACCGCAAAGTAGGTTACCTAAATTAAAAATTAATCCTTACCTGTGGCTTGAATGGTTTAATTCCAAAGGATGTACACTTGCCAAAGACATGGTTGAGGATACTATAACAAAAAGAAAAACATTCTGTTAACACCAACATCTTTGCTATTTGTGTACAGCACTTTTTGCTAATGATGAAACTTTGATCCCAATAAACTTACAATTATTAAATTGATGGTGGCAACCTAAAATAATCCTTTCAATGCACAATAAAACAAAATAAAAGAACACGCTAACGACTCAATTATCAACAATGCAAACGAAGTTCAACCTCTCGACTAACTGGCTTTACAACGGTTGAACGCAGACTTATATAAACCGCTATAAATTACCAAGAGGGGGGGGATTTCAATTCGTCGAACATTTTACATATACAATGTATTCCTGACCATAGTGACTACCGATAAGCGATTTTGAGCCAAAAATGAATACTACAACGGTACGTATTTTTTTATGCACCTCATTTACATAAATCGTCATTCAGACATCATGCGGAACGATGGGCGCCAATTTGTACGATGTTGTTTATCTTTGAAATTGAGATAATATGATGAAATTTTACATTATTTTAGTTATAGCGTGGTAATGACAGTGTAATTTTCATGCCAATTTAAACAAAACTTTTCGAAATTTGGACTACACTTGAAAATCTAGTTTTTGAGATATACCCTAAAATTTGTCATTGGGCAAAATTGTTCACCTTTTAAGATCTTTAACTTCCTTGGACTGTTTTGGTACAATCTAAAGTTCATGATTCTAAAATAGTTTACATTCAAACTATTAATAGTTAATTGTTATAAAAATATTAAATTATTTCATGAAACTAACGACCTTTATTTGAAAACATTATTTCGACTTTAAAAGGTTAAACAAACCCTGCTAATTTTACCTTTCTTTGAAAACTCCAAAATTCCAAATGTTCAAAAATAGTTAATTACTTTTGAGAAATTCCAGTTTATTTTGAACATCGTCCAAAAGATTGTGTACTATAGGTTTATTCACGATTCCCCGCTTTTTATCGATTGCATTTGTTTTTAGGCCATGGTTATTTGATGAACAAATATGGCCCCCTTTTAATTTATATAGTGCTAATCGAGTAATTTGTATGGTGCCATGGAATCAGACTAATTATTTGATTTTAATTAAATTAAAAAAACGCCTCTGTATTAAATGATCTTTTACGTTTCATTATATGTATTTGGTCAATGAATTCCTGGTAATATAAAATCATTGCAACATTGTTTTTCTACAAATAGTTGGGATTTTTATTTACACTAACTAATAAATATTTATAAAGTAAATAGGTAGAATGAAAAGGATTCTATTTAAATTAGTTACAATGAAATTTTCGTTAATCCAAAAATCTTTACAAATATTAATTAATATAAAATTCCCAAACCTAACTTATTTCAATCAAGAATGCCGTTTGAAATATCAAAAATGTCAATTTTAAGGTTAAATGTCATAATTTGACAAGGTGAAAGAATAATTTGGTTCTCGACATTTTTAAAACATTTTTAGCATACCTAACTTTATCAAAAACACTGAAAATGCCAAAATGTGACTTACTTTATCGATTTTAAAAATTTTAAATAACCTCAAATTAACATTTCAAATGTCAAATTATGACATTTAACCTTAAAATGAACACTTTTGACATTCCAAACGTCAAAATATGACATTTAAGAATGAATGAATATTTGACGGACGTGACTTTTGGTATTTTGATGTCTGTAAAACGATTTTAGTATACTAGCCAAGAGTGCCAATCGACCTTAAAAGTGTCATAACCTAAAATTGACATTCCAAACTTCATATATTGGCATATTTACTTAAAATGGACACTAACTAGAAGCCGTAATGTCAATGATAAAGTTGTACGTCACGAAAATGTTAAACCTATGATTTTTGACATTTTAAAAATAATTTTAGACTAGTTTAACCCAAAATAACTATAAAAATGCCAAAATTTCACATGAATAACTTTCAAAATGATACGTTACACCATACACGTTAAATTATGACATATAACCTTAAAATGGACACTTTTGGCATTCAAAACGCCAAAATATGACATTTATGACCTTGTTAATTGAGCATTTGAAAGTTGTGACCTTGAAGCATAATTTGTTTGTATTTTTAACATTTGGAAAATGTTTATATCGCCAAAAACGCAGATACAATGTTTGGTAACGCTATTTTTGGGTTGTTTACTTTTTTAAAATTTAAACTAATGACTTTATTATTCTTTTCTATGGCACGCAGCTTAGATTACGTGTCTAGACTCTGTTTACTTCGGTGTTAATAAATTTTCTATTCTGATGTAGTAATTATTTTGGAAGACACCTGTGCATTTTTCGTATTTTTTTTTCGCTTGCATTAAAAAATCATTAGGCTTGCTTTAATTGTTTCGCGTGGTATATTTAAAGTGAGGTCAGTGTTACAATTAACATGTCTGGTCGTTACCGTAATCCTTTGTTTGAATTTATATGGAATTCTTGATTTTTGGACTTTAAACTAGGTACCTATGCGTTTTATTTAAGCAGGGTGGCACTTAAAATGTTTTGGGCGCCAATTCGTCAATTCAGTAACAATGTTTTGTTTTAGTCGCAAAAATTACCATTTTTAGTTATTCCAAAGGATGATTTCGTTATTTTTAGCACTACTTGAAGGCGACTAGAGTTTTAGTATGCATCCTAACCTTCATTTTTATCGTTTCCGATTACCATGCATCCAAAAATGAAATATTTGTTTTGTCCACGATTTTTACCGCGCACATCCATACGAATTTCATAATATTTTGGTAATGCAATATGTGTGCCATTTTTATACGCGTCTGGCTCAGCGTGCGTGGACCGTCGAATCTTCGGTGACATAGAAACTTTCTTTTTGGTAGAAAGTGGAACAAAGAATTGCGCGTTTAATTCGCAAAAATCGCACATTGATACAGAATTTAAAAAGATAATTTTACATTTTTACCTAAAAATATGCAATACTTAAATAGGCGTTTTTACATAAAAAAATGCAATTATTGCATTCTTAATAGGAGTTTTCAGCAATTTTTACATTCTTAGGTCAGTTTGGTATTTTTCAATGGGTATTAAACATTTTTAAACATGGATTTGACGAAATTGTGTTTTTGACATTCTAAATAGGGGTTTTCTGAAATTTTTACATTCTTAAATGTCTTTAATTGTGTTTTTGACATTCTTAGGTCAGTTTGGCATTCTTAAATATGTATTAAACATGGATTTACTTATTACTTACTTATTTTCTTTACTTTTTATTGTGTTTTTGACATTCTTAGGTCAGTTTGGCATTCTTAAATATGTACTAAACGTTTTTAAACATGGATTTAACGAAACTGTGTTTTTGACCTTCTTAAATAGGGGTTTTCAGAAATTTTTACATTCTTAAATGTCTTTAATTGTGTTTTTGACATTCTTAGGTCAGTTTGACATTCTAAATAGGGGTTTTCTGAAATTATTACATTCTTAAATGTCTTTAATTGTGTTTTTGACATTTTTAGGTCAGTTTGGCATTCTTAAATATGTATTAAACATGGATTTACTTATTACTTACTTATTTTCTTTACTTTTTATTGTGTTTTTGACATTCTTAGGTCAGTTTGGCATTCTTAAATATGTACTAAACGTTTTTAACCATGGATTTGACGAAATTGTGTTTTTGACATTCTTAAATAGGCGTTTTTAGCAATTTTTACATTCTTAAATATTCTCAATTGTGTTTTTGACATTTTTAGGTCAGTTTGGCATTCTTAAATATGTACTAAACGTTTTTAAACATGGATTTGACGAAATAGTTTTTTTGACATTCTTAAATAGGAGGTTTCAGCAACTTTTACATTCTTAAATGTCTTTAATATTTTTAATTGTTTTTGATATTCTTAGGTCAGTTTGGCATTTTTAAATATGTATTAAACATGGATTTGACGAAATTGTGTTTTTGACATTCTTAAATAGGCGTTTTTAGCAATTTTTACATTCTTAAATATTATCAATTGTGTTTTTTGACATTCTTAGGTCAGTTTGGCATTCTTAAATATGTACTAAACGTTTTTAAACATGGATTTAACGAAATATTGTTTTTGACATTCTTAAATAGGGGTTTTCAGCAACTTTTACATTCTTAAATGTCTTTAATATTTTTAATTGTGTTTTTGACATTCTTAGGTCAGTTTTGCATTCTTAAATATGTACTAAACGTTTTTAAAATGTTTTAACGAAACTGTGTTTTTGACATTCTTAAATAGGGGGTTTCAGCAATTTTTACATCCTTAAATGTCTTTAATATTTTTAGTTGTGTTTTTTACATTCTTAGGTCACATTCTTAAATATTTACTAATATATTATAATATGCAATTGAATATGCAATTGCATTTTTTGTAGGTAAAAAAAATACTACCGAATTTTCAATCAAAAATTCTGCATCAATGTGCGATTTTTGCGAATTAAATATAATTTACACATTGATATTTAATAGATTTAACTCCATTTTTAACCCTATATACGCACAAAGTATTAAGATAGCGAAAAGTGTCATAATGCGTTTCATTCAGGCTTAAACGATTAAACTGTAGGAAAAATAAAATCACAGCCATCTAAGCTGGCGCCTGCATGGACATGTCATGTATTTACTTAGAGCGAGACACTTATCTTCCATCATAATCTTTTTTTATTTAACGACTTAAGATTAAACATTAAACGATGATTAACATTTTTATTTTATTAGTTCCAGTTTGGACTAAAATAATTTTAACATTCAGTTTAGCTTGTAAGTGTGGGAAGAGAATCAACGAAATATTGATGATTCACTGTTCCAGGATAGTTTTGAAAACTGTAAATTCATTGGAAAATTCTAAAATTTTGTAAAAACATTTTTTACCTTGAAACGATATTATTCTGACCTGCAAACTTTGTAAATGGGTCAAAATTTGACCAAAATGGCACATGACCTTGAAATTAGGAAATTAAGGCAACCTTGACCTTAAAACGTCAAACATTGACAGACCTGACCTTGAAACAAAAAACCCTCCATATCG